TATCCTAAAACTAGTTTTGAATTCAAAGTTCAAATTTTTCTCCACCCCCCTTATAAGCTCTTTATTTCTGTCGACGCCCTTGAAAAACACGCAAATTTAATTTAGTACATTAAAACATTAGATAAAGTTCCCAAAATCTACAATTGATTGATCAATTACTAATTTAAAACAAAAATCTTATGTTTTGATCAAACAAAATAAATTTATCAAACTTTTATGAGCTTGTGACTGGTGTCCGGATCCGGGTTTTTACATTTATAATCAAAGATCCGGATTTGCATCAAAAGGGCTTTTAACACTGAATTTTGTAGATTAATCTTTAAATTTTTTTAGGTTCGCGGTGACGAGCAGAAGTTGAGCTCTATGGCTGCATTTTGCCGCGATATCATTGGTGGAGATAAACTGGATAAGGTAGGATGAAGAGGGGAGGGGGGAGAAGTTGAAAGAACAGGGGAGGGAAACCTTAGGCCTGGGAAAGAAGAATGAGAGAGCAAGCAAAGGGAGGTCAAGCAGAGAGGAGGGATCAAGGGAGGTGGGAGGGGGCATGAATATTTTGTAAAATTTAAGTCTTAAAAGGTACTGTTGTAAATCGGGCATGTAACTCTTTAAATGAACCTTTATTTTATCCAGGTTTATACACCTAGAATTGGAGAGGTGGTAGATGCTACAACAGAGAGGTTCATTTATCAGGTTCAGAACAATTTTATCAATCCCATAAATAATCTGTTAAGTCATCAACTTAATCTACAAGAATTATATACATAAAATGAATATTAATTTCTAGATACAGTCCATCTATCTATCCTATCCATCAACTATCTTTTTAGCTCTGTGTGTCAGTCCATCTATTCAATATTCATCTAAATTCTACAGATCCGTTTACCTTTCTACCTTATCCTTTTATACCCCCATAATCATAGATACGCCTACGGGACAGTCTATTCTCTACCCTTGGTTTTGGAAAAGCAAGGTCTGGTCAGCAAGCCTGGGTTGCCTGGGTGGACGGGATTATCAAGATGACCGAAGATATTCCGGATATTGTTAACGAAGGTAAGTGCTTGAGGACAGGATTATTAAGATGACCAAGGACATTCCAGATATTGTTAACGAAGGTAAGTGCTTCGGGACGAGATTATTAAGATGACCAAGGACATTCCAGATATTGTTAACGAAGGTAAGTGCTTGGGGACGAGATTATTAAGATGACCAAGGACATTCCGGATATTGTTAACGAAGGTAAGTGCTTCTGGACGAGATTATTAAGATGACCAAGGACATTCCAGATAATGTTAACGAAGGTAAGTGCTTGGGGACGGGATTATTAAGATGACCAAGGACATTCCACANAAATTTATATATCTGAAATACTGAATCCTTCACTGTGTCAAGAACTGTATAACAAAGGTAACTGCGTAACTGCAAGGGCCGATGGGATTATTAAGATGAACGAAGATATCCCAGACATTGTTAATGAAGGTAACTGCAGAGGAATGGGATTATAAAGGTGACTGAGGATATTACAGATATTATTAATGTTAACAAAGGTAACTGCTGGGGAATGGGATTATTAAGATGACTGAGGATATTACAGATATTGTTAATGTTAACAAAGGTAACTGCAATGTAACTGCAGGCGGATGGGACTACTAAGATTACCAAGGATATTACAGATATTGTTAACAAAGTTAACTGCAAGATGACCAAGAATATTTCGGATATTCTTAAAAAAATGAAAAATTGGACTTCTCTTCTCTCTTTACATGGTACTTTTACAACAAATTTTTTACTTTCCCCAAATTAATGATGAAATTCGCTGATAAATGTCTAAACGATGTGTGGAATTATCCCCCACAGTGCAGTGGGGGAGGTGATATATTCCCCTGAAATTGTAAGATATAATGTATAGAGTCGGAGGAAACTGAGGAGAAAGAATCTAAAGCTATAATACCTGTTCTGGAACCTGTCCAGGTAATCCTTGATTAGGGCTGGATCAAGAGATAAAATATACAAATTTTCATGAAAGCTAATATGATAAAAAATATACATTTTTTTCAAGTCTTCACTTGATGGACCAAACCTCTGTAGAGTAAAAAAGTGCATTTTAGTTCCACATTTATTGAACTTGTTTCACACTCTCTTCCAATCTATAAAAATAACTTTAAAATTTTAAATCTAGACAAGAAATTTATTTATAACATTGCGCTAATTTCAGGGACATGAGAAGGAAGGACATTCCACCAGTTTTGTGAACGAAGTTAAACTTTCTGATTTTAAACTTGTTCTCACAAGGTCAGTAAAATAATCAGTGTTGTTCATCGTTTTCAATCGTTTTTTGGAAAAAAATTCCAAGATTTTAAAACTGTCATAAATTAAGGTTAGCTTCGACTAAATTTATCCTAAAAGTGTTGGAAGCGATCCAAGACGATATTTTTACACTTGTTTTTGGATAGTTTTTGGGTCGTTTTGTACTTACTTTTATAAGCAAGTTTGAATACAATTGCTTTTCTTACTCTAAGCAAAGTAAAATATTAGGAAATATGATCCAAAAACGAACCAAGGGAATTCACATCATTAAATATAATGTAGGGTTTCAAATTATAAGACTTAAATGACGACCAAAAATAGATCATCTGTACAGTATTCTCTGTATCTTATCCTTTGTGGCTAGCCCTGCAGATAAAAAATTCAAATACTAAGACAATCCTTTATTAAAAGAACAGAATACCTAGTAATCATAAAACAATCCTTTATTAATTTATTAAAGGAACAAATACCTACTAATCATAAAACAATCCCTAATTAAGGAACAGAATCCCTAGTAATATTTTAAAAATCCCTAATTAGGGAACCGAATTCCTAGTAATACTTAAACAATCCCTAATTAGGGAACGGAATTTCTAGTAATAATTAAATAATCCCTAGTAATACTAAAATAATCCTATACATAAGGAACGGATTCCCTTGTAATACTGAAACAATCCCTAATTAAGGAACGGAATCCCTAAATAATTTCAGAAGTATGTCGCATCGTAAATTCGAAGCGCCCCGCCACGGGTCTAAGGGGTTTCTTCCCAAGAAAAGGTCAAAAACCTTCCGTGGGCGTGTCAAGGCGTTCCCTAAGGATGACCCCAGCAAGCCTGTTCACATGACCTGTTTCATGGGATACAAGGTTAGTACCAGTGTCGTCCATTTCTGTGGATTAACAATTAAATTTATATATCTGAAATACTGAATCCTTCACTGTGTCAAGAACTGTAAAACAAAGGTAACTGCGTAACTGCAAGGGCCGATGGACGGACCCTGAGTTTCTTAATTGACTTCTGCAATTTTCTATGCATTGATTATTAAATGTTTAGGCGGGAATGACCCACATTGTCCGTGATGTGGATCGTCCAGGTTCCAAGGTTAACAAAAAGGAGGTTGTGGAGGCATGTACCATTATTGAGACACCCCCTGTCATTGCTATCGGAGTTGTCGGATATATTGAGACACCCCGTGGACTCAGAGCTCTGAAAACTGTGTGGGCCGAGCATATTGGAGAGGAGGCCAAGAGAAGGTAAAAGTTTGATGATAATGTAGAATAATATAAGATGAATTTTATGGTGGAAAGCTCTCTTGATAGGTCGTTAATATCCTTACTATATATTACTATTTAAAATATTAAATTTAAAACTTAGCGATACCCACTAAAGATGAGATTGTAAAGACGACCTGAAACTCGCGATATGGCATTTACACGGTCCGTTTCCTTATATTTATAACTGTAAAAAGGTTTCGCTCTTAGTCAAGTAATTCAATAGTCCCTTTAGACTTATCAAGGCAGAGAGTTAAATTCCATACAGTCGTTTCTTAAGTCTCGTCCTTAGTGGATAGTCCTGTAGATAAACAAATATTAATCAAGTGTCTCATTTTAAGACGAGCAGTGGTAATGTATTTCATTTCAAACAATATTAAAAGTTTTCAGAAATACTGTACAATTCTGACATTATATTTATTCTAAAATATTTGAATTAATAACAACTTTATTTCGTACCGTTAGATTGGATCCGATAATTATTCTGTCATTTGCACCGCACTTGTTAACCAATGCTTTATGTATGTTAACTACTGCATGTGTAAAGCCGATGGTATCTGCCTGACTAACCTCTGCTTGATAGTATGTTAGTTGGGTTCAGATAGATTCATGGGTCTTCCATATATCATCATCATTCATCTTTAACATGATGTACCAGTGGTAATTCCTTCGTGTTTTCATGTATTAGCAAGGGAGTATAATTTGTTTTCATAAATTATCCTCCTGGCACCGGAAGGGGGGGGGGTTATTCTTAAAATTATATAAAATATAATTACCTGTGCAATAGTTATGTTAGCTTGTTTCTTAGTATTTTTCAAGACTTCTAATTTGTTAGTGTTATTGCAAATTGCACAATTTACCTATTTCTATTAGATGTAGATTGCTTAGTAGTGCCCGCAGCTCACCAGTTTTTGTATAATATCTCCATACCTGCTTTTTTTTCTCCTAACATCTTAATTCTCAACTTGAGCGTGTTGTGTTTTATCCATCTTCATTAACTTTTCGGTTCAAGGATTTATTTAAAAATAAATAATTGACAATTTAAGAGACAAAATGTATCATTTACTCTCAGACAAATTAAATCAATGGAAATATAAACCCCCGAGATTCAATGATAAACCCGAGGGCGTAGCCCAAGGGTTTATCATTGAATCCCGAGGGGGTTTAAATTTCCATTGATTCTAATTTGTCTGAGAGTAAATGACTTTCCTTTTTAAAAAGCTGAAAGAGAACTGACTGATTTAAAATTGGAATTTGTGAATTTTGTAAAAAAAATTCGCGCATTTCTAAGAGTTTTCAATGCAGTGTTTAATGAAAAATCCCGCCGGGATTCAATGAAAATTGTTGCATACCAAAAAAAACCAGCTTTTTATAAAGGAATGATTTGGATGTGAAATGATATTTAAACGATCCTACGTTGTTTAGGTTCTATAAGAACTGGTCTGCGTCTAAGAAGAAGGCCTTTACGAAGTCCTGCACCAAGTGGGCTGATGACCTGGGCAAGGCCCAGATTGAGAAGGTATATAATAATTAATATAATCTGCAGTTGTATAAAATCTCGATATCCTTAATACAAGAGTTATCAGCTTTGTTTTATTTCATAACCATCTGCCTCTTCTGTTTTTATTTCTTCTGCTTTGGATAAAGTTAAACAGTAATAAGCTTTAAGGTGATCGTCTGGTAAAATAGACGACCAAAGGGCGGGCCCACCCACCCCACCTCATGTAATTGGAAAGTCAACGGTTCATTCTTTTGTTTACATCATTGTTTATTTGTTCAGGACTTGAAGCAGATGAAGAGATACTGCACCGTTATCCGTGTCATTGTTCACACACAGATGAAGATCCTTCGTCGTAGGTCAGTAGTTTGCTGGGGAACTATGCGAAACTAAAAAAATCTAGAACGTCTTAAAATTCAGGATGTAGCGTTAAAACAATGTTCCTTTTATCTTTGAATTAGACCGCTCAAAAATGAACAATAATAGGTTTTAAGTTTTAAGATTTCAATCATATGTACTCCCGCGCGTTATTTTTGAATATATATATTTACCTATGTAAACCTATTAAATCTGGCAACGTCACGTGTACATTTCACGAATTTGAGCAACAAATTTAAACGCCGTATAATCATGATTTTAATCAATAATTTTTAGGCAGAAAAAGGCTCATATCATGGAGGTTCAACTTAATGGTGGAAGCGTCGAAGATAAGGTGAGTTAATAATGAAAACAAAAGGACCAGAGATGTAGTTTCAGGTTACCCTAAAAGGCTGTGGGAGTGACATGTTATTGTCCAATTCAATACTGAAACCTGAAATCCCAAGCGGGATAGTCTTCTCTATCTCTTAAGTGTTTTGCAAGTAATTTGAAAAAAAATTAATTAAAAAATTCCGTTAATCTTAAAGAAATGACCTGGATCCGGATTTGGATCCGGATCCATTTTTTCCAGTGCGGATCCGGATCCGCATAAAAATGAAATGAATCCTAAGCACTGGTTTAAAGAATACCGTTTTAAATGGACTCCATAAGTAGTCAAATCCCTTTCATTCCCGTAATTTTTTATCCTAAAACTGTATTCCATTTATTTAGTTCTGTTTCATCATGGTTTCTATAAACCATATACTCACTATTTCACCATCATGTCTTTTCCCTAATAAATTATTATATAATAACGATTTTAGGTGAACTGGGCCCGTGAACACTTTGAGAAGGAAGTCCCTGTCGGTCAAGTGTTTGCCCAAGACGAGGTCATTGACATCATTGGTGTCACTAAGGGTCACGGATTCAAAGGTAAGATAATGGTCAAACGTTTTATAAAACCGCTCCACTAAAAAAATATCTTAAATTATTCTGCAGTTATGTCTATCATAAGAAGTAAATTACATATTGGAATGAAGTTTTGCAATTCTACAGGGTGACCTGGAAAACTTAAGCATTTTATAATTATTCTGTTAACAAAAGGGGGTAACACTTTGTCGTTTGATGCTTATGTTTGAAAACCTCACTTTGAACAATTAATAATTTAAATTATTCAATTCAAATCTATATTGCAGAGAGAGCAATTAAAAATAAAATTATCATGATATATCTTGTGAATAGGTGTAACCAGCAGATGGCACACCAAGAAATTGCCCCGTAAAACCCACAAGGGTTTGAGAAAGGTTGCTTGTGTTGGAGCCTGGCATCCCAGCAGAATCCAGTCAACTGTTCCTAGGTAAACTTATTTTTGAACAGTTTTTTATAATTAGAATTTGAAGGGGGGGGGGGGTATTTTAGAAATAATTTGTATCGAACTAACCTCAATTGTTTTCATCGTGACGAAATAAGTCGATGAATAAAACGAGGATATATGGATCATTTTAGTTCAGATCAAGGTTTTTTTTTTTTTAACCGTTGTGAATCGGATATGTAATGTTATTAAGTTACGCCGAACTGTCCCTGTAGCTCGCGATTTAGTGCGCAAATATGTTTTTTACGTTTTTTGCTGAAATTGTGGGGGGGAGATGAATTTTATGGTTGAAAGCTCTCTTGATAGGTCGTTAATATCCTTACTATATATTACTATTTAAAATATTAAATTTAACTAATTAAGGAACGGAATCCCTAGTAATACTTAAACAATCCCTGATTAAAGAACGGAATCCCTAATAACATTAAAACGGCACCTAATTAAGGAACGGTATATATTTAGGGCTGGACAGAAGGGATTCTTCCACCGAACTGAGATTAACAAGAAGATCTACAGACTGGGAGAAGGATACAAGATGGTGGATGGCAAGCTTGTCAAGAACAGCGGAGCTACTGAGTAAGTTCCGTTTCGTGGATTTTCTTAACTTTTCCGCGGAATTTCTCAATACTGTTCCCGACTTTTTCGCTCGCAACGTCGCTTCAGGCGTTATTGGGTTGTAATAGCGGGATATAAGAAAAGAGATGAAGATAAAAGTCTCAGATCTATTCTGGAATTTTGAACCTTATATCACAACATAATAAAAATCGTTCCAATAAAAATGGAAGTTTGAAAAGGGCTTTGACGTATACATACATATACAAATATAATTTTGAATTGTGGTTTCTAGTAAAAAATGACCTTCGAGATTTAGGAGCAGAGATGAAAGAGATTTGCATTCAAGATCAATTTAACGTTGTGAATTGTATCTTCATGACTTTGGCATGAAACTCATTGAATGTAGAATAACTTTAATTAACGAAGTCTGACTTTTCAGTACCTAAACTTGTTCATCCCGGCTTTTTCGCCCTCTTCGTCGCTTCAGACGTCGTATGGTTGTATTGCCGGGATACAGTAAATGGATAATTTATCGCATCAGATTTTTGATTTATCTAAAATCAGAGTTATAAATCCTACAAATCACACTTCGTATTTTATTATTAAGCTACGAGACCTCGCTTCTTTTTTGGTTAAGTAAATTTTCGAGTCTCGGGGGTTAGGATATCCCTAACAGGATGTTGATCTGATCTGATCTGATCTGATCTGATCTGATCTGATTGTGACCTATGATCTGATCTGATTGTGACCTATGATCTGATCTGATTGTGACCTATGATCTGATTTGATTGTGACCTATGATTTATTTAAAATTGTTTAGTTATGACCTTGCTGATAAATCTATCAACCCTATGGGTGGATTCCCTCACTACGGAGAGGTCAAGCAGGACTTCCTTCTCATCAAGGGTGCCTGCATTGGTCACAAGAAGAGGCTCCTCACTCTCAGGTACTTAATTTGGGTCTAGATAATTTACATAAGAATCTTTCTTTTATGTCCTCTACGTATTCAAAGTAGGTTGACGATCCGATTAATTTATATGCTGACCCAAAATTGCATCAGTGTTTGGTTTTAAAAAATTAGCTATTGACAAATCAATTTTCTACATATTTACTTAAAAATCCTAAGTAGATAGTTTTGCTCTTAGCTTGATCCGGATCTAGGTCGCTAAACAAGTGTTGAGCACGACATTATAAGACTGTTAACTCAGTTAAAATGTTCTTTTTACATAGTAAACTATTGTTTAGGAAGTCCCTGTTGACCCACACCAAGAAGAGATATCTGGAGAAGATCAATCTCAAGTTCATCGATACCAGCTCTAAGTTCGGACATGGTCGCTTCCAGACTCCACAGGACAAGGCGGCCTTCATGGGTCCTCTCAAGAAGGACAGGAAGGAGTAGATCATGTCCTGGATCCCCCAAATCTTCCGGGTCTCTCCGCAGTTTTCTGTTAAAATATGAAAACCAGCAACTTAACTTCACTTTACTCTTGTAACCTTGAAACTTGTTGCAGATACTATGGATGCCAAGGTTACCCTAGCTCGTGTTGTCAAGGTTCTCGGCAGAACAGGTTCCCAGGGACAGTGTACCCAGGTAATTAAACGGGTTTATATTTTTAAGAATTTATAAATAAAAAAGAAAATTTATCAACCTAGCAAGTTTTTTTTATCAATTTTATTTTTTAATAGAGGTCATCACATTTTTTGATTCGTTGGGAGTAAATTTTCGCTGAAAATATAAAAAGTTTAATTGAACAGATATTTATATTTTTTGTGTTTATCAGTAGGAGAGTAAAGCATGTTCTAGAGACTTGTTTGATATCGATATCCTCGGTGCAGTGGGAACTTTTATAATGAGCTAAACTATCCCAAAAACTATCCCTTTCCATATCTTCATAATAGCTATTCCTCCCCTGACTGGCTACGTACGATTTTCATGCGGGATATCGAATAAAGATTTAATTAATCGGCAGATTAACAAACGACCGAGAATTGATATCTATTTTCACAATGCTAATTGGATTTATAATTTAAGATGTCTTTAAAAAATTAATTTTTCAGGTGAAAGTTGAGTTCATTGCTGAGCAGAACCGACAGATCATCAGGTAATAGAAAAAAACTTTTGTTTTAGGTTTTGTTATGTATGTCTCCAATTTTCTAAAATGGCATCAGAAAGTGTCTTGTAATTATTGATTACACAGGAATAATTTAACTTTTGTCGGGGGCGCATGGATTTTTATCTGGAAAAGGATTTTGTGGTGTCTGAATAGGGAGGGAACCCCCGGACGCCATGAGCCTCTGCTATGCAGACATCGAGCCTCCCAGATTCGCTAGGCAGACCGAGCCTCCACTATGCAGACAAAGACTACGCTATGCAGACCGTGCCTCCGCTATGCAGTAAACGAGCCTCCACCATTACAGCACAGCTTTTTTAAAATCTTGGTTTTTATGAGTGATGAAAACTTTAAACAATTTTTTTTATGTAGTGACAAGAATTTCATTAAAGATTTGAGTTATTCATTGATTGTCATGATTAGAAACATATATGGACTCATAAAGTGGTTTATAAGATTTGAGAAGCCTCTCATGCCACTCTGTCTAAAAATTTCAAAAAAAAAATTTTATTTAAACTTAAAACACAAGTTTAAAAACCTACTGCACATTTTGATGCTCATTTCTGCAAAGCGGAGGCTTGGTCTGCCTAGCAACTCTGGGAGGCTCGTGTCTGAATAGCGGAGGCTCATGGCGTCTGGGGGTTCCCTCCCTAGTCTGAATCAAATCAGGTCGATTATTGCCACTATTAGAATTAAACAAATCTGGGGGGTTAAGGGTATAAAACAGTTCATTTGTTTGTTTTCATTCCTATTTACTGTTTTTTTCCAGGAACGTGAAGGGACCCGTGAGGGAAGGAGATATCCTCACCCTTCTCGAGTGCGAGAGAGAGGCCAGGAGGCTGAGATAAGTTCCCATCATGGAGGCCTAGTCTCAACCTTGACCTCGACTTCGAGGTCATGTCCTCAAATGCATCATCTTCATCCTGATAGCATCTTATCCTTGTACTCAATACAAAGATTTAAATAAACTTTAAACCAAATTTGATTATTTTTTGATATTTAGATCAAAGTTTTAAGTTGTCTTAAATTTTTTTCTGTAACTTTAATTTTAAAACGCTGGATGTTTTTGTCGCAACTGAGAACAATCAAAACTCGACTTCTTTTGTAAAGGTGGAGAGAAGTGTTGTGTAGAAAGATTTACTGTAGTTTTATTGAGTTAAAGAAGATAATGATTTGCTCCTAGATTTAAAAGAATATAGATTAAAGACCAAATTCTTAATGTTTTTGGCTTCATAAATTGTAGAGATTATTTTTTGTGAATTATTTGACCTTCTCGAATTCTAATTTGCTCAAACGGATAAAGCTAGTTTTTACATTCTTAAAGAAGATTGTAAGCCTAATTTCGAGTGGCTTTCCATGTTAAGATTTCAATGTCCGATCTACAAACCCTTGAAACCTTAATCTCATTAAAAATCTTTCTTATTCTTATCACAGATCTTTTCTGTGAGTAATTATCCAATGCGACTCTTACAAACTAGTGAAACTGCAAACGGCTGAAAAAAAAACCATAACGTTGATTCATCCTTGGAGCAGACAACGATTTCTAGGGTAATGATTAATATCGGACATAGGCATCTTTGCTGGGAAGGTAACTTGAAATCACGCTTACGCATTAAATTATTTTTGATATGCGTCAATATATTCTTAGTATTCCATGACATAGTTATTCAAGGCCAAGATTTTCAAATCTAAACTGTTTTTTGGGGAGTTCATAATTTACGACATATTGCCCTGGGACTGAAGATCGCTGAATTATCTGCCACTGTCTCTAACTTGAATCACAAGTTTCAAGATTCATGAGGAACCGGTGGAAATAGGTAGTTAAAAGTTTTATGCTATTCATCAAATTCTGATGAACGAGGATTCAAAAATCTCATGTGAGAGTTATCCACTAGTTGGGAGTAAGAGTTGGTTAAAAGGTTTAAGTCTTATTTTTTCAGAGAAAATGACAGTTTGATCCCCGAGACTAATAAATTATAAGTATAAGTACTAGAACAAGTTACTGAGGTTTGCTGGCTCCAAGATAACTGAGTTCGAGATGATGGAGTTAACCGATCAGGAGATCATTGTCGGAACCTACGAGGAGTTTGTTCTCGGATACAAGGAACGTTGAAGATTACTCATTAATTTTTGAAAAAACATCAGGAAGATCCGGAAAACATTAATTATTAAATGGCGGATGAAAATTACAGATTTAAGCTAGAATTGATAGGGGGGCGTGAAGTGACCGAAATGTCTAGTCCTTCCTGGCATCGATATACACGGCTGCTTGTTGGCTGTGGCTCTGTTTATTAGATCAAATTCAGCAAGAAAGGAGCTGATTAGTTGCTTTAAACTAGATTTCTCTGGATTCTGCGTTTAAGTATACAAAGTATACACAATTATTGAGAAATAGACATACAGCACAGAAACATAACTTTCTTGATAAAACCCCTTTATTTCTGATATCTGTCAACGTCCTTCAGATTGTCAAAAAGTTGAAAACTAAAGATGAATTCGAACTCGTTCCTTCATTTACCAACAGGTAGGAAACCAACTTCCAGTCATCCAAAGATTCTAAACAACACCCTGTAAGGTTAAGCTTTGTCGGATCCAATTATGAAATAGATTTCAATGTTTATAAGTTTGAAAACTAAATATTATCAATAGTTTATTCTCTTCAAAAGTGATTTGCGGATTTCTACGGCAGAAAACATAGAAAACGACAATATCTTCCACATTCTTGAAATGAAGGTTTTAAGGGTACCATTGTGAATCGGGATTGTAATCTTTGCATGGAGGGTGACTTGAAATTACGCTTACAGTCCCATATCACGATAATAGTCTTACTTTTAATGTTTTTGATTTAATTTCAACTGACCCGACTGAAAACATTACATGCCTGATTCACAATAGTACCCTTCTCCTGTATCAGATTCACAATAGTACCCTTCTCCTGTATCGGATTCACAATAGTACCCTTCTCCTGTATCGGATTCACAATGAGGAAGAAATTTTCGTTTTCCTGTCTTAAAAAAATTCTCTTAATCTCCATTTTGTATCTTATGCATAAATCCGTGAGTTATTTTAAAGGGAATCTCAATTGAAAATTATCCATTTTTAGATGGAAAATAAGGTTAACAGATATCACTTTTTTATAACAAAGCTTTTAAGGGTATCATCGGGACATTCCAACACTTTGATTAAAAGAGTCATTTTAAAGTATAGGTCATAACCAAATCTAACATTATTTTTACCCTTTTTGGTCTATCATTTTTACCCTTATTATCGTCTCTTATTCTAATAAATACCTCGATAATGGGGCTATTATACAAACCAGTTTTTCTGACATCCCAGTTTCATTATTTTTTTTCATTTCAGTGGTAAAAAGTTGCCAATTTTTGCTTAAATCTAATTCAGCAATTGACTCGGCAAAATATCCAATGGGAAGGAAACCCCTGATATAAACCTTTCTCTTAGATCGGTAAGAAAGGGAAGGTGAGGGGGGTGCGGGATAAAAACGTAATTTTTGTGATCCTTATTCATTTTTTGTTTTCAGGGCACATATTGGACCGGTGAGATCAGTTGTAGGGGTCAATAAATTCGTCGTCTCAGGTACACTTCATTGATTCGTTGATTCGTTGATTCGTTGATTAATTAATTCATTGGTTCATTTGTTCATTGATTTATTGATTCATTGATTTATTGATTTATTGATTGATTTATTGATTGATTCATTGATTCATTGGTTCATTTGTTCATTTGTTCATTGATTTATTGATTTATTGATTTATTGATTCATTGGTTCATTGGTTCATTAATTCATTGATTCATTGATTCACCGATTCATTGATTCATTGATTGATTGATTCGTTGATTCATTGATTCATTGGTTCATTGGTTCATTGATTCATTGATTCATTGATTCATTGATTTATTGATTTATTGATTTATTGATTCATTGATTCATTGATTCATTTCATTGATTCATTGATTCGTTGGTTAATTGATTCATTGATTCATTGATTCATCGATTCATTGATTCATTGATTCATTGATTCATTGATTCATTGGTTCATCGATTCATCGATTCATCGATTCATCGATTCATCGATTCATCGATTCATCGATTCATCGATTCATCGATTCATTGGTTCATTGGTTCATTGGTTCATTGATTCGTTGGTTTGTTGGTTCGTTGGTTCGATGATCCGTTAATTCATTGGTTGACAAAAATGTCTAAATTCTCCTTATATTTTTCGGTAAATTCAATGATTTAGCTCTGTGCTTGATTAGGGTTGTCTAATAGGTTGGTTGATCGATCGTAAATCCGTTGATTACCTCGAGTAATCGATCCATTGATTGAAGTATTTGTTTTTTAATTCGTCAATTTATTTGTCTCTTCAGGTGGTAGTGATGAGCTGTGTAAAGTGTTTGATCTGAGTAAACGTGTTGAACATGGACAGCTGATGAATCACGAGGTAAACATTGCAGTACAGTGTACTGCAACCTAGCCGAAGCCGGCCAGAAATAAAACTTAAAACCCGATTTTATATAATTCCTGAACTGCACCTGCAGTTGCTCGTTATATTTTTCTCACCTAATCATATTTTTTATATTTATTATATACTTCGTGTCAAAACATAAATATTGTTTAATTTCAGGGAACAATTTCATGTTTGGCTGGGTTTGGAAAGAACTATGTATTTGCAGCGTCTGATGATAACAGTATATCTGTGACGAAAGTCGGATCTTGGCAGGTGAGCTCATATTTGCACGAATTTTGCATTAATGCAGAGCTTAAGATGCTGATCCATTGGATTCCCAACATTTTGGCTTTCTGTATCCGGATCCGCAAAATTTTGCTGGTCCATGGATACAACCAAAACCTGTTAAGAAAAACTTTTTGCGCTCCAAACAACTGTTGGAAAATGAGAGACGAAAAATAAAATAACTTGAAAATTCTTTTTTCCTTTAAAAAAATCTGAACAAAAAAACTAAATAGAAATGTTCCCGGCCAAAATCCGGATCCATTTTTATGAGGACTGTTGTAGGATCCAGATCTGCATCCTAAGCACTGGTTTTTTATAACAAAGCTTTTAAGGGTATCATCGGGACATTCCAACACTTTGATTAAAAGAGTCATTTTAAAGTATAGGCCATAACCAAATCTAACATTATTTTTACCCTTTTTGGTCTATCATTTTTACCCTTATTATCGTCTCTTATTCTAATAAATACCTCGATAATGGGGCTATTATACAAACCAGTTTTTCTGACATCCCAGTTTCATTATTTTTTTTTCATTTCAGTGGTAAAAAGTTGCCAATTTTTGCTTAAATCTAATTCAGCAATTGACTCGGCAAAATATCCAATGGGAAGGAAACCGCNATTGGTCTTGATTTTATTTCTCTTTCACTATTACATGACTAGTTTCTATTACTATTACATTGTCATTATTATTATTAACATTATCATTTCTATCATTGTCATTATTATTATTTCCAGGTAAACTGGCGTTTAGTGCTGGTAAAGATAGAAAACTGGTAACTTGGAACTTGGTCAAGGCCAGACCAGCCTTCATAACAAATCTTAAGGTACACTTTTTAAGCTTTTACACTTTTTCAACTTATACACTTTTTCAGCTTTCATACTTTTTCAACTTTTACACTTTTTCAACTTTTACACTTTTTCACTTTTTCAGCTTTTACACTTTTTCAACGTTTACACTTTTTCAACTTTCACACTTTTTCAGCTTTTACACTTTTTCAACTTTTCAACTTTTTCAGCTTTTACACTTTTTCAGCTTTTACACTTTTTAAGCTTTTACACTTTTAGGCTTTTAGTTTTTTTTCATTTAAAGGAAATGTAAACGTAATTTCAAGTGACATTCAATGCAAAGATTGCAATGGCCGATACACCACAGTACCATAAAAGCTTTGTCTGATCAAGTATGTATTGGATATCAATAATTTTGAAAACAGATTATTTTTATCTGTGATTTGTCTACAAAAGTGAGTTGCGCATTTTTATGCTCCAGGAAAACAAAATGGAATTATTAAAATGAAACTTTTTAGAACAACGTCAACGAAAATGATATGAAAATTTAAAAAATAATTTGGAATTTTCTTAATGTTTTTTATGTTCAGGGAATTGCTGAGTTTTTGGCTTGTTCTCCTGACGGTTCCAGGTAGTTTTTTTTTTGACCTGGAAGCTGGAACTCTTGTATTGGATACTAAAAATCTCTATCGCTTGATCTGTATACCCACTGTGGTCACTTTCATTTGAGGATCTATTTTGAGTTATTTCTCCCTTGATCAAAGCTCCATTTAACACCTGACTGTAAGGCTTCCATGCGGGAAATCAAATAAAGATTATTTTATCTTCAAATAAACAAAAGATCAAGATTAAGCATTGATCTTGATCTCCACAATACAACCCGACTAATGACAATTTTGAAGGCCACAAGCAGATCTGAGCTGGGAACTTTTGAATTGTGGATATCGGGATTAATGCTTAATCCACTCTTTTTCTTAATCTCCAGATTAAATAATGCTTGTTCTCCTCTTGTTATTAATCTCCAGATTAATTAACCGATCTGGATTAAGGATATCCCATTCTAAAGTTTTCGCCTCTGAAGGTCTAAATATTTACCTCCAATTTCGATAAACAAATTTTACAGTTCTTAATATATCAAGATGTAATTCTGTTATGTCTTTTTGTTTTTCCGAACAGAACTCCTAAACTCCTTGATCGATTTGTCTCAAATTTTAATTTGTGAACCAGGAGAATGTGTTCAGCTTGGATTTAAATTTCTAAGTGTTTTAGTAAAGGTTTAAAGCTAGTCATCTAAATAATACTTGATACTTAAATTTTTTTTAAGATTTACTGTTTTTTAGATGATCTTTTTGGTCTTAATTTTCCTACACTTTTATCTTTACTTAACTTTGATCTTTTTGCAGAGCGGATTGTCAGGTTTGTCTAATAAAGGTTGACAGAGATATGCTTACTTTTCAAACTGAAAATTGAGTGTCTTAAACTCTGTGACGACATTCGCACGCAGTGTACACTGTACAGTACGTACTTTTCACTGTACAGTTTCACTCCTGGGACAAAATTTTCAGTTAAAAAATTGATAAAGGGTTTACGGGTACTGTTGTCAATCAGACATTCCACTCTTTTAAAGTAATAGTCTCTTTAAAAAATTCTAAAGTTGATTTTTGTATTTTTCTATGATGTAATTATTGTCTAGATATTGTGTTGGTATACACCGACGGATAGACGTGTATAGTATAGATGGAGCTGGTATTGAGTATACTATTGATCTCAAGTGTAGACCTAACGGTCTTGCTTTCCTAGACAATAATACAGTGGCAGTTGGAGGAGAAAATACTAAAGTTCAGGTCAATATCTATATATTAAGTAGTAATCTCTGGTTTGTCTGTATGTCCGATCATAACTCAGAAACTCCCGGACCGATTTGCCTCAAATTTTTATAGGGGAACGCGGGGGGGGGGGGAGCACGGTAATGTTCTTAACTTGGGTTTGAGATTCTAAGTTGAGTGGGTAGACTTTTATTAGGGGGAAAAGCTAAAATCGTAATTTACGACAAAAACGTATTTATATCAAAATATATTCCAATAAAATTAGAAAAATTTAAATGTAACGATAAATTATTTTATAAATTCTGACTTCTTAATTGATAAATTCTTAAATATTAAAAAAAAAAGGAATTTTATGGATGTTGGATATATTTAATGTTGTAAAATTAAATTTGTATAATATTTTGTTTTCAACTTTTTTTCTACTGGATTAATAATCACAAAATTAAGAAGATATTTTTATCAACTTTTTTGTCANAAAAAAATTCTCCCAGCCCAAATATGAATTTTTGAAAAGAAAATGATTATTAAAGATTAAGCAAAAAAAGAAGTAACAAAATATAAACTTCTTCTTTTGTTTAAAAAAAAAACCCTAAATCTACGACCTTCTGTAAAAATGCAGACTTTGTTCCGGATCCGGTTTTGAATCCGGATAAATCTTTTCTAATACTTATAGATTATAATTTTTATATTTAGATTCACTCGTTGATAGAGAGGAAGCTGATAAAAGAGTTTGAGGCCCACGAGACCAGGGTTAGATGTATTCAGGTAAATTTTAGTAAATTCATTTTTAACATTTAAACTTTTTCCAAAAATAAAGAATTTCCCCCGTTATGTAGAAAAAGTTGGGATGGGCATCTNATTTGCAAGAGAAAAAATGCTGAATTATATTTATTGGTTTTTTAATGAAGAACCATATAGTTAGATCGGCCCTTTAAAAATCGTTGAATTGTTTGCAATATCATTCGACCCAAATAGCTTATAAAAAGGAGGCTCTTGTTGTAAGTTTAGAATGTTAAATGTCACATGACCCTCCATTTTAAGAGAAATTTTCTACATCTAACTCCTTGAACCAATAATGTAGAAGATATTGTCGTGTTTCAAGTTTGGATAGTGTTTAATTATGATAATTCTTACATTGTTTTCCTGCAGCAGAAATACGGAAGCCACTTATGTGAATAAATCATAATTGTAAATAATCAGGTTTTCAAAATATAAACTCATACTTGATCAGTCAAAGCTTTTAATGGTCACTTGAAATTTCTCCCACACACTCTTTAAGTATAGATCCGTTTACATCATTTTTGTTCCGAATAAACAGAATTAGTTTATTTCAGGTGATTCCTGAGAGTAGTTTAACAACAGAAGAAATAAAACCTGAATCTATTGAAGTTGAAGAAGAGAAGGAGAAGGAGAAATCTGAGAAATCTGAGAAATCTGAGAAATCTGAGAAATCTGAGAAATCACAGAAATCAGAGTCTGGTCATGTTCTAGTCACTGCTTCTAGTTCAGATCACATGATCAAACTCTGGAGAGTTCTTACAGACTCAGAGTCAGAGGTAACATAACAGAAAACAGAGATAACATTTAAGAGACTGTTAACAGGTAAGGAGTCAAAGATAACATGATTAGAAGTTCTTACATTCAAGGAGTCAAAGGTAACATTTAGTTAAGAGAGTTCTTGCAGGCACGGAGTCGAAGGTAACATTTAGTTAAGAGAGTTTACAAACACAGAGTAGAAGGTAACATTTAATTAAGCGAGTTCTTACAGAAAAGAAGTCAGAGGTAACATTTAATTAAGTGAGTTCTTACAGAAAAGAAGTCAGAGGAAACATTTAGTTAAAAGAGTTCTTACAGAAAAGAAATCAGAGGTAACATTTAGTTTAAAGAGTTCTTACAGACAAGAAGTCAGAGGTAACATTTAGTTGAGTGAGTTCTTACAGACAAGAAGTCAGCGGGAACATTTAGTTAAATGAGTTCTTACAGACAAGAAGTCAGTGGTAACATTTAGTTAAATGAGTTCTTACAGAAAAGAAGTCAGGGGTAACATTTAGTTAGTATGTATGATTGAAATTGTGTAAGATTTGAATCTAACGTGAAATTTATTTAACTTTGACGTGGGTTACATAAGAATTTAGTTTCAGTTAAGGCGTCACACGCAACATATGATTGAACCCTGCCATTCAAGACAAGTGGGAAAACATTTTGACAATTTAGAAGTTACCATTTCCGAATTAGCCAAAATATTAAAGGGATCGACTGACTACACATGGTAGTCGAGCTGACAGTGCAGTATTGCAGAGTAATTTTTCAGGATTTATTTGAGACCTTTTTATGGTGAATATTTGTACAACAAGAGCGCAAATTCATCTTTAAAATCTTTCTGGATTGTCCAACCTGCAGGGGCAGGCTTGCCCCGCCCCAACATGCCATGCCTAGCCAGTTTCTCCCTTTAAAAACAGTTTTTAAAAAAATCTTCAAATTGTTATCTCCGGGGTCGGATTAAGGAGCCTTTGAAGTTTTGTTTTAATTTTGACATTTTTGTTAAGGTTCGATGTATCGGAAGTTTTGATACGACCTGCCGTATCACATGTTTAACCACGTGGAACGAGGGAATGAAAGGTACCAAGAAAAGAAAGAATCCTGGAGTCAGTGAGACGGTTCCAACCCCGGTCAAGAAAATTAAATTGTCTGAGGGTGTGTCTAAAAAGATTCAAAATAGTTTTGAAGAAATTACAGTTGAAGAAGAACAAAGTGCCGCTAAGAGTCCTAAAGATCCAAGCAAGATAAAGAAAAAGAAGAAGAAGAATAATTTTGTTGTTTCTGAAAATATATAATTTTTTCATTAATATTAAGGATTAGTTTTAATATGCTTTCGTTCTAATAGTTAGATTTAAAAGAATTAAATCAACAATGAGTAAACATAATAGAAAATGTTTCCTGAATCAAATAGGTTTTATTTATGAATTTTCGGCCTTATGTAATTGAAAGTGTAGCAGATAAAGCTTGGAGCAAAGGGAAAATAAATGTTTCGGGGCCCCGTCCTTATACTTGTTCATTGTACTTACATGGTTATCTACCTCAAAGCAGATTGCTTACTGTTAACTTCAAAGAAATCGGTATTTAATGTTTTTAGAAATTACTTTTAAAGCAAAGAATCTTGTATTGAATGTATATAGAAAATACATTAAAAACAAATAATCAGGTATTCAATGTTTGTTGAAATTATATTAAAAACGAAGAATCTGGTATCCAATGTATATAGAAATTACATTAAAAACAAAGAATTTGGTATTCAATGTAAAGAGAAAGTATATTTAAAAAAAAAGAATCTGGCATTCAATTTAAATAGAAATTACATTAAAAACAAAGAATCTGGTTTTCAATGTAAATAGAAAGTACATTAAAAACAAGGAATCTGGTATTCAATGTAATTAGAAAGTACATAAATAATGTAATTTTTGTTAAGTAAATGCATAAAAATCAATTCAATTACAGGGCCGTCCTAATTTACTTAATTTGAGAGGTCTTAACTCTTGTTGGACGAAGTGTTCTTGGGGAATTTTCATCATTTTGTTACTTTTAATACAACTAAACACAACTAAAATATGTTCTGTTTTATTTTGTTAAATCACATTTGTCTTTTATAAAAAAAAGACCAAAATGTTAATTGGTAACACCTCAAAAGCTCACACAACTGTAGGATGATCATTCTAGGTAATATAGTAGAAAGAGCTAATTCCAAGATGAACCAGTTTAAGATTTAAGCCAAAATTTATAGAATAAAATTTTATTTTTGGAAAAAACTCCTTTGATTTTAAAAAAGTTATATGACGATGAGTTCTGTGGAATGATGTGAGATGTTTCGGTCTACCGTAGAATCAAGAGATAATTTCAAGGATGCGCGAGGAGAGGAAAGCTTTAGCTGACAATTTTTCCAATTTTTCTGAGTTGAAGCATTTTTCGAAATGTTTTTTTTAAACAAAGCAAGGACCGAATTTACTGAATTTGAGAGGTCGCTTTACCGTTCAGATCCTGAATCACCGATGCAAATCATTATGAAACTTTAAATAGGTTATTCATGACTTAAACCGGCGGTATAGGAAGTTCGGCAACATCTCTTTAATTCATCAAATTACGGACAGTCGTTTCTGGGTAACGCTCTATGTTAACCAGCTAAGGCCGATTCTCCGCTATATCTGCAAACTGAAAAATTTTGTACTTATTTAAGCATAAAACTAATCTGTATAAAATAAAGTAAATATATATATATCTACTAGCTGAATGGCTCGGCGTTGCCCGTGGATAAAAAGAATTGAAATATTGAGAGAAAAAATTATAGAAACTGCCACAAATTCAAATTTTGTTTTCCCTATATCTTTGCAACTTTATGGTGTAAACCTTAAATATATAATTCATAGTTTAAAATGCCTAAGGTGTACGACATCAATTTGCAAAGATATACGGATTAGAAAATTAGAGTTTCTGGCAACGACTCCGTTCCATTACGCGAAAATCAATATCTTCTGGTTAGAACATATAATGGTCATTTTTAAAAACATTTTTGCCCTCGGGATACACGCTAAAATATGCTTTAATTGGACATGTTCCTAATTTTAAAAAATGGGCCATCAATCATTATTTACGTGTATTCTATATGAACTGAACAATCATTTTAAAAGATTAAAAACTTCCACAAATTACTTTTTAATTCTAAACTGAGCATATTTCCATTTTCCAGTTTGGTGTGTGGAAACTCTTGTGATGCATATTAAATGAGTATTTTTATAAATAATAAATATTGTTTGTATTGATCACTATAGTGAAGTAAACCTGTAGACCAGTAAACAAAACTTAGTTCTACACAACTCTCGCAATCAAATTCTTTATATTTTTAGCAAATTATTATTCAATTTTGATTATATTTAACAAGAATTGCTATATTTGTAACGTTAATAATGCAACGAGTTTATTAATTATGACATCTTGGGGGAGCTAGGGAACGTTACCAACGGTCAAAACTTTTGTGTAAAATATTGCTAAGCTACAACGCTTAATCTCGATATCCACTGTGACATCTTTTAAATTGAGAATAAGTGCTTGATACCTCATTTTAGTTTCCGGGATATACAATATAAGTTTTTTTTCCTCCTTTTTCTTACATTTATGATTCCCTAAAACTGTGAACTTTTTTTTCTTTGCTAAAGTAATCAAATATATAATTTATAAACTTCATGCAAGACAATGCAAACTTTAACCTTTTTAGCTCATTATTAAAGTCTCATTTTTTAAGGGTAGATATGTAAATCCTATAAATCAGATAAGGAAAGGATTAATTATTAATCATTAATTTTACTCAATCTAATTGTAAAAAAAAACTTTTATGTGAAAAATATCAGAAGTCTTAAATCAAGTAAATATTACTCTTCAAAATATCCAATAAATATTTTAATCCAAATTTACTTTATTGTATTCAAATTGTATTTTGAGGTTTTTAAGAAATATAATCAAACAAAGCTTTTTCCTTCCACGGAAAATGGACTATTATTTTTATCAAAATTGCAGTATAGCGTTTTCAAATTAAAAAACTTTAAACATTATGCCGTACTCGGATATTCAGGGTGTGCCACGAAACATGACAGTTGGTAAGTAGTTTTGAATGTCTTCTTCCATATATTGTATGGATATTAATCAAAGATTTTTGCAGTTTATTTCGTAAAAATGCACCTTTACCTTAAACTTATTTTACTTTGAAATCAATTTTGCTATAATATGATTGTTATATCATATTTCTAATCATTCTCTTCAATATCAAATCACTTAACTAATTATGGAAGAAGACATTTGAAACTATTCACCAACTGTCATGTTTCGTGGGACACCCTATAAAGATTGAAGATCAAATGAATTGTCCGCTAATCTAGGGGAAAATTATGGAGTGCTTTTTTAAGAGCAGAAATGGATTTATCTAAGAGAATAGAATATTAGAAACGAATTTTTAAAAAAACCTCGTTATGAATTTTGTCAGTCCCTTTCAGCCTGAAAGGGAGTTCAAAGTGTACAAATCATGTAAATGTTCACAAATTATATGCAGTAGAGTACATTAATACAGTATGTTTCAATTTCGAATTTTTTATTATATCCACTAAACGTCAGAACGGCTGACCCGATCGGGCCCATTTTTGTGTGGGACCTCATGTGACTCCAGGAAATGTTTATGAATGATAAAAATTTCAAAATTTGTGTGAAAATGTTTTTATTTTTGTCAAATTTTGAAAATGCACGAAAAAATATTCTGAAATCTGCAAACTTTTTTTATACTGTACAATGAGAAGGTGCTCACAGATAAAGCCACAGTTAAAAGTCTAGTAAATGTATACTTTGCTTGTCTGTCTGTTTTTTTATCATTCTGTAACTCTGTCCGTTTGTACCAATAAATGTCAAAACGGCTGAACGATCAGGCCCAAACATTTTTGTGGGACATCAAAAATTTGCCTTCATCAAAATTCGATTTTTGAAGATATTGAAGATAGTGAAAATCCACGAAATATTTTTGAAAAATCAGCAGACCTTTTGTTTTGATTTAGTTTTAAAATGTATAAAAAGAAAAAATGATCATAATGGAAATGGAAGATAGGTGCGAAGCAATTTAAAAGCCCAGTTAAATAAGTTACTTGTGAAACTATTTGCTTTATATCAAAAACACTTCCGAATTGTTTTTATGTCGTCTTCCTATTCCACAGTTTTCTGGTTCTCACTGTATATCAAATCCTTATTTCTCTATTGTTTTGGCAAAATTAGAACTACAGAAAAGTGCTAGGATATTTTACAGAAATATATTTCAGAGAGATGAAAATTTCAATTTCATATATAAAGAATTATCATTAGATAAGACATTTAAATTATAAGAAAAGTCAGAGATAAGACATTTCATAGACAGAGAAAATTTTTATAGATAAGCAATTCAATAGACATAAACGAAGTTTCTGAGAAATAGTGAACGCGTTCTATGCTTTTTTTTCGGAACAATGGCCTCGTTCTTGATAATTCCATTCGTTCCCATTAAAGAACGATCGTTTTCCATTAACGAAGCCTAGCTCTAGGAATGTGATCTATATATCAAATACTTTAATAATTAATAAACCTTATTTATGAAATTTCTTCTATAAAAATTCCAATCTATAAAATGTTCTATATCTAAGAAATGTCCGATCTATGAAAAGTTCAATCTGTAAAATGTTCTATCAATGAAATATCCTATTTATAAAATGTCCTATTAATGAAATTACGTTGTTTGAATATTTAGAGCTTGTTTTAATATTTAGAGCTTGTTTGAATATTTAGAGCTTGTTTTAATATTTAGAGCTTGTTTGAATATTTAGAGATTGTTTGTATATTTAGAGCTTGTTTTAATATTTAGAGTTTGTTTGAATATTTAGAGCTTGTTTTAATATTTAGAGTTTGTTTGTATATTTAGAGCTTGTTTTAATATCTAGAGTTTGTTTGAATATTTAGAGCTTGTTTTAATATTTAGAGTTTGTTTGAATATTNCTCCAATCCTTCTCAGTCTGTATCCAACTCTAATCAATTCTTCTCTAGCTTTCTGCCCTTTCCCAATCCTACAAAGTATGCCTCCAATCCTACTCTCAATGTGCCTCCAACCCTTCACAATTCTTCTCAGACCGCCTTAATTACTACTTTGTCTGCATCCAGTCCTACCCAGGCCAAGGGTCAATAGTTATGGCTCATGATTGCCTTAAAGCATTCTTTTCAATTTATTTATTATTTTAAATTTAGTGTGTGAGGTGTTTGACTATGACCATGTGACTGGTAAATGCTGCGTTGAAGATATAACTTACACTATTACTACTACTACTTCAGCCTGGAGAATAGTTTACAGACCAGTGACCACTGTTACAGCTAAACGTGCTCCTACAGTAAGTACTTTTATTTAAAATCGTGACAATCTCAAAAGCTGTATCATTTTATATTTGCAATACCTCAGCTACTTTATTTTTATGACTTTTCCAAAAAACATTAAAATATATCTTTAATTCTAGATTTCCAGTGAAGTTATTGCTCCATGGTGCCCCGTGGTCTTCAGGAATTGGGCAGAGGAATATGCTAATTCCATGTTTGGTAATTTTAGGGGAAATTAGTTCCAAAACTAACACTTGGTCCATTTCTAACACAATGGACCAAATCTGCAGAGTTATCCTTTTCACGCGTATATATATCTTTAAATTCAATCCGAGTTAACACAACTTTAAACTAATAATAAGGTGTGAGAATTAGTTTTTGATGATTCTTGTTTTCATTTTCAAACATATCACTATTTTGAAACAATTACTGCATTTCAGCTCATGCCGTGTTTGATACAATTACTGAATTCATATCAATGTTAATTTTCAAGTATTTACTAACTAATTCGTAACAAAACAAGATTTTTTGATAATGTAAAATATAAACAAAATAGAAAATAAAAACATATTGTAATTTTTTAATTAAAAAAAAACATTTAACGGCATTGAAGAAATTAAAATATTAATCTTATTTTGTTCTGGAAATGCGGAAAATTGATTGTATAAAATGCAGGAAACTTATTTGTGCCCATTTCTAACACTCAATGTAAGAATTGGGCCAAGTATTAGTTTTGGAACAAATGTCTTCTGAATTTATAGAAATTTAAGTTAAAAAAGGGTGGGTGGTTTTATTATATTGTTCAGCCTATAATTATTTCCAAATTCCACATGACACACGTTTTTAAGACAAGCGTCCATTTGTTCAATAACAAGTTAAAGGAATTGTTTGAAGTCTTTCTCCGCAAATCTTAAGTCCCACCTAAGTTCAGAGATTTTTTAAAAAGGGTTTCGACCAAATCTCTTTTCTGAAGCGAACATAGGTCTAAAATGTAAGGGATATTGTAAAACACCGCTTTTTTAGGATTGAGGAGTAATTAAACTTCTTCGTGAAATCAGAAAAATACAATAAAAACTTTTATTTTATTTTTCTTACAATTGACGATGCTTTCAATAAAAAAATTGGCAGACCAGTGTTATGTTTTGTACTTGCTTCCTGCAATAAAAAAATTAAGACTTTTAAATTTGACTGCAGGAGCATGGACCTTTAAATCATCCCAAGATGCTGCTGGCTTAACAATGATAAATGCTTTAGATGGCAACATAACAACTGAAGCCAGGTTCTTTTTTTCATTTTTAACTTTTAGATTTACAAAATTGCAATTATGGTCTATAATAAATTAAAAGGTAGCATATTTTGAACATTTGAGCTGAAGAATTTGGCCCCATTTTTATATTTAAAACCTCGAAATTAGCCCCCAAAAAACAATGTTACAAATGCAATGTAAAATTTTTAAGACACAATGATAATTATAAAATATAAATTATAAATATAAAAATGGTCCTATTTTTTATTAATAATCTAGTCAAAAAAATTGCATTTTAACCACACAAAAAAATGAGTCTGTTTCAATTTTAAGTGTCAGAATATTTTTTCTTTATTTAGAACAACAGGACACCCACTCCCGTATCAGATAATTTATTTTGGGAAACCAATGAGAGTAACTGCAGTCTGGATTACAGCTGGTGCTAACTTTCCCCTTGCAAGCTTAGATGTTAGAGTTGGAAACTCAGATTTTCGTTCATACACTACCAACCAGAGAATAACAGGCAATATCAGGTACTACTATCCTACATTAATGTCTATAAAACAGTATTATTTAGTGTACTGTCCCTTTAATCCATCTATAGTACATTACATTTACATGTACACTGAACAGTACTAAATTTGCTTTGGCTTTGGCTTTGTTGCGAGTCCTTAATAACTATCTTGGGCAGCATTTTTAAAATGAATGCAAAAAAACATCAAAGCTTTATAATTTAAATAAATTTTATGGTTTATCAAAAGTACACATTTTTAGATGTGGTTCCTACCTGCTGGGTCCTAATACATATCTTCAGATGGTTTCCTACCTGGGTCTTAATACATATTTTTAGATGCGGCTCCTACCTGGGTCCTAATAAATATTTTTAGATGTGGTTCCTACCTGGGTCATAATACATATATTTAGATGTGGTTCCTACCTGGGTCCTAATAAATATTTTTAGATGTGGTTCCCACCTGAAGTCCTACTAGAATACATATATTTAGATGTGGTTCCTACCTGGGTCCTAATACATATAATTAGATGTGGCTCCCACCTGCAGTCCTCTAGAATACATATATTTAGATGTGGTTCCTACCTGGGTCCTACTAGAATACATATATTTAGATGTGGTTCCTACCTGGGTCCTACTAAAATACATATATTTAGATGCGGTTCCTATCTGGGTCCTAATACATATATTTAGATGTGGAATTCCCACCTGTAGTCCTACTAGAATACATATATTTAGATGCGGTTCCTACCTGGGTCCAACTAGAATACATATATTTAGATGCGGTTCCTACCTGGGTCCTATACTAGAATACATATATTTAGATGTGGTTCCTACCTGGGTCCTATACTAGAATACATATATTTAGATGCGGTTCCTACCTGGGTCCTATACTAGAATACATATATTAGATGTGGTTAGTCAATAGTTTTCTTTGTTCATTTTTAACCAACCAATTTTAACCCATTCTTGGGAAACTATTTCAAAACTTTCGTTTTTTTAAATAAATGTTAGAAATATCCATTTTAGATCTCTTTTATTTTATTATAGTGACTTTTAAAGTCATACATATATTTAGATGTGGTTCCTACCTGGGTCCTACTAGAATACATATATTTAGATGTGGTTCCTACCTGTGTTCTATACTAGAATACATATATTTAAATGCGGTTCCTACCTGGGTCCTACTAGAATACATATATTTAGATGTGGTTCCTACCTGGGTCCTACTAGAATACATATATTTAGATGCGGTTCCTACCTGGGTCCTATACTAGAATACATATATTTAGATGTGGGTCCTACCAGGGTCCTACTAGAATACATATATTTAGATGTGGTTCCTACCTGGGTCCTACTAGAATACATATATTTAGATGTGGTTCCTACCTGGGTCCTACTAGAATAAAGAATGAAGTTGTTTACATATCTTGCAGCAACCCCAGGGGTATCATCGGCACTTATCTTTCTATCCAGATGACAGAAAGGTCAGAATAATTTATTACTTTGATTTTGTTAAAAATAATTTGCAAAATCTGCAACTTTTATTTTTGACTCCAGAGATTTGGAGATTGCTGTGTCAAGGCCCATGAAACTGCTAGAAATGTTCCTGAACCGTTACATTACATAGTTTAAAATATAATTTGCTCTAGAAAAGATATTTTCTCACTGAATTATTTGGAGCCAAAACTGGCACGTTTATTATTGTTAGTTTTGAGAAATGGAATTGAAATCTATTATTTTCAAACCCAAACCCGGGACACTAGAAATGAATATATTTAAAGGGAGGGTTGCAATAGTTTTGAATTCAGGGATCCCTCCATACCCAATTCACGATGGTCCCCTTTAAACCTTTATTGGATCAATAATGCGGAATATATCTTTGTTTTTCTAATTTGAAAAGTGTAAAATTTTCCCACTCCTCCAATGTTCTGCAACAAGAAATCAGCCATTCACTGTTAATGAGAAAACAAAATTAAAAATAACCGATTTTTCATGAAATCATGAATATCTCACTCATTCTTGATCAAAACAAAGTTGTGAATCGGGCATGCCACAATATAAATTCAATTTTAAAATATCCTATACAGTCCTGTTGAAATAAAACGTCACACCTTAGCACAGAACTTTATTCAGTAAATTTTAACATTCAGAGTAAAGTCTTGTACTAAGGTGTGACCAAAGAGAATAGAAAATATATTAGAGTAGAATTCAGACAATCCTTCGGTATGAATTTTGTCAGTCCCTTTCAGCCTGAAAGGGAGTTCAAAGTGTACAAATCATGTAAAATTTCACAAATTATATGCAGTACAGTACATTAATACAGTATGTTCCCTAGACTATCCATTTTAATTTAGAATATTTTAAAGCTGTTAAATAACTTAATAAAATGAATTAGGTGAAAATAAACATTATTTGGTTTATAGTTATAACAGACAATCATCGTTTGTAAAGTGGAAGGCATAGAGTCTGTGAAATGATCATTGGTCAATTATAAAACCAGCCTATTTCATAATTTGGTTTTCTTTTAATATTAATTTTAGATTTTCTATAAAATGATGTTCCAGGGCCCAAAAGACTATATAGCATAAATATGTGAAGTACACCTGCAGTATGGAAACAGTACAACAAAATGGCCGTTTTACACTTTTTTCTAGTAAATTCCACTCTATAATATATATTCTATTCTCTGTGGGTGTGACGTTTTATTTCAACATTGAAACATTAGCTTTGTTTCTGGACATTTAGTCCAGTGTGAATCTTAAGATAAAACAAATTGTGTGCTCACGTGAAAAATTTAGAAATGAGCTAAATATTATTATAAAGCTGCTGCTAATTATTTTCAATCTATAATAGTTTATCATTACTTAGCTATTCATTTATACTTAAGTTCAAAATCATGATTATTTTTAAATTTCTAATTATCATTATTCATATATATATTTAGAAAACTTCCAATTTAATCATGATATACTTTTTTTACTTCTAGGGCTACGATCAACAGTCCTTTGGAAATTGCAGAACTGAAAGTTGAAGGATTTGCGAGGGAGTGCAATGTGCAGACGGCATTTTAATTAATCAATAAAAATGTCACTAAATTATTCAATTATTTAAAGAAAATAATAGTTATTTACATTAGTTAACCATTGTCTCATTAATCAAATTGTTTATCAATAATTACTTATCATCTGCTGACAAAATGGTTCCTCTTTCAAAACAACCAGCTGTGATTAGGGAGGCCCTGGCTATAATTATGACTAAAATATAAATGTTCACATTTTAATATTTTAGCCTAAATATATCTATTATCTATCTATCTATCATTAAACTTTGTATGCTGGGTAATGGGTTGTCCTGAATTAAATCAAACAAAACAAAACGTGAGAGTAGTTTTCCATGTTCAATAGCTGGACATCTTTTATTTATATTACTGCTTTTTTAACAACATTTCCAGGGATTGTTTATTGTTACTTAATTGCCTCTTGGAATAATTTAGTAAAATAACATCTCAGTCTGCAAAGTTTTAAAAAAGGCACATTTTCAACTTGAAAAAATTAAAACTACAAGTTTTTTGATAAATTACAAATGTTACTTAACCACTGGTTCCCTCAACCGATTTGGTCTCTATTAGATACCTTGCTTGATCGATTGTGCATGGAAATAATGGAATTGGAAACACATATATCCAAAGAATTTTGTTCACGTTAAATTACCCTTCCTCTTTCAAAGAAAAGGGTAAAGGAAAGGGAAGGGAAAAGGGGATGGGAAATCAATGAATATGTTTATTTTCAAAGGGCTCAGTTACATTTTATCTTCAACAATTACATATTCATTATCTGTTAAACTTCATATACATTTACCATTATATTAGTTACAAGACTGTCAAAGTAGAACTTCTGTTTATCAAAAAATCGAGAATTTATTTACATTGATTCTAAAGAAAATTCATCAATTTACTCCAAAATGATAGAAATTTTGAAACATTGTATTTTCCAAAATGTTTGCATTAAATTTCTAACACAACAATTCTCTTGAAAAATCATAAAATATTTTTAAATTCTTAAGTAAAAATGCCTTTTGATGCAGTTGAGGTTTCGTGAATATATTGACACTCTGAATTTTCGAAAATATATACGTTTAAGCTATGGGTGTCCTGCAATAAACATGGGAATTCAGTGACGAATTCGATATCGTCTTTTTAAAAAATTCTTCGATTTAGTATAGTGATACCATACTGAGAAAACTGTAATCTGTAAGAGTTTCGTCTGCTATGTTCACATTTTGTTTGTTTATGTTTTGACTGCATACGCGGTTGTACTTAGTAAAACAAGAAAATTGCAGCGTACAAACAGAATAAACTTGTCCGTCTTTACTGTTCATCTTGCGAAGACAGTATAGACGCATGTTTGCTGTCTGTTACCCTTTTCATAAAATAAACTTTAGCAGACATAATTTTATTATGGCTTTTGAAATTAGGTATTACAATTTGCTAATTCATTACAAAGACGATATCGAATTCGTCACTGAATTCCCATGTTTTTTGGGACACCTTGTAGTTTTGAGTTTGCATCAAACTTTTCAACTCTAAAAATACAACTTTTTAAGTAAAAAAGAAAAATACGTAAAATTTTGTAAAATAAAAACCAAAACTAAGAAAATTACTTAAGGTATATGAAATTTACGAAAATGTGTTTTTAGGTTTGTCAAACAAAAAAAAATAAAAAAACGAAACAATTTTAAAGTAAAGGAAAAACCGAAAAATACAGCCATGGACGCTCGGCCCCATATGTCCTAGCCGCAGCGCGCGGCCCAGAAACTGTCTAAACCTAACCTAACCCTATATAATATGTACTAATATCTCTCTTCTTTTCATGCGGCATTCGCGAGTAACAGAGTTTGGCCGCTACCCATTTAAATCTCTTTCGGTAAGCTTGTTATACATTGTCTTCACGCAACATCCCCCCCCCTTCTGAACTTCTGACCTACTGCAATATCGGACCTACGCCAGCTGATTATTTTTGTATTACTCGAGGGTTCGGTTATGTTAAAAGATAATTTTTGGGCCGTGCGCGCTGCGGCTACTGCAGGACGGCTAGGATCCGAGCGCCGCTGATAAGACAGGCTAGGGGGTCGGGACCTGCGGCCACAAGTCCATTTAGCGGCTGTAAAACCACGTGTGCTGAAGGTTGGATGTGTAGGAGAGCGTATTTGGCGTAGGTCAGAAGTGGAGTACAGCGGATTTGCGTAGGTCGAAAAATACACCATCATCCCTTTCATTGTTTACATTATGTCGTCTTTACCAATATCGAAACCAAACCAAATAAATCTGTGGGATGAGAAAGCCAAGCCCGACTTTGAGTCTTTTTTTACGTTCCCTTTTATTGATGTTCCTAAAAAGACAATTTATCGATAAAAAGGGACAATAAAGAAACCTTGAACTTTTTCTTTTTATGAATATGCGATTCAGGTTTAAGTGCTCTAAATTTCCTGAAACTATATAGGTCTTCAATTGTTTTCAAAGATTTGAACAGACTTCATATTATCAAAACAGAAACTCTAATTATAGTTTGAACAGTGATTCCTGGTTAGACTGCAAGAAATGAACTTCCTTAAAAGATAATTTTCGAAATTAACTTGGAAGTTTTTCGATTTTGGATTCTGCTAATCGAATTGTGTGTATGGATTAAACATTTGATGAGTTGAGTGTTAATAAATCTTAAAAAATATTCAGTTGGGTAGATTTTCACTAATGGTTAACTAGTTAAAGTAATTTAAAGAAGAATAAAACACCGTTTGACCATCCAATCATTGCGTTAACCTCTATCTGAGCAGGATGATATAAACAATATATAAAAGGTAATTGTAAACAACCCTTCAGTTTATATCGCATATATAATCACAAATCAGTTTTAAAAGAAAAATCTCAATTTAAAATTTCAAAGTTCTAGAAAGAAAATAAAAGGTATTTTCCGGTTTTACGCTTTTTGGACCCCCCCCCCCCCCTTATTAATTTCGCACATTGTGCTGATATTTTACACATGTTCAAAGTTGACACATGGCCATAGCGCGGCCCCCTAGTTTGTCAAAGCCGCGGTGCTCGTCCCCCTAGCCAGTCCTAGCCGCTCCTAGCTGCAGTGCTCGGCCCAGAAATTGGCTTAACCTAACATAATCACTAACTAATACAAAACAAATATTGAAAGATTTGTTAAAATATATTGGTCATGTATAAAATTAATATGAGGGTAAGCGTTCTCTAAGACAGGCCCAAAAAAAATATCTTCATTCATTTTGCCTAAGTTTCAAGGGTACCGTTGTGACTCGGATATTCTTCTCTTTTTCATAAACAGAGGGATTCCCCCCTTTCATATCATTGAAAATCTAAACAATGGTAAATAGTAATAAATCCGTGGATTAAAGTATCTAATGATAGTTGTTTTGATTTAGAATAAAAGAAATGAATATTGGATCCTTGCTTGGTTGTGCTTTATCAAATCAACTTATCCAATCCTTTTCATCCGTTTCATCCTTCCCATCTCCTTCCTTCCCCTCTACCAAGCTAGGGGTTGGATATCAGGATATTGATGAAGATACAAGGTCTGATCAGGAAGGGGAAAATGATCATGAAAGGAGAAGAAATACCGAAGAAGGGAAAGTGTTCACCGATAGCATAGGAAACTAAAATGAATAATTTCTAAGTTTTTTTTTCAACATTTAAAAAGCCATTCCAAAGGTTCTAGATTCATGTTTAACGAATTATGGGATTAGTAAGAAAAACTAAGCCAAAAGACCTCGGGAACCGACTTTCCGGATTCCTGCTGAAATCATAATCTCAATTCAGCTAAAATATGATTTCACGTCCTTTGATAGATATATTCATTGTTTTTTTTTATCATCAGAGGATCTATGCCAATGCCAGTGCAACATTTGCCACAAACGAATGACTTCAAAGTCATTGAAAGAGCACATAAGGTAAGAATAAACGACAAAATATGACCGGGGGGTCATTTAAAGACGTAAGACGATAATAAATTGAATCCCATGCACGGTGAATAATAATATTAATAATGACTCAAAAAGAATCGTTCACATAAAACAAATTCCAATTTTATAAAATTTATTTTTGAACAAGAGATCAAAAACAGGAATTATCTCAAGATTATTTTTAAAATATTTCTTATTTAGGAAACAGCATAAATTGGACCGAAGAGAGTATATTAGTAGATACGGGGAGATTCAGTATTCAAAACTTACTTACCATAGGAACAGATTTTATTACATATTAAAAGCTCTTTACACTAAAATGTTTTATGAATTTGTCAATTTAATGTTTAGAGGCTCTAAGATATATTCCTAGGTTATGAGATTTTCTTGTTTAAGGGACGTTAAGCGTAATTTGAAATTAAACTTACCGCCCCTTAAAGTAGTGAATGTAATGTTTAAAATAATAAAAAAAAGCATATGGACAGTAACACAGGGCGCCCATTGAATTTTATCTCTAATAGGGTGCTATTTTTTTTTGAAGGAATGGATATTTTTTCATTTCTTAAGATAAAAAATGGTGGTTAAAAAATGGATAAATAAAAAGTAGTTCCTAAACTACTTTTCTTTTCCCCAATCTAAATTTTTGCCTAAAAATTAAGAATATGTTCTTCCTTAAAATCATTTATATTTGCAAATTTAAAGATTTTCAATCAGGGGTCACGTATACTTTCTATTAAAATCATTTTCGCCCAGAATTTAAGTATGTTTGGGTCTGGGGTTTCTTCGCTGAATTGCGAAAAAGGATTTTTTGGCGAAAAAAAGAGTCACAAAGGAAGAATAAACTTGAATTTTTCCCTCAATTCAGCAAAAGTTCTAAAATAATACACCCCTGTTGGGAAATATATCCAATACTGAGAACATTGCCATTTCGAAAACACTTAAAGCTGAATTAGAACTTACTAAAAAAAGATTTTCATTGAAATCAATTTTAGAAACATGTTCGGAGTGTTTGAAGGGGATAACAGTAGAACCAAGATCTTCATCAAGAACGAGAAAATGAAACTAGAATCTTTAGAAGATACAAGGTTAGGCAGATTTGACTCCTTACTTATGTACAGAGCGTCCCATATCATATTTGATTATCTTCAATCTTTAACACCTAAATACGCATTATACTCAAAAATCTAGCATTTTCTGCAAAAAAATTTCTGTTTGCCTTATTAAATTTTTCAAAATGATTCATTCTTCTTAAATTTTCTGATTTGTCCCCCAAATCGTAATTTAGACCCATTGACGCGGTCTAAATGTGGGACACCCTGTATATAAATTGGAATTTTTGGGAAATCTTAAAAGATAAAATCTTTAAAACATCTGTTAAAGACAAAATTTGAATGCAGAAACTACAAGGGTTCTTTGAGAATATATTCTACGTGTTTTGGCGTTAAAGCTTGGAAAAAATCCAATATGATATGGGTTATGGGGTTTTGGGTTTTATAGAAATAAGTTTTTTATGTTGCGCACATTTAGAAGAACTTTATTTCAGAGACAGTGTAGTGGAGGACACAACGAAACCTATTGAGTTGAACCCAACCCCAGGAAACTCCGGGGAAACCACGGCAGATTCGGAAAAATCATCAGATTTTTTGCGAAGTTTCTACTTCAACCATTTTCTCAACAATTTCCAAAACCTGAACGAAACGATAAAACGGTTGGGACGGAGGAGCGAGAGCTCCGATATTCCAACCTCTGCTAGCTCCTCTCCGGACACCGGAGTCAGGTTGACCTCCGGTCTTCAGTCGGAGGATGAGGACGAGGTTGAGGATGGAGCTGACCTTGTGTTTACGGACTGTATGGCCGAACTCTGTGAGTCCGAGTGTAGACTTTGCGGGAAACGAATGACTATAAAATCTCTAAGGAAACTTACAAATTCTTATCTGCAAATTTTTCATTTTTTTAAAACGGAGTTCTAAAAGAACAATTATGGAGGGTTGAAATGAAATAGTTATAAATATTATTATAATCTGCAATTTCCTGGAACTCACATAAAGTCAAAACTAGTAAAAATAGAAAATAAGATTTTGAATGTTGAATAGGGAGCATGTAAGATTGCGCCACTCTGGTAGTATTCAAGAGTACAGGAAAAAGTTCGGAGAGATAACGTATACAAAACTTACCTATCACAGGTATCATCATGAAGAGATCGAAACGATCTAGGTCTTCGAACAGTTCGACAAAAGCTGCAAGCACTGTAAACCTTAGCGAGACAACTTTCGGATTAAGGCCGGCAGAAGTGGAAAAAGGATTAGTTTCTGATGTATCCGGATATCCTTTGGGAAACTAGGAATAGATCTTGAATTTCTCTTTGGAAAATAGAATTTCCCGGATCTCCTTTGGAAAACTAGGATATTAGTTGGATTTCCTTTGGGAAGCTAGAAGCAGTATCCGGATAGCTTTTGGAAATCTAGGAACAGTATCCGGATAGCCTATGGAAAACTTGGAACAGTATCCGGATCTCCTTTGGGAAACTAGGAACAGCATCCGGATTCTGTGTCGACAATTAACGGCTTATGAAAGTATATATCTTCTTGTTCTTTCTGAAAATGGAAATCAAACTTTCTGTATTTGTCAAACTGTAAATGTCAAGTGTTATAATTAGATGTATCGTTGTAACGAAAACAAGTCAGTGAAATTAAAGAGACTTTAGACGAAATTTCAAATGACCCCTCTATTGAAGAGTGGCATTGTCGATTCAAAACGATATCCTTAAACCTTTGCCCGGGCAAAAATTATGAAATCATCTTTTTTTCTATCTAAAGATTTGTTCATCAGGACCAAAAAAAGGAAATGACCAGAATTCAACACTTTTCATGATTATTTCCCAGATTGTTGCTTAGATAAAAGATTTCCACGTTACTGTTGTGAATCCAACACGGAACTCTTTTGTTGGGGCGTCACTTGAAATTAGTTGAAAAGTCCCGTAACTTACGATAAAGAACCATTGGGTAGGTTCTTTTTTAATGAAATTCCAGGGATCATCTTAAACAATTTAAATATAGACCAGTATGAAAATTTATTTATATTGACCATTAGAATTGTAATGATAATGAATGTCCAATTGTCAGTCGAATACTGAGTTGCAAAATTATGTTTTTTTTGTTGATAATTTTGCAATTTGTTCTTAAGGTCCCAAGTTGTGTTGTTAAAGCTTTCAACGATTGTTTGTGTTTTCCATTTTTACACTTTTTGTTAATTCGATCATGTATGCCCCCTACTGGGCTGCAATGACGCGTTGTGTTCTGTATTCGAAGTTGCTGATGTGCAATATCTTTTAGTCATGTTTGATCTCAATCTATTTATTATATTTTTTATACAAACTTATGTCTAATTGTTTTATTGTACCAAAATTCCCTTGAATTCTGCTAATTATGAAAATTTAATGTTTAAGATGTTTATTGTATGTTTTAGAGAACTTTTTAGTGAATGTTTATGAAATGTTACTGTTATGTAAAGCTATGTGTAAACTGTAAATAGTGAACACCTAAATATGTCACCCCCCACCCCTTCCCTTGATTAAAGAGGTACAGTACTCGTTATTTTAAGTGACCCTCCATTTTTAGAGTGGCATGTCCGATTCGCATATATCCTTAAACCCTTGTCATATTAAAAATGATGAACTTGTACGTATTTCTCGATCTTAATAATGGATATTTTTCAATTGTGGTTCTTTACAAAATGGAAATGGGAATTTACACAACATGTTAGAAATCGCCAACATACCCAGTTAGAAAAATGATATCTTCCAGATTAGTGCTAATCTTAAAGTATAAAGGGAATCGTCGTGAGTTGGCCCAGAAACCCTCTAAATGGAAGGTTACTTAATCTACGGTCCCGTTAAGTAGCTTGATAAAGAAACCAGTTTAGCGCATTGTTTTCATTTCTCCCAGAGCAGTACACACTACACAGTACACAATGCGTTTAATTTCGTTGCTTAAAATCTATTTTTATCCTTGATGTTATATTATCTAGTCCATTTGTCTAAAAAATGTCTTTATATCTTTATGTAATAGTTGTTTTCGTGTCCACTGATGGTGTATAGTATTTGTACACTACTAAAACTTAAAAGTATTTGTTTTCAGAAGAATGGATCCCCCGGAGTTACCCGGGGGATCACCTGGTCCACCTGGAGCCCCCGGAAATGGACCTGGAGCCCCCCGACATGGACCTGGTCCACCCGACCTCTGTGGTCCAGCGGGACTTCCTATGTTTGGTCCTCCTTTCTCTTCACATTTTCTTAGGTATTTCTATCAAGAAATAATTTTTTCTTAACGAAACTATTATATTTAAAATTTTCCTCAAAAGGAAAACTCAAAGCGAACCCCCATATATCGGCATGTCCGATTCACTACTGTGTTGTGTCCATTAAAACCATTTTCTGATGAAGAATGCAGTTTTTTCTACAAACATTTATGTGTCAGAAACTATGAAGTATATTGTTGGAATTTTACAATTTTCAATTTACAAAAATGCCAATATCTTTCTCAATCTCATTGTTGCAGATAAAGGTTTAAAGGGTACAGTTGTGAATCAAACATGTCACTGATCCCTTGAAATTACGTCTACAGTCCCTTTGTGAGTTTTGATTAAAATATGAAGAAGTTTAAATCTGATCTTAAAATCATATGCAGTGGGCTCCAGACGTTAGCAGGGCAAGGGATGGTGGAGAAGTTTCAAAGCCTTCAAACCCTACCCAACCTTCAGAACTTACAGAACCTGCAGAATTTACCCAACCTCCATAACTTACAGAACCTGCAGAACCTACCCATCCTTCAGAACCTGCAGAACCTGGAGGACGAGGAAGAGGAGGATGAGGAACCTCATGAGGATCAGGTAAAAATAAAGTTTGTCCATCGGCAATTTTGAGAAAAAAATGGAGGATATTATCTTTCGATTTAGAATTCAGCCTTTAAGGTCTCAGGACGTTATTTGATGGGTTCTTTATATCACAATTGTACAACTTGTTCCTGAGAAACAATAAGAAATACATCGTAGTTTTCTTTTTCATCTTAAAATATGTTAAATTTTGGCATTATCCTTCATTGTTTCGGATTTTAAGTCTGCAAGTCACTTCTAAAGAGAAACCACAATTACAAAAAGAGGTTCACTGAAAATTACGCTTTCAGTCCCTTTAAAATCTCAATATTCATAACTTCCTAAAATCTTTTGTTAAGATTCCTGTGGAAATAGAGAAAGTATACACAGATAATTTGAAGAGTATGTGTGAGTACACGTGTCAAATCTGTGGGAAAATTATGAACGCCTACTACCTTAGGAAACATGTGAGGGTAAGTTAAAGACGTGGATGATTCGTGGATTTATTCTATGATTGTTGTTAGTTTGTCGACTTAATGATTAATTTGTTGATTAGTTGAATGATTGATTTATTTGTTAAATGGTTCATTGGTTAATTAGTTGAATTAATTAATTGAATTGTTGAATTAATTAATTGATGGATCAGTTGAATGCTAAATAGGTAAGTTTAATTTTTAAGTTGATTAATTAGTTATTGATGGTTGATATATGGTTAATTGATGGTTGATTTATGGTTGATTGATGGTTGATTAATGGTTGATTGATGGTTGATTGATGATTGATTGATGGTTGATTGATGGTTGATTGATAGTTGATTGATGGTTGTTTGATGGTTGATTGATGGTTGATTGATGGTTGAATGATGGTTTATTGATGGTTGATTGATGGTTGATTGATGGTTGAATGATGGTTAATTGATTGAATACTTGATGGTTGATTGATGGTTGATTGATGGTTGATGGATGGTTGATGGATGGTTGATTGATGGTTGATTGATGGTTGATTGATGGTTGATTGATGGTTGATTGATGTTTGAATGATGGTTAATTGATTGAATACTTGATGGTTGATTGATGTTTGATGGATGGTTGATTGATGGTTGAATGATGGTTAATTGATTGAATACTTGATGGTTGATTGATGGTTGATTGATGGTTGATTGATGGTTAATTGATGGTTGATTGATGGCTTATTGATGGTTGATTGATGGTTGATTGATGGTTGAATGATGGTTAATTGATTGAATACTTGATGGTTAATTGAGTAAATGTTTATTGTTTATTGTTGATTGAATGTTTGATATGTTGATTGTTGATTAATGGTTGATCATGATTCATGATTATTGATTGATGGTTTATTGTTCGTTGATTAATTTTCTACATTGGTTAAGGTTTGAACTTCATTATTTTTATTGGTTTTTCTTGTTTAGGATCATAACATGAGTATGACAACGTACAAGGAATTGTACGGCAAAGTTCAATTCACAAAACTTTCCTTCCATAGGTTAACAGATGAAATATTTAAAGATACTTATCATTCTTAAAAGGGACTGTCTACTTAATTTTCATTGACTCTCCAATTACAGATTTACATGTCCGATTCATTTAGTAACCTTAAAATTATTTTATTTAGAATTGTGGAAGTATTGTTGTTTTTCTTGACTAGAATAGATGAATTTGTTTATTTCCTTTCTTGTTCATTCTTCATGAATCCGCAAATAACTTGGTTTAGAAGTCACAAACGGAAAATTATCAATTTTAAGAGAGGCTGATATTTCTGTCATGGAGGTTACCCAGACGAATCGGACACATAACCATTTAAATGGAGAACCACTTAAAATTTTATCCACAGTTCCTTACCATTTATTTATTAAACCAGCAAACCCGTTTAATCATGATATTCTCTTTTTTCTTTTTTAAAATATTTCCACGTTTGTTAGATGTCGTATTTGTCAGAATGTAATAAAAGCTAACTATATTACGATCATGAAACATTTAAAATGTGTTCATAACGTCTCCTTCAAGGATTACAAGAACAAGTTCAATATATTCATTGGCAAGGTAAAAATATAGTTCAAATCTTATTTAGGTGGCTAAAGAACCCCCTTCCGTAAATATCTAGATATTACTTAACCTGAGCTGCTATTACGTGAGTTGGCTATTTTTTATAAAGAGAGGGGGATGGGGATATTCGGGGTTTCAATAATAAAGGAATTTCTTATGTTTTGAATTTTTTTTTTTGGTTTGGGAGGAATAGTTTTGAAACGGGGAACTTTTTTATTTTGGAAATTTTCAATATGGACCGAATTTAATGACTTGGTGAGGTTGCTGAACGACCTACAGTCAATTCAAATCCTGATTCAAATACTCGTGAATCTTTCACTGTTAACAGGAAATTCAGAACTTGAAACGCCAGTTAGTTCAGCGACCTCTTTTCAGTTCATTAATTACGGTCCCAGATCTCCTAATTCCGTTTTTCTAGGAATCCAAGCAGATGTTTAAAGAATCAGAGTTGGAGCTTGAATCTGAGATAGATAGAAACTTCTCAGATAAGGCTCAGGAGATGTGTAAAGTTTCATGTAAAATTTGTAATTCAGGTAAACAACCATTTTTGGTCGGGCGGGTCCTGGTTTGGTATGATTATGTTTTAGCTTATTCAAGAATAGTTGAGATTTGACAATTTAAGAATTTAAGAATAGTTGAGATTTGAACTTAAACATTGCTTCATGATCCCGGAGAATGACTTTAAGATATAGACTGATGGCTTCATGATCCTGGTTGATGACTTTACCATCTCGAATGATCACTTAATGATCTTTGTGGATCATTTTTTATCACAGTTTACCCAGAACGGTTCTGGTTGATCTCCTTATGTAGTTCAATGTTAATTTTCACACTTAAAATATTATTTTAAGGTTGAATATCCTTAAGTTATTGTCTCGTAAAATGTTAAAGTAAAAATAGAAAATTGTAGAGTGATTATTTATAAAGTTGAATTTAAACATATTATGCCTTTTTGGTAAATAAAATTTCAAAATTAAAATTTTTACTTATACTAGTCTTATAGGGCGCTTCACGCCCATCTTCTAAATTAATTGTGAACATGTTCTTTTTGTGAACATCGTAAAACAAAACAAAAATAATTCGCGGATTTTCACAAAAAATTTCGTGTATTTTCAAAATTTTCACAAATTTAATGAAGATCGAATTTTGATAGAGACAAATATTTGAAATTTTGATTATTCATAAACCTTCCCTGTATTCACGTGATGTCACACAAAAAATTTGGGCCCGATCGGTTCAGCCGTTTTGACGTTTATTGGATACAAACAAACAGGCAAACACCCAAACAGACAGACAAGCCAAATTTAAATATAGATGTAAGAAATAGTTCTTAAATGTATTAAAATCTAAGTTACAATTAGGAAATGTAGATGTTAATATAATTAAGGCAATTAGTTTTAGTTATTGTAAGGGACCGTAAACGTTTTTTTCATGTGACCATTTTAAGAGTGGCATGCTCGATTCACAACGATACCCTTAAAATCTCTATCTGAATAATCATGAGGAAGATATCGTCGTTTTTCTTTCTCATTAATCATTGATCACAGAGAGATTTAAAGGGTGCTGTTGGAAATGGAAGGTCACTTAAGATTATATCTACAGTCTCTTTAAAGATATTAAAACATTATTTTTTTTTTAGAATATCCGACTCATCAGTTCAGATTCCACGTTAAAAGTAAACACAAGCTGAACTTTAATGAGTATAGAGAAAAGAATGGAGCATTAGAAATACAGAACAGAGTCTATCATAGGTATATATTATCCTTAGAAATACAGAACAGAATCTATCATAGGTATATATTATCTTTAGAAATACGGAACAGAGTCTATCATAGGTATATATTATCCTTAGAAATACAGAACAGAGTCTATCATAGGTATATATTATCTTTAGAAATACAGAACTGAGTCTATCATAGGTATATATTATCTTTAGAAATACAGAACAAAGTCTATCATAGGTATTTATTTTCTTTAGAAATACAGAACAGAGTTCAGAAATACATAGGTATATATCATCTTTAGAAATACAGAACAAAGTCTATCATAGGTATATATATTATCTTTATAAATACAGAACAGAGTCTATCATAGGTATATATTATCTTTAGAAATACAGAACTGAGTCTATCATAGGTATATATCATCTTTAGAAATACACTAACAGAGTCTTATCATAGGTATATATTATCTTTAGAAATACAGAAAATAGTCAATCACAGGTATATATCATCTTTAGAAATACAGAAAATAGGCTATCATAGGTATAAATCATCTTTAGTAATACAGACAAGAGTATAATAGCTATTTATAGTTATAGTTATATAGCATAGTTCTTGGATACACTCGGGGGACAGGAGCGCTGGCCCCAACTTCACGGAACGACGGGTTGTCTTTTAAAAATAATTATAAAAAAATCATCAAAAAAAATAATATGTCTACACTGACACCTAAAGTTGTTGAATATGACAAGATGATTGTTAGACTCTCAAGTTATAATGTTGAATTATCCAATCCAAGCAAATCAAATCAAGTTTAAATCTGAGAGGGAATATGAATATGAATATGACAAAGAAACACAGCAACTGTTCATTGTTCTGACAACAATTTACTTAACAAGTTTAGTTTCAAGATACTGGTAATTTTTTTGCTTTATTGCAACTTCAAATACACATAAGATTACTTAGATGTCGTCATTCTATTCACAGTGTTATGGGTCTTACCATAGCTTTATTCTTTTAATTCTTCTTTGCTTGTAGATGCAAGGTTTGCTTCAAAGTCCTGTTGTTCCAATATGAAAAGCTGGCAAGTCACGTGACAGATTCTCATGGGATCAAGATGTCTGCCTACGTCAGGTAAAGTCAAATCACGTGACATTTTCTCATGGAATCAAGATGTCTGCCTACGTCAGGTAAAGTCAAATCACGTGACATATTCTCATGGAATCAAGATGTCTGCCTACGTCAGGTAAAGTCAAATCACGTGACATATTCTCATGGAATCAAGATGTCTGCCTACGTCAGATAAAGTCAAGTCAGATTCTCATAGAATTATGATGTATGCTTTGTGCTCATTTTTACCTATAGGAGACCAGGTAATAACTACAAACATAAGAGCGAGCATGAACTCTTTCTCTTCGGCTCACCTCTATTTGCACTGATTAAATCTTATGTATATATTTCAGGTAGGCAGTTTATACAGGACTCAACCGTGAACTGAAAACACAATAAATCAGTCCAGGGTTAATTATATGCATGACAATAATAAAATTTTAGCCTTTAAAATAAAACTTTCTCCAGGTTAACTATTAAATTATTCATTTAATAAGAAAATAAACTTACAATGTTGATTTGTCCAGAGGTTTGTAGCCTATAGTTCATTAAATTGCACCGCAGTCGAGAACATGAAACTAAAAATGAGCTTATTTAGTCCGATCGAAGTTTTCATGTGTCACTTCAAATATCCTTTTTTAAGTGGTGACTTTCTCACATTTATCACAAGCATCGTGATTTTTAGACTTATTACCTGCATTTAATCTAGAGGAGGAGCTAGATCATGGATATAGAATCAGAGCCCTTCCGTGGAGGTATCGGAGGGGAGGAACAATCCTTCTCGTCGGAGATATCGGAGAAGAGGTTACAACTAAGCCGAAGTTGTAGAGGCCTGGTACGTAGAGGTAGATGAGTTTCTAGAGTACCAGCAGGATGTTCTGGAGTATCAGCCGAGTGTCCAGAGAAACAAGGATAACTCAGCTTCCGGTGATGTCGGAGTCTTGACAACGGAGGTCTAAATGAAGATAATTAGACTGAGTTCCAGAGCTCAAAGGTTGTGAGCTTTGATCCTCACCTTTATGTAGACTTCCTTAGACTCCGGACGTCAAGATTAGTAGGTGGGAATAGAAGTGAACTGAACCATCTCAGATTAGAAGAGAACGGAACCATCTCAGGAATCAAACACACAGGGGAGACATCTGCATGCTGAAGAACAGTAGAACTTCTCCGCGAGTCAGTGGAGCAAGTCGAGGTTATATATCAACAGGACTCGTGCCAGCCTAGCATGAGAATTACGTTGAGAGACTTGTGAGAAGTCAGGATATTATTTAAGCTCATTTTAGACATTTGCAATTTTTCACCTGGTTTACACGGAGACGAGCCCGGAACTATTTAGAGAAATCACAACAATCACAATTATCTACATATATTCTATAAATCATCCGTGAAAACAATTCCAAGTAATCTTGTGTAAAGGCATAGTATTTTTACCACGGATAATTTACAGACCTTGAGAAAGAAACACGAACACTGGTTAGCAAAATTCAACTAACCCATCGTGTTCTGAAAGATAAAACTCATTATTTACAAAGTTTTGAGGCTTAGGCTTTTTTAAAAACAATATATAGGTTTTGGCTAAATATTATATATATAGGTTAAATTATAAAACATTTTCAACCATAAAACTCAGGTTCTGCATTATAAAAAAAATCAGGTTATTCTTTAGAAAAATTGGCCTTTAAATAGTTACATTAAAAATCTCAATTAATTATATAGATTTGAACACGTGATTAAATATAGAAAATTGTGCATGTAGAGTTCCGTGTGATTGATCCATTGTTTGTAGAGAATTCCTGGTTGAACACACTGAATAACGTCTTGTCGCTGAACACACTGAATAACGTCTTGTCGCTGAACACCCTGAACACACATTAGTTTATAAAGATCCTTAGATCTTACCTGCTTACGTCAAGTAAACTCAAGTCACATGGAATTAAGATGTCCGTCTACGTAGGGGTGAAGTATGTATGTAATCTAAAAGTTATAAAACCTAAAATCTGTTTAGACTGTATCTGGAGAAGCAGGACAAGGTCCCTAAAGCCCTTAAGTCCCCGAAGAAGAAGGAGGCCAAGGTCCAAGGAAGGCCTCGAGGTCGACCTAAGACAAAAGAGCTTCCCCCCGAGGATCTTACTAAGGTAAAGTTTTTAGACAAAAAAAAAAATTATGTTTCTTTAACAACCTATTTGTTCCCGGAATAGACGAAGAGTATCAAAAAACGAAAAAATCTCGCAAATTTTTTGAACCATTTGCTGTGTATTGAACTCATGTAGATGATCTTAATTTGAATTTCTGAAACGTTTAAGACACTGCTTCTCTAGGTTGATCGGCCCAGGACTCGGCGCTGTGTGAAGGAGGAGGAGGGGATCGAGGAGAAGAGGTTTATCATCAAGCGGGAGTTGGAGGAGATCCTCATGGACCAGGAGATCGGGGTAATTGAGGACAGCGAGGAGGAAACCAGGCGAAGTCGACGGAAAAAACCTCGAAAAAAATACACAAAGATGCGTCGACGACTTAAATCTGAATTGGACGATTTTTCTATCAGAGACATTAAGGAAGAGTTATTTCACGATGACATGTAAGTTCAAATATTTTTTTGTGAAATTGCGCGAGCGTTTAAATTTCTTGTACATATTTAGGTCAGAACTTGCTCATTTACGGGTTGAGTGCTCTCCGTTAAACACTATCAAAATGGAGATAACTCAAAACGAAAATGAAAATGAAGAAACTGAGGAAGTATCTCCAAGGGCTGTGAACAATCTAGTTAATATTAAAAATCAAGACTACGTCGGTGCAGTATCTGAGGACGATGGGAATGCTGATGATCTCAAAGAAAAAAGAATGATTGGGGATGAAGTTGGAAACGGAAATGATTCAACTGAAAATATAAATAAGAGTCCTACTGCTGAGAATAGCGATGTGAATACCAACTCCATTGATGAGAGTAAGAGCATAAAACTGACGCCTGTCAATCATTACACTGAGTTCACCAAGGTATATGGTTTTGTTTTCTTTTAAAATGAATATTAATTTTACAATGGACACACAACGTATGTACATTGTTAAGTACCAGTACGTACGGTATTTTTGTACAAATACATTTAACGATGTTTTTGGTTTAAAGGGACTGTAAAGGAAAAATGAAAGGGGGTATAGGCAGAAAGCTAATCACTTTAGCTCTTGATCGCGACCCATGAAAGTTTTATCTGATGTTCCTGTCTCGAGAAATTGATTTAAAACTGTGTTAAAATTGTACGAAAGTACGAAGTATATGTAAAATTTAGAAAATCTTAAACTTAAATCGCTTGACCAGAACTATCACCAATGGCAGAGTAGTATACTGATCACGTGTCTCCGCCTGTATCACGTGACCACTTTACTGCACTGCCATTGGTGGAACTTCTGGTAAAGTAATACGGAAGTATAAATAATATTATGAATTAAATCTTAAAAATAGAAATAACAAATATAAAATTAGAATTGGAGTAAACCTAAGTTACAATTAGCTTTCTCTGGGATATCATAGTTTTCAGATTGGTTGCATATTTGCTGAATTTGATCTATTTAAACCCTCTATTTTTATACAAAATTGTATATATATTAATTTTCGTATAAATTTGACACAGTTGTATATCAATTTCTCGAGATAGAAACATCAGATATAACTTTCAAGGGTCGCGATCGAGAGCTAAAGTGATTAGCTTTCAGCCTATACCCCCTTTCATTTTTCCTTTACTGTCCCTTTAAATGATAAATGTTGTCTTTTATTTCCATTTTAATCTGACGACCACTGGACTACACATGTTGACTCTGACCTATCTAGGATTCTGGAAACTCTGTTGAAATGGTGTTCTCCGACAATCCTGAGGAAATATGTCTTTGTAAATGTTCTTTCTGTTCTAAGATTATACCCTACGATCTACTCAGGTGATAGTACGGCAGGGTATATATAAAATTCCATCGTTAAAAATATCTTATCCCCCCAGAGATTAAGTTTTTTTCATGTTTTATTTGGAATATAAATGATTTAGTATTCATAGTATTCAATCCAATGTAGTTCATGCTGTTAAAGAGAATGAGATTAATTAACATGAAATGAAATTTAATATTTGATGCAGGAAGCATGTGACCAGCAAGCATGGGAAGGTTAAAGATGATTATGGAGAATATAAATATATTCGTCTCACATACCACAGGTACACTTATATTAATAATAGTAATAACATGATTGATAATAAAGGTGTGTTAGTAATTTATCATTAATCTTGGTAATATTCAACATTTATAATAATGATAATTTTTAATGAAGCAAAATATTTTTTAAAAAAATCATACTGCTTGATATTTAAATAAAATTGCTCAATGATAATAAAGAATACAAATTACATTGATAAATTATAAAATGTTAAAATTATTTCGGATTTTTATGATAATAATGACAAGAAAATGATAATATTAATAATTATTATGATGGTGAAAGAAAAAATGTTTATTAAATTCATAATTGTTTGTCTAGATGCAAGAAATGTAATCTTGAAATCCTGTTTTCCTACAACAACATTAAACTACATCTTAACAGGAAACAGTTTCAAAAAAGAAAAGATTTGTTCAGCGCAAATTTAATTATGTATTATGGCGGAATTTTGTTATCTTATTTTGTTATACTGATACTAATATCTTAGTTTTGAAACAGTTCCATTGTCAGGTTTCATAAATTATCAATCAATGAATACCAGACGTCGTTGCAGGGATTTACAGGGAAAATGTTGACACTCAGAACTCTTAAGGTAAATTAAGATTAAATAACTATTTTTTTACTAGTTTTCATGCTGAACAGCCCCCCCCCCCCTACAGACAACAGATTGTTGCCAATGTGTTTTAGCCGCAGCGCTCGGCCTGTCCAGTATCCTACTAAAAACGAATAGAATCAATAATTAACTTTTTAAAAATTAAAACAACCCTAAAATAAGGATTATTATTGAAATGTATAGCGACCTTTTATTTCATAAGAGGCATGGCTGATTCACAACTATATACTTAAAACCTTTATCTAATCGATAATATCGTAGCTTTTCTAGCTTCAGAAGTATTCAATTCTGACAATTTCCCCGTTTGTTTTTCCGCAGAAAAATCTTGTTTTGAATCGGACATACTTGAACTTATGCATACAGTCCCTTTAACTATTTAATTGCAAGGCTCTGTATAACGAGGAGGACGGAGTGAAACCAGAGAAAAGTCAAGGATTGAAGCGAGCATTGATAAACCAGATGCGTGGAGTTAAACCCCAGAGTTTCGATCAACTTGATCGTTCTCAAGATCCCGGGTTGATGAGTCCTGATCGCGAAAGATCTCCGGAGAAAGATAGGAGATGGTTTGATGGGAACACGTTTTCCTGCCTGGATTCCTCGTGTAAGTTCTCGTCCTACTGCCTGGACAACTTTGAGAAACATGTTCAAAGCGAGCACAGGGTCTCCTTAGAGGCATTTAAGGTAGTATTCGAGTTTGATGTAATTTTCATTTTTAAAAAGAACAAATTCGGCATTCGGAATGTTTTAAATATTCGTCAGAATTAAAAAAAAACAGGTAAAATACCCTTCAGACCACATCCTTCATCTTATGTTAAGTATACTAGCATACTTCAAAAGCATTTTTAATTACGTTATATTATGTCAATTGGTCAATGGCAAAGCACTTAATCAACAAGCAATATTATACTTTGTCGTCTTCAAATTCTTATGTACAGTGGAACACACTGTAATATTTATAAAAATAAAATTCAACTTTAAAGAAAACTTTTATTTAGGGAGAGTACAGGAGTACAGAGGTAACGATGCAGTGTGAGTACTGTGGAGAATCCGTGTACCATGAGTACAGGTAGATTAATCAATCAACTAATCAACCACTCAATCAATTACTAAATCATTCTGACAATTTATAAACTGTGACCTCTGTAAATCTAACATATTTTGTCCAAAAATTTATTAGCAGATGGATGTTTCCAACCCATGAAAAAATCTGTTAGAAATGCTCCATTTTCATCGTCACTTTCTGATCTGAACGTCCACTTTAAATATTTTTGATTTCAATTTACAATTTCACTATGCCATAATGTTTTAATCTCCAGGAGTTTGCTGCATCATCTGAATTCACATTATCTAACTCTGGACCAGTATCAAACGCATTACATCAGGTATACACATCATTTTCTTATTTGTTTAAATACATTTTTTCTAATTTTATTTATCTATTTAGAATAAAGATTGACGAGACGTCCAGTCAGAGTAAGTACCCTGAGAAGGATGAGTTTAATCTGAGACCAACGCAAAACGCATCTCCTGCTCCGATTCTAGATAAGAATCCTTCCTCTACTCCGACCCGTATCCAGAGCACCCCAACCCCAGACAGTCAGAATAGTACCAATAACTCCTACACTGAGACAAGTACATTGCTTGATCATCTTAAGAGATCAGATTTGTTCTCTAGAACCTTCTCCGATACTAGGACAGAATCTCAACATTTCTCAGAAAGTTACAGATCATCAGACCCTTCCTTTCCGTCTAGCGATCCTTATAGATCGTTTAACGAGTCCAGGGTATGTGAGTCTAATGATGAAGATGTCTACAGAGGATTGAACTATGATCAGATCTATCCTAGATCTGCGAGCTCTACAGCAGAACCTAGTCAAGGGGTTTACCAGGACCTGGAGCAGAGAAGAAACCAATTCTCTCCGAACCCTGGGTTTGCTAACTCCGGTCTTCCGATTGATTACAGTCAACATGTAAGTCAGAGAGAAACATATCCTGCTAGTTCTGAACCAGTGTCATATATCTCTAAAAATGGGGATTATTTATCTAAAAACAATGACGCATATCCGGACAAAGAAATCGACTATTCAATAAAGGATAACGCATTTACGCATAAGGACGAGCGATACAACATGAAAGACGAAGATTACACTGGTAAAAATGGTCTAGACTTCTATAAAGATGACGCAAGGACGCAGATGAAGACGCATGAAACCTATTTTCGTTATGTTACATCCCAGCTCCAGGAGTACTATAATCGGAGACAAACCGGCGAAGAGGAGTTCAATCGGCGGCAACATTACGACCTGGATTTTAACCAACATCAACCCAGAGACCAGGAGTATAGTCGCGACCTAAGTCGGTCAGCCGACGTGTTTCTCCCGGAGTTTGGGAGGGAAGTTGATTACTCCGGGTCCCGCGGGGAAACTGTAGAGTTTGTCTACAGACGAAACCCAAGCTAAACTAGTAAATTTAAATTGTTTATCCTTGTTAAATCATTCAGATTATTTATTTATTTGATTACCGTTTTCGGGTTCTCTTGAAATTTGGAATAATTGTTTTTTTTATTGAAATTTTACAATTTTTGGGTGATACATTTGTGCTGCCAGTCTGACAATTGTCGGAGAAAATTTGCATTTTTAACTTTTCATTGTTTTAGCCTATTGTGATTTAAGTTTTTCAAGTTTTTTTTGTTTATTATATTCTTTGAATCCATTCAGAGAAAATGTAGGAAGAGCGAATCTTGTTTTGAAACTAAACCTGGAGATATGTTTGTATTTAACGGAAACCAGACACACGGAGAGGGAGCGGAGAGGAACCACAACATCACCTTGGAGGACTCCAAAGGTTAATTTTTAACTAAATAATCATAGAAGATACCATTTTCTCTTGAATAATAAAATGCGAAGGCGTGGAATAAAAGTTTTTACGAAAAAAAATTGTCATTTGTTAATGCTTCACATATGTCTCTATTATTATTCATTTATCTCATAAATACGACGTGCAATAATTTTTTTGTATTTGCTTAATCTTCTGGTCAACACTCGAGGATATTCTGTGTTATACGTAATTAGCGAAAAATAATTCTGAAACATCAAAATAACGTTGTTTCAAATATTTTTAAGAAACCAGTTAAATCTTGTCACCAGTAACAGTGAGAAAAGTGTATAAAATAGTATGGAATTGATGGGGATTAATATACTAAATAAACCANGGTAGGAGAAGATGATCTTCAAGGATCCCCGGGTAAACCTCACCACCAGTTCAATGACGAAGTATTTGATTAGGTTGGATGGGTAGCGGAGAGGAGGATGGGGTAGGAGAAGATGATCTTCAAGGATCCCCGGGTAAACCTCACCACCAGTTCAATGACGAAGTATTTGATTAGGTTGGATGGGTAGCGGAGAGGAGGATGGGGTAGGAGAAGATGATCTTCAAGGATCCCCGGGTAAACCTCACCACCAGTTCAATGACGAAGTATTTGATTAGGTTGGATGGGTAGCGGAGAGGAGGATGGGGTAGGAGAAGATGATCTTCAAGGATCCCCGGGTAAACCTCACCACCAGTTCAATGACGAAGTATTTGCCACAAAAGATTCAGGTTTTCAGTTTTAGATAATTCTAGAATATTTTTGAAAAAACGGGAAATGATAATGATACCTTTGTTGGTTTAATTGGTTGTTTCTCTGGCCATGGGCCAAGGACCACAGGAAAAATTTGGAAGGGACAATTCATCAGTTTTGGTCCGAAAAGTGGAAAGCTGAACTACTTAGACTGAGCTGAACCACTTTTCTTACTCCTGGCCTGGTTCCAGGTCAAAGGTGGTTTAAGCTAGTCTACGTGGTTCAAATACTTTATTAGATTAGATCACAGATTTAATGAACAGTGAGAAGTAGCTGAACTGAGTTGACGTAGTTGAACCAATTTTGTGCGCCGGTTAAAGTTTATAAAAGTGGTACAAGATACGTATATGCGAGAAACTATTTCTTAATATTCATTAAATCCTACCCCTGAGGGACTAATTCCAATCAAGATATTTGCTTCAAGACAGGAGACCTAACGTCTGTTTGTTGTAAAGATGATCTCATAAATATATTTAGAATACGATGATCCTATCACAATGGTAATATCCCCGGATTTCCCTTACCATCTTCTCTCTCCCTCCACCGAAGGTAAGCTGCCAACTGATACAAACTAACATTTTAGAGAATGAAGGGTTACCCATAAAGAACGAGACAGTAAGGACGACCTGTAACTCAAAATATGATGATCTCAACTTAAATTGGAGACTTCTGTCTTGAGTATAGTCGTTTACTGGATTACTCAATGATTTTAAAAATAAAATTTTTTTTACAGGGAATCATAAACATAAGAAAAAAGAAAGTATAAATTTTGTAAAGTCGTCTCATCCTTTGTGGGTAACCCTGTATATAATTCCTCGAAGCAGTGCTTACTAAATATTTTTTTTCTATACGTATGCGGATTTTGGATTCGTTATACTTTACTATAAAGCTATAATCAGAGCAGTCTCAGTTTTTCGTATATGCACAATACACATGCACTTTTAGATCTTTAATATTTCTTCAACTAAGTAAAAATGATCTATAGAGAAAGACAAAAATTATTTTTTTTACATAGTTTTGTTGATTTTTCTAACCCTTGAATCCGATTTTAAGCAAATTCAAACTTTGAAAATTAAGATAAATGCTTGTTGTCGTAGATGAGGATGACATGGAGGACCTTGAGGTTGATTCTATTGAAGAGAATAAGAGCGAGGACGGGAAGGTGTTCACGGACAGTCTGAAGGAGATGTGCCTGTGTGTCTGCAAGATATGCTCGACCAAGATGAAGTTTAACTCTCTCCGTGAGCACGTGAGGATCCAGCACAGCCTGCGTATGACGCAGTACAAGCACCAGTACGGGAAGATAACGTACTCCCGTATGACCTACCACAGGTGCAAGGGGTGTGGGAAGGTGTTGAGGGCGATCTATGCAACCATCAAGAAGCATCTGCAGACAGTACACGCTCAGTCCTTCAAGGAGTATGCTATGCAGTATGATGTCTTTAAGGTAATTTTAGAAATAGGAACTCTTTTTTTGTAACCTGATATTATTCCATATCAATCAGAGACCCTCCTTTCTACGTTTTAATCTCAAAATGACTACTAGATCATTTAACAAATTCTCATAGTTTGTAAAATAGAAATGTAAGATCAGTTAGTCTAAACTTAAAATTAAAAAGGTTTACACAATTACAAATCAGTTTACAAAGATATTAGGATTAGAAAATTAGAGTTAGAGGATAGCATTCGTTTATTTACTTAATCAAATGATGCAAGGATGACCATTATTTATTTTGTTGCTCTCATTCTGGAGCAATTAGAATTTGGATTCAGTGGAGATTTTTTCAATATTAGTTTGTTATGATAATTTGGGACAAAATTTGATTTTTGGATTAAATAGAATAGTTAGCATTAAAAGACAACAACATTTTTTCTTGTGATGACGATTTAAAATTGATTGTGTTAAGGGACGATTTGACAAAAAGGAGGAAACGAATATGGACGAGAAACCATTCTCTGACGATCCGACACAGATGTGTATGACGATCTGTAAAGTAAGTGAAAATTTTAAAAATAGTTAATGGAATTTCGTTTTTTAAATTTAGTTTTTTCTTGTAAACTAGCGTTTTTGATTTAGACAATAATACATCTTTTTGTCGCCTCCGTCCCCCCACCCCTTACACTTATTTTGTCTTTTATGTTTTATCTTTTCCCAGAATTATAATCACAAGCTTGTATTTTTAAAAACAATTTTTCCAATTACAGGGGACATTAGTTCCAAAACTAACACTTGGCCCATTTTTAACACTGGGTGTTAGAAATGGGCACAAATTGAAAGACTGGGTTTTCGGCACATATCCAGAGTAAAAGTCGAAAATAAAAACTATAACCAACATGTTATTAAACATCACGAGGACAGCAATTCCCTATTTAAAACTTTTTAAATAATCTTTTTATTATAAATCTTATGACCGTTTTCAAGACAATGTCAGGTTTTTTATTTTCGAACATATCCTGAATTTGAAACTTTGTCGCGTTTTGGAGACAAAACCCACTTTCCCGTTTTTGATTATAATCCTCAATTCAGAACAAAGCTCACTTTCATAATTTACAAAATAAATCACTGAAAACAAAAATTATCTAATTAAGACTAGATTAACTTCTAATTATTTCTAGAATCTAAGTTTTCACATTTTATCTGTCAAATTAGAGAATATGGATGATTTACTTTCAAGCATTTTAAACAAACAGTCTCCCGCATTTCTAGTTATATCTATATTGTAGGAACAATTAATTGATTTTATAATATTCTGATTTCTCAATGCTGTTATGTTTTTATTTTCTATTTTGTTTTTATAAATTACCTATCAAAAAATCTTGTTTTGTTTCATGAGTGCGTAAATACTTTAAAATTGACATAGATATGAATTCGAACAATTGTGTCTCAAAATCAGAATATGTTCCGAAAACGGGACATGAGCTGAAATGCGTTAATTGTTTCAAAATATGGATATGTTCGAAAAAAAAACCAGTTTCATCAAAAAATAATTCTCGCACTTTATTATTAGTTTATAGTTTACATTTCTTGTTTCAATATATAGTTTTAGCCATTTTTTTAATAATGATATTGTGTAATTTTGTTCTACTCGTCTTGTATTTTAAGATATATACTCTTGAAAAAGATAACTTTGGCAGATTTGGCCCATTTCTAACACTCAATGTTGGTTTTGGAACTAATATCCCTTGAATTAAAGTGCATAGAGGAGAATTATTTAATTAGTAAATTATTTTTTAGATAAAATTTTCATTAAGGGGGGCCCACAAAACTGTGGAATATGATTAGTAGTGTTAGACTCAATTTATGATTTTTATTAAATGGGACCCACTAAACTGTGGAATATGATTAGGAGTGTTAGACTCAATTTATGATTTTTATTAAATGGGACCCACTAAACTGTGGAATATGATTAGTAGTGTTAGACTCAATTTATGATTTTTATTAAGTGGGACCCACTAAACTGTGGAATATGATTAGTAGTGTTAGACTCAAGTTATGATTTTTATTAGTTCAAGAACATGAAATAGGCTGATGATGAAGGATTCTTCTAAGGCCTGCTACGAAAGTAGAACCTAACCATTGCAAAATTATTAGTTCAAGAACATTAAATACAGGAATCGTGCACTGTAAAAATAGATTTTTTTATACTACTCATAGAATTGTTTGTTTTATAACAGCGTACATACAAATAAAATTGCTTGAATGTCTTCTTTGCATTCTACAGTTTTATGGGACTCACTGTATTTATCTTTTTAAAACTTTTAGGTGTGCAATACTAACCTGGAACCTTACAACATGAAGAACCACGTCAAGGAATATTTTCAGATTCATCAATTTAAAAAAAAAATTTCTTAAAAAAATTATTCCATCTCGTCCAAAAGGATGAAAAAGACTTTTTTTTTGACTTTGTAATTCGAAAATTTGTACACGATTTTTATCGCTATTTTTGTGCTGCTGGTCTGAGTATATTGAGTTCAGGGCAAACATTATCTCTCAATGATAGAATACAAGACTAACTTCGGAGAAATTGAGTTTCTTCAGGAGATTTTTCACAGGTCAGATTAGTTTAATTCTCTGGAAGGGTGTTATTAACTTCTGGGAGAAGATTGGGTCAAAATTTGAGAACATTAAGGGCTGTTGTTAAGTTTATTTCGTTCAGAATTCGATATTTTCATGGTTCTATTTAAAAAATAGAAATTTAAACAAAATTCTCAATTTTTCTGGTTTTTTAAACGCAAGAAAATGGAAAACCACATTTTGGTAAGACTACCTGCCTATTTTGTGATTTTTGTTAAATATAAAAATCACATTGGAAAAAGTGAATGCTGCAAACTATTTCTAAGGTCAAAAACGATATTCATGTCGCCAATCAATTAATATTATATTGGTTTATTTAGAATAGCACTGTACTTAAGACCCCCTTGTTATTAGGTGTAAAGTGTGTCATAAGAGTGTCCTGTTTGAATATCAGAAGCTGAGTAATCATCTCTTCTTTAACCACGCAATTGGTATCGCCAAGTATAAGGATTTCCTGCAGGGGAAGGTGCCCCTCGAGTCTCTGATCAACACAGAGCAGAACTCTAATAAATCCAAATCTAACAAAACCAATGATAGCTCGGATCCGTCTGGTTCAGTTGACCGGAAGAAAAGGAGAAGGAAACCTGCTCAGGGTGCAAAATCCCGGGCGTCGGAGTCTCAAGGACAACTCAACCCGTTCATGCAGCAGAACCCGATAGGATTAGCGCTCATGCAGATGTGTCAGAACCCGGCTCTTCTCCAGACTAATCCGTTCCTGTTTCAGCAGACCCTGTCCCTTGCCGCGCTCAATGCTGAAGCGCTCAATGCGCTCATCCTCACCCAGGCCATGAGCGCGCAGACCTTGCTGTCTCAGCAGAAGTCGAGCACCATGAAGGCTGGAGAAGGTTCTGGAACATCTACTTTTTCTAAACCCAGCACATCACACTATAAACCCGCGTTACAGAAGCAATAAGCATTCAGAAGAGATTAAAACTGAATTTATTTTATGAGATTCCAGGAAATTACAATAACTTCTTTAATTACTACATATCGTAGAAGTAAACTTTACGAGTTCCAAAAAAAACAGTTCTTTTGAAGGTTAATCGTGTAGGGGAATGCATAAGTCAGGAATAAGGAAAGGAATCGTAAAAATAAATTTTGAAAATATGGTGGGAGCGGAATTTGAAGAAGGACTCGTGAATTTTGACAAATTTATCGTTATTACATCTAAAATATGAACGGACTGAATCGATCAACTTGCGTTTGGTTTGAATTATGTTCATGTAGCCCGGTTCATAATGAGTATTTTTAACTTAATATTTGAAATATTCAACAGTCTGGAAAAATCAGTATTCTTACTTTTCTCAATCTAAGATTTATCATACTGTTAATTAATTACTTTTGCTGTAAACATTGAAACCAGTTTTCTGGTAAATTTTACTCTTGTGTTAGTCAGGGGCTTAATTGACTCTTCCCTCTTTTTAATTAAAATTTACTAAAATTTTATTTTAAAAGTTGTAAAATTTAAGTTCTTTTAGCATTGAATTATTTTTTTTTTGAATTAACAACAAACTGTGCTTGAGTAATTATTCTTCCGTTTCTACAATATTGAGTGTAGACTCATTAAATTAACTTGTTACCATTGTTAAAAGACCTGCGTGAAAACTATGCCAAATTAACCAAGGTTTATACAATATTGTGAACTAGTAAATGCCTTAGATAGTTTTGTTGATCATGTCAACCAGTGCTTACCCTTTGTTTAAATCGGTGTTTCCACCGACAGGGTGTTCCTAAAAAATGTTCCTTAATCTGGATTTATTTTCGGAACACCCTATTACATTTTTTACAAGTAACATAACATAGCCTTGCATTTCCTAATATTTTTACCATGTTTCTGATCTGATCTTGAAACTTTTAAGATACTCTTAGATCCTAGATCTCTAATCTTAGTATTTAACCTCTTTAAACTGCCTTTAATAGATTAGTGTTGATGATATAATTAAATTAAACTGAATACTCCATACGCAACTTCGCAAGGAGGCATTGAACTACGGAGAAGAAACGTGTTTGTTGTAATTCAAAAACATTAAGGAAACCTGGTTTTCTTGCGTGCTTAGGAATATGGAGCCTTGTTTACAATTTTTGTTATTGTTTTTTTAAAACAAGTTACTGAGCTGTCACTGTATTTGTAAACAAACCCCCTTCTCCGTAGTTCTACTCTGATTGCTCGTTATGTATCATTAGCTTTAAATCATCTTGTGACGTCAAGTCTTGTCTTCTATAATCCTATGCATTTCAGACTGCTATGCCGTGGTAGCAGGTCCTTGGGAGGGTTAACATGAACTTTCATGGACTCTTCGGGGCCATGATGGGGGACAGGGCCGTGGGATACGGATATATAAATCCGTATGATCAACCCTCTTACTCAAACCCGGGCCTTCATCACAACCCACAGCTGATGCAGGCTCAGAATAATCACCAGATTCAGCATGAGGAGCTGATAAAACCTGACCCATATTCTGTTATCAGTCACTCCCGGAATATGGAGTTCTTTAACCCAGAGCTCTATAATCAACAGGCTAGATCAGTTCATCAGTCTCAACTAGGATATGATGTTTATAAATACAAGGAGAAACCAGTTCTTGATATGCGGGTTCATGCTCGTACTTATGAAGAGGTTCATCAAAGAGTTCATGATGATTATCGACCGAGGGTTCATGAAGAGATTAATCAGCAAATTCATCAAGATCCTCAGGTTCATGAAGATTTTCACTCTCGGGTTCATAAACAACCACATGAAGAAGTACTTAAACAAAAGCATGAGGGAATTCTTGATGTAGTCGATGAACGAGTTCATCCCCGACTTAATACCTTTGTCAAGTATGAACAACATAATCCTAAGAAGTATGAGAGACATGATCATGAGAAGTATGAGATACAAGATAATGAGAAATATGAAAGACAAGATCATGTGAAGTATGAGTTACAAAATAATGAAAAGTATGAGAGACATGATCCTGAGAAGTATGAGAGACATGATCATGATAAGTATGAGAGACAAGATCATGTGAACTATGAGAGACATGATCCTGAGAAGTATGAAAGACATGATCCTGAGAAGTATGAGAGACATGATCATGATAAGTATGAGAGACAAGATCATGTGAAGTATGAGAGACATGATCCTGAGAAGTATGAAAGACGAGATAATGAAAAGTATGAAAGACAAGATCTCCAGAAGTATGAGATACAAGATCACGTGAAGTATGAGAGACAAGATAATGTGAAGTATGAGATACAAGATAATAAGAAGTATGAAAGACAAGATAATGAGAAGTATGAGATACAAGATCATGAGAAGTATGAAAGACAAGACCATGAGAAGTATGAAAGGCATCCTCCTGACAATTATGAAAGACATGATGATGAAAAGTATGAAAGAAACGATTCTGTTTCTGGTCTTGATCCCATGATCCAAAAACAGCATAACACCCATGGACAGTTCCCGTTATTTTTCCCGCATTTTCTTCAGAATATCCGTCCCCCTGGACCTGAACAGGTGTTTAACAGTCCAGTACACACAGCCCCCCTGGAGAAAGAGAAATCAATGAGTCCTACCTCTGATATTAAATCTAGTGAGCAAAGAACGCCTGGAATACAGAAGACGACGAGAAAGAAAAACGAAGACTTGCAAGGTAAAATTATAAGGTCTCATGTCTATCATTTTTATAGATATATAGTATATATCTATATACTTAAAGTTGTAATCTTTGTTTGTCTGACTGTTTGTTTGTTTGTCCGATCATAACTCAGGAACCCATGGACACATTTGCAATAATTTTTTATTGGGAACATATCTTTTCAATTTTTTATTGGGGACTTCGGTAGTACCACGGGAACGTTCTAATCTTGGTTTTGAGAATCCAAGTTGACTGGGTCTACTTTTAAAGGAAAAAAAGCTACAACGGTGGGAATAACTATGACCCTGGACAACGCTGGGTTCCCAAGCTAGTTTCTAATATGTTTTTGTAGATGCAGACGATGAATTTTCTCTAGAAGATGATGCAATTTTAGATACTGAAGATGTTCCTGATCATGAAAAGGTAATCAATGGTTACAATTTCAAATCAACATTAAAGACCCGGGGAAGCTGACGGTATGTTAATGAAACAAAATTAAAGACGACATTTGGTTTTCTAATTTTATCTTCCTTCTGCAGGTGTTCACTGAGAGAATTGAAGAGATGTGTCAGTGCCTTTGTAAAATCTGTAATACTACAATGAAATTCAGATCACTTAGAGAACATGTTAGGTAAATACCAAAAATAGAGTGGGGGGGGGGGGGCTCTATAGATACCTAGGGAGAGGGAGTGGGTTTGTGCACACATTTTAATGTGAAGATCGAACATAACAATCATTACAAATATTGTAGGGCATAGTTTGTGGAATTTGTAGTAAATACTAAAAACCCAGTCACAGTTATGAACAAACCTTTCCCCCTCTCAACCTTGAGTCTTCTCTCATTGGAGAAACGTAAACTAGAGAGAGGAAATAGAAGACATTTTAGTTTTACAATTAAAGAATTTGTCAGATTTGAAATAAAATAATTCAGAAAGCACATTTGTATATGAAAATTAGGTTAAAGTAGGGGGATGTTAAAAATATCTTTGATGAAAACTTATTGTCTAGGTTTCAGCACAGCATGAATATTCAGATGTATAAAGAGAAACATGGTAATATCTACACTAGGTTAACATATCACAGGTAAAGGAAAATCCACATATTTTTATTGATTTAAAGGGACTGTAAACGTCATTTTAAGTGTATAGCATGTCCGATAGACAACGCATCAACGATCAAGAATGCATGCATGTAGATATCGATTTGGCCTTCTTTTGAAAATTGATTATTTGATCAGATGTGATCGAACATACCATCCGAAAATTGATTATTTGATCAGATGTGATCGAACATACCATCCAAAAAACTGATTATTTGATCAGATGTGATCGAACATACCATCCGAAAATTGATTATTTGATCAGATGTGATCGAACATACCATCCGAAAAATTGATTATTTGATCAGATGTGATGGAACATACCATCCGAAAAATTGATAGTCACTTAAAACTAAGACAGACTTAGTTTCGAACTTATATATTTACCACATTTTCACAAATGCGATAACGATAGATTTTAAAATTTTTTATTCCTCCGTCTATTTAGATGCAAGATGTGCGATAAAGTGATCAAGGCAAGTTATGATTTCCTCAACAACCACGTGTCCAAGGTTCACAAGATGTCATTTGCGCAATACCGGACAAAATTCGAGATCTTCAAGGGTCGGAGTAAGAAGATCTTCAAGAGGAAGAACGGAGGGATGGTGAAGGTGTTTACAGATAGAGTTGAAGAAATGTGCCTTTGTAAATGTGCTTTGTGTGAGGTAAGTTCTAAATTATGTTCTTTGTTGGTTACTTCTGATGGGGGCTCGGGGCCTTGATTTCTACGTTGTTTGTTGACATTTTATTATTATCATTATTATTATTACAATAAACAAAAATGAGGATAAGACGCATATTTTACCGTTTAAACAGAAGGCCAGGGCTGAAAAACCAGGAATGGGGAGGACTTGAAACTCCGATCCACAACTGGAGCCTTTGGCCATCCCTACAACTTATGATTTGATTTGATTTGATTTGATTTGATTTGATTACAGAATAGGTTTATAAGTTTTAAATTGTTGGAGAGCTCAATGTGGAGAAATGGATCCTAATTCAGCTTATGATTTGTTTATTCTAGTTACTAAAAAAATACTCAACAAATTTTCTTTAAATTTGCTAGTTGACTAATAATTAAATGTGTTTTTTTAACGACCTCTCATAAATGGAAGTTCGACAAGTTTTTTAATAATTATTTTTTTGTTTTCTTTTCATCCGAATTCGTGTGCAATTTTATGACTCACACTTTGATCAATGAATAAAAAGGATCTTAAAGCCGTCTCTTAATCACCGTTTGGAAATAATGTACTGTATGTTTAGCTTGAGCTTGAACCCTACAATATGAGGCACCATGTTAAATCTAAACATAAGATTGCGCTGGATGAGTATAGAGATACATATGGAGAAATTGAATTCACAAGAGAAACTTTTCACAGGTGAGAGAACTGGAATCATACAGTGGGGCCCTTATAACTGCGAAATAGGAAGACGACATTTAAGCAATCCTATATTTGTTTTTTGATGTTTCAGCACTCTACACAATTGTTGTGTTTCATGTTTATTGCTCATTAAGCTATTCAAAATTATAAATTGAGTCTTAAAGTCGTCTTCTTAGTTCGCATTTTTATGGGTTCCATTGTATTTAAAGAATGATGACAATTAACGTGATGTGACAATATGATCCTATTCAATAAGTTTATGCTCCCCAGTTGAATCATCTTTTAATAGTGCTTTCTATCTTTTTTACTTCCTTTTTTGGCTCTTGACATCAATTTTCTTTCCATGAACAACTTCCACATTTCGTCCCCTTTTAATAATTTGCATCTTTATTTATATTTGAAAAACGCAGAAGTGAAGAAAAGAATTTATGAGATATTAATGAATTTAAAGGGTCAGAATACGTAATCTCCTTGTATAGAGTGTCTTGTCTAATTAACAACGGTTCCCTTAAAAGCTTCGTCTGATCATGATGGAATCAGATATCCATCATTTTCTCTTTTAAAATTTTTAATTTTCATTGGTTGTTTCTCTCTTAATAATCTTGCGCATTCCTGTTTTAAGAAAATGGAGGAAATTTTCAGAATTAAACACTTTTTAATATAGAAAACGACAATTTCTTCCACTTTTATTGATTAAAGAAAGGTTTAAAGGATACCGGTGAATCGGACATGACTTCTTCATTTAAAGGGTGAATTGAAATATTTATTCAGGATTTTGAAAGCAGATAAAGCATTGGTTTTCAATTTAACAAAATGCAGAAATAATTGAAATAAATGAAAAAGTAAAATAAATTAAAAATAAAATAAATTAAAAATGAAAGAAATAGTAAAAGAAAAAAAAAGGAAAGAAAAAAGAAGGGAAAAATAGAAAGAAAAAAAAATAAAAGAAAAAATGAATGGAATAAAAGAAATATTTTCTATCAGATGTAAACTGTGCCAGAAGGAGATTCTATTTGAATACCAGAAACTGAGCAGCCATCTGTACTCGGGACATTCACTGGGCATTTCTAAATATATAAATCTGTTTCTTAGGAAAGCATTTATAATAAACAAATTTTTTAATTTTCTTATGTTTTGTTTTAATTAAAAAGACTTTTGTTTAGACCATTCAATTTTAAATTTCAATAAGGAATATTGCAATTTTAACCATTATCCATGTATTTTCTCAATCTCTTTCTCCACCCCAAAGGTTTGCACAGACTTTTCCCTATTTAAGCCGACCTACTCAACTTAGAAATTTAAACCAGACCAAGAACATTACCGTGGTTCTACCAAGTTCTCGAATCAGAATTTGAGGCAAATCAGTCCAGGGAGTCATATGATATGACATCCAAACAGATAAAAATGATTACTACTTTATAAAAAGATACACTAGCTTGGGAACCCAGCTTTGTCTTGAAACAAAACTTTTTCTAAATTAGTAAAAACAGATATATTTACACTAGCGTGTAACCAAAATTTGCCTATATTTTTTATTTTAAATTTTAAACAAACCCACTACCCAGTTCTCAAATCAAAATTTGAGGCAAATCAGTCCAGTGGTTCATGAGTTATGATCGGAAATCAAAACAAACAAACTGACTAACAAAATCCTTCTTCTGAATAAATGTTTAAATGATCTAGTTCAAGTGATAACTCTACAGAGAATGAGAATACCGAAATCTCTAGTGAACATGAGTGTAGGATCTGCTGCGTCTCCTTCCCCTCCAACAAGTTCCGCTACCACCTTCAGAGCGAGCACTCGCTCAACACACGCAAATACGAGGAGACCTTCGGACACATCAACGACTTTCAGTACAGGTACAGTGAGACCTATAAAACTTATCTACGCGATTTGATTTCATTTTTGACTTTTGATCAGACCCATCTCACTAAATCAGATGTATTCCAAGCAACTGTTGAAATCAAAATCTTAAAATGAATGATTAAATATCGCCTTCCTATTCCAAAGTTTTATGGCTTTTACTGTAATTTTGTGATTGGAAAAAAAATTTCTACACTCTAAATGGGGGCATTTTGAAAATATCTGCAGAGACTAAATTATTTATTCTTCTCAATAAACTAATTAATTGTTCCACATATTCATTGCTTTTTTATTGGAAAAGTTTTATCTCACTCTAAACCCTGACAATGATCTTCAGATTAAGTTGATCTGAAGTTAGATGAGTTTGTTTGTAGCAATATCTATTATTCAGGAGTTCAGACGATGTCGGGGACATGTGTTCTTTTAAATGTAAAATCTGCGATATTGTTCTGCAGGCACAGGTTGGCAACATTTATTTTAAAAACCTTTTTTTATAATTTTAAACAAATCAAATTAAGATTTTGCAGAATTTTAAGTTTGTAGATTTTTAAAATTTCTTATTGAAGCATTAAAAAAATTCTAATCACCTTGAGGCCCCACAGATAGTCCAAATGTACAAAGTTTTTTTTTCAAGGATTTTTCTGTTCACTTGAGTACAGAGCATAGTCTGAATTTAAAAGCGTACAGAGGAGAGCATGGGAAGTTAACCTTCGAGAATAAAACATTTCATAGGTAAACAATATTCAGGGTTTTAGGTGTTTAAATTTTACATACATTTTACTTAATATTGGTTTTATTTTCACAAATCTTTCAAAATTAAGGTAAAGCATTATATTTCAAAAGTTTTGAAGAATTATTTAAAAAGGTCTGTTAACTTATTTTAGATGATTCTCCATTTAAAGAGTCTGGAGTCTGACTCTGTTTCAAAATTCTACCACCTTTGTCTCAGCAAAAATAATGGAAATGTCCATTTTTTGCGGATTTATGCAGCAGAGACATGAAAATCTACTAAATTACTTTCTATTTAAGATAAAAGTGCAGGTGTTTTCCACATAGTTAACAGTTAACATAGTTAACAGTTAACATAGTAAACAGTTAACATAGTAAACAGTTAACATAGTAAACAGTTAACATAGTAAACAGTTAACATAGTAAACAGTTTAACAGTTAACATAGTTAACAGTTAACATAGTTAACAGTTAACATAGTTAACAGTTAACATAGTTAACAGTTAACATAGTTAATAACATAGTTAACAGTTAACATAGTTAACAGTTAACATAGTTAACAGTTAACCAATTAAGTGTTTAAATGGCATTTCTTTGATTTTGAAAGGAACAGAGTGTTACTTAAAATTACTTCAACGGTTCCTTTTAAGGGAAATTTTTGTATTTCAGATGCAAGGAATGTGAGAAAGATATTCTGTTTACAATCGCTGCCATTAAACGCCATCTGGAGACGAAGCACTCGATGACGTTGAAGAAGTACAAGATGAAGTACAATATCTTCACCGAGCTTAAGGATAAGGTCTCCTCCGTCCTCGTCAAACAAACAGGGAAATATCAGGACAAGAATAACGTCGAGGTAATAGATTTTATCAATTTTATAATTGTGGAATTCTCGTCGGAACACAACTCTTTAAATTGTTACAATATTCCAAGTACACACTTAAAATCATTGTTGCAATCTCCTCAGTGCACAATTCTAATTGTAAACTCCTCAGCTATTGTTATTTTTATTATGTTGCAATCTCCGAAGTGCACATTTCTAACCATTGTTGCAATCTTTTCAGAACACAATTCTAATAACTGTTGCAATCTCCTTTGTGCACACTTAAAATCATTGTTGCAATCTACTCAGTACACAATTCTAATAATTTTTGCAATCTCCTTTGTGCACACTTAAAATCATAGTTGCAATCTACTCAGTACACAATTCTAATCATTGTTGCAATCTCCTAAGTACACAATTCTAATCATTATTGCAATCTCCTCAGTAAACAACTCTAATTATTGTTACAATCTCCTCAGTAATCAATTCTAATAATTGTTTTTATCTCCTCAGAACACATTTATAATTATTGTTGCAATCTCTGCAGTACACAATTCTATTCATTGTTGCAATCTCCTCAGTACACAATTATAAATTGCTGCAATCTCCTCTGAACACAATTCTAATTATTGTTCCAATCTCCTCAGTACACAATTCTAATGATTGTTTTAATCTCAACAGTACACAATTATAATCATTGTTGCAATCTCCTCAGAACACAATTCTAATCATTGTTGCAATCTCCTCAGTACACAATTCTAACTATTGATGCAATCTCCTTAGAACAGAACATAACTTTAATCATTGTTGCTATCTCCTAAATAGGTTTGTATGTGATGTATGTATGTATATGTACATTGTACTTATACTTCTTATTTCAGAGGTTTCTACTGAAACTGAAGGAGGAAGGAAGTGGGGAAGAACTCCTGAAAGCCCCTGAAGGAGCAATCTTCGCAAACTCTATTGCGGAAATGTGCAAATACTCCTGTTTAATGTGCAAGGTTAGGATTAGTAATTTATTTCTAAGTATCGGACTTAATACTATGAGAAAGAGTTCAACTAGTTTAACTTTTACTAATTCATTAGTTCCGACCTCTGATGTGTTAAGTTATCTGCTCTTATGTCCAGGAAGAGTTGACCCTGTTGGCGATAAAGAAACATTTACCTAAAGAGCATGGGTTGAGTTTACAGAAGTACATAAGACAGTTTGGAGTACTGCAACCTGTACAACTGGTCTACCATAGGTATATTTACAATAATGTTTAGTTTATAATATGGTATTTTTTCCTTTGCCTTAAATTGGAAAAAGTTAATGTTTTGATTAAAGTTGTACTCATTCAGATGCAAGGTGTGTTCTAGCGAGCTTATATTTAATCGAGAGGATGTGACCGGTCATTTAAAACGGGCACACTCCCTTACCTACGGTCAATACAAGTCTTTCTTCAACGGATTCTCAGATGTGATCACCGCTAAACCGGAACTACCCTTGCCGCGACGGTCTCGGCGCAACAACAGCCTGTCGGCGGATCTTGAACCAGAGATATTTACTTCGGACGCCAGAATACCGGTTTGTCAGTATGCATGCAAGGAATGCAATTCAGTATTCAACAGACGCCAGCTTATCAAACATGTTATCAAGGTAAGAATACCTTGTTGGTTATTGGTTATGACCGATTTACCTCAAATTTTGATTGATGAACCACAGGAATGTTTGTAGCTTGTTTAAAAAATTCTAAGTTTGAAGTTAGTCTACCATTCCTACGCACCAACTCAATTTTAAACATGTTTCCATACAAAGCTGGGTTTCCAAGCTAGTTCCTTAAATAATAGAATTAAAATAATTGTAATTATTCTAGGTACACAAGCTTACCTACAAGGATTACAGGAGTAAACACGGGTCAGATACACCATTGGTCAAGATCTATCATAGGTTAGCCCATACAGACATAAAGATTGAGACTCTAATGACGACCTGAAATTCTTTGAAAATACCGATTTTTAAATCGTTAAATGCCATGAAAAATCATAATTAACTGAATTGGCTTGAACAGAAACTGATGTAAAATTAAATAGATTCATTTTTCAATTTTTTAGTTGCAAAATCTGTAGCACGCGTCTGTTAGCTTGCTATGACACCCTCAAAAGTCATGCGAGGGACAAACATAATATTACGTTCAGGTAGGTCATCAAGTAATCAACATAGTTCAAGTAATACGATTACATTACACAGACTAGACTTTACTGTAAAATTAACTTTACGCAGCTAGTTATGGACGTAGCTTACATACATATTGGGTGCTGGGTAGCCTTTGATCATTAGGAGGAAATGGATCTAAGTGTATTATTAAATTTTCTTGTATAGGGAGTATAGAGGAGTATGTGAAGAACTACTGAACACTGAGTTTAAAAGTGAAGATATTTTGGATAATCCTGTTCTAGCCTCAGCTCTCAATATTAAGATGGAACCAGGGTAAATATTAAAAATAATATATAAATACTAGGCTTTTATAACTAGTGGCTTTGCGCCTTTTTTGTATTAATATTTTTGGGTTTTAAAAAGAAAGTTCCTATCCACCATATTTCTTCTTAGAGTTTTCCATTTTCATGAATTTATTTCCAGTGGTAAAAAATTATTGGAGGCAAAATTCTTGAGTTCTAACCAATGTGCAATTTGCATGTGACGTCATAAAAAAAATCCTGCTCAATTGGTCTTTTTTTTATAAAAATCAGAAAGCGGGCAATCAGCAGACAAATTATTTAAAGATTTAATAGTTACGTAAATTTGACAATGATTTAAGGCTCACTACATGTATTTATATAGAAAACAGTTATCTCTGTTTTTACGTCCAATCATAACTTTCAAAGTCCTTGATCGATTTGCATTACATTTTGATCGAGTTCGCAATCTATGTAGTATATATAAAATGTTCGTTGGTAGGTCCGATCAAATTTGTAGTTTAATTGGCCGACTTAAATAAGTGTGCATTTACAGGCAAAGCTGGGTCCCCAAGCTAATTATTATGAAGATATCAACTTGGGTCTTTTTAGGTATGGAAGTAGTGCAGCCATGGAAACTGATACGGGAATAAAGAGTGAAAACCAGGATTCAAGAACAGGTAGGATTTATCTGAAAACGACAATTTGGTATTATTTAATAAAACTATTATGATGAGTAGATTAAGATGAAAAGTAAGAAAAATAATATGGAGGATATGGCTGTGTCCGTGTTAAACTTCTTGTTATTGAAATTTTAACAGTTGCTAATAAACATTAATAACTAAAATTCCACCTTAATAATAAAATTGGAATATGAAAGTAATTGATCATTAATTAATTGATTATTATTTACCAACCGCTTATTTTAATTAATCAAATATTTTAAAAAGTAAATTGTCCTTTCCTTCCAAGACATTGATAAAACGCCTTAAGTTCTCTTATTCAAAATGTTTCAAACCCGTTAATTGGACCTATTCAGCTTTAATTGGGACCTTTTAAGCTTTTATTGGGACCTTTTAAGCTTTTATTGGGACCTTTTAAGCTTTTATTGGGACCTTTTAAGCTTTAATCGGCCACTTAATGCTTTTATTGGGGCCTTTTAAGCTTTTATTGGGACCTTTTAAGCTTTTATTGGGGCCTTTTAAGCTTTTATTGGGACCTTATAAGCTTTTATTGGGGCCTTTTAAGCTTTAATTGGGACCTTTTAAGCTTTAATCGGCCACTTAATGCTTTTATTGGGACCTTAAAGCTTTTATTGTACAATGTAGAGTAAAGTGCGCCTTGATAATAATTTTTAGCATAGAAATTTTTCATTTTAAATAACACCCATTAACAGAATTACAGCATTACTGGCTAAATTTTTACAGTTAATTCATTTAAGTAATAAGGAACCCATATTTATTGGTAAAAATCGTTTTTGCCAACTTGAATTTTGCGATTTATTAGAGTTTTAATCTAAAATTGCCATGTGCTCAATTATGAAAATTGTGCAAGTAACTGTAATAATCTGTGCGCATATATGATAAAATATCTTTTATCAATAACTGAATAATAACAATACAAAATGTTAATAGATACAAAATTAAAGACAACGCTGATTTGCGAAAATATTACAAAATAACTTTGTTAAATAAAGTTCAAAGATGAAAAGATATGTCAGTCCAAATTATTTAGCAAAAAGCTGAAACTAAAATAATAATTCAAAAATTCATAATGTATCCATTTCTCCCTTGGAAAAACGATTCTATCCCATAAAATATTTTTAAAATTTTTTATCAAATGGAAAAAAAACTTGTTTCAAAATAGGAACTTATTAAGAAATAAAATTTGCTGTACAATTTCTATTTTTATTATAGAAAATCATAAATCATAAATCAATTTAATGGGGAGGGAAGCTCATCTACAGCAGAGGAACCTCTCCGAGCTGGGCCAGCTCAGCTGGCCCTCTAGGCCGACCTCTTTTCCGTCCACAACCTCTTGCTTTGACACCTTGTAGTCTCTCCGCCTCTCCCTTTCCTTCTATAGGATAACTTCCCACTCTGCAGACTACACATATTCCATTGATTAGAACCTGCTGGAAGGTTATTGCCATTTTTCTTAATAGTAGCATTGCACATTTCATGCTAACTCGGTGATCCATTCATACTCTTAGCATTATTTGGGAGTCAAAATGAGGGATGTTAAGGTTTTGCATACTCCGAAAGAAGGCAGAGGGTTGCAGGGAGGGGGGGTTTCCTAGCATTCGTGTTATTTGGGAGTCATAATGAGGGATGTTAAGGTTTTGCATACTCCGAAAGAAGGCAGAGTTTTGCAGGGAGGGGTGGTTTCCTAGCATTCGTGTTTTTTGGGAGTCAAAATGAGGGATGTTAAGGTTTTGTTTGAAAAACGATAGTTTCGTTATGAAAATGACGGCGAAAAAGGAGACGAAACGAAAAACGATCGTTTTTTAAGAAGATCGTTTTTTAAAAATTGTCGTTTTAAAATGAGCGCTTTTAAAAATCATAGATCATTTTAATCACACTTAACAGTCATAAGGAAACAAATTATGAAGAAACAAAACTTTAAGAAATATACTATACATGATAACTCGTTTGTTGTCTAATTTGGATCAGTAGGTCATTGGGTAACGTGAACCTCAGTTTTATCATACGCGCATAAAAAAATTATTATAAAGGCGCACTTTCCTCTACAAAGAAACCTGTAGTGACGTTTTAATTTCGATTTTAATATTATTTCGTTGAGAACTTAATTTTTCTAGGTTCTGAATTTGATCATGATGATGTTGCGTATGCCATGTCTGTCGAGTATGAACTGGAGGAGGAGGAGAAGAGGAGCAGTTGTATCGGAAACAAACAGAGCTTAGATGAGGATGAGAACATGCATATTGAAGGAATGAAGGATGAAGATGAATCTATTCCGATGGATGATGAAAATGATAATCAAGATGATTTTTATGATCATCTTTGATGGTTAAGATGAGATGGAAACTTGGAGAAAGAAAAGGGTTTATTAAATTTTTAGATTAATTTAGGGACACAAATGCACACATGTTAATCGCTTTTTAATGTTGTAAGGTAGAACTGTACTGTACTTTACTGATCTGTTCTGAACTGCACTGTACTGCAGTACTGTACTGTATTGTACTGTACTGTACTGTACTTTACTGATCTGTTCTGAACTGCACTGTACTGCAGTACTGTACTGTACTGTACTGTACTGTACTGTACTGTACTGTACTGTACTGTACTGTACTGTACTGTACTGTACTGTACTGTACTGTACTGTACTGTACTGTACTGTACTGTACTGTACTGTACTGTACTGTACTGTACTGTACTGTACTGTACTTTACTGATCTGTTCTGAACTGCACTGTACTGCAGTGCCAACATATTTTCCGATCAATTTTTAGAACCAGAATTTTATTCCTATTTTTAATCCTTTTTTTAACCGTTCTTAATTAATATTTTTTCACTGATTTGGGTTTTCTGATTATATTACGATTCTGTTCAACTAAATTTTGTCAAATTATAAGATGCACACTAGTCATGAACAGTAGTTTTAATGAATTGTAGTCCTATTGATTATTCATTAGTTTCATCGCTACTGCCATGCCCTTCCCTTGGAGCCTAATAGTTTTGAAAATACTGTTATATTTTATAAAAATGTTTATGCAGTTCAGCAAATGTTAAAATCTAGTCTTCAGTCTATAGAAATTTTTCCAGATTTTTATTTTATTATATTTTAAGTTCCTAGCTATAACTTCTTAAATGTGCATTATGGATATTTTAACTCTTGTGATTATTTCCTTTGAATTCATATGATTTGTTTAAATTCTATCATTCTATTTGTACATACAATATGAATTATTATTTGCTATAGTTTTAGTCATATTTTAGCAATGTACATCTTGCTTTACACCAATCTTGTCATGTCAAATTATTCTTCAATTTGTTAATAATCTTGTCAAATCCGTGTCCTAGTAAATTTGCATCCAACTAACTGTTTTATATTTCTAGAAACAATGAACACCTTCATCAAGCTTTGCAAAAATATTTTTGGAAATCTCGGGTAAGATTTTTTAAAGTGAATATAATTAGGTATTCGGGCTCTTCGCGTCTTCTTATCTGAAACTCATTTTTCTTCGTACAAAAAGAAAACAATTCAAGAAAAGCAAATTTAAGATTTTTTTTTACTTGGCGGATTTAAAGAATTTGAAAATTTGAAATTATTAATTTTTGAAGTTTAGACCTGCAGTAAACCTTTACTTGGTTGATACATAGCAGGTTGTCATAGAGAATGCTCGATCAGTTCAGCTGTTTTAAAGTTTAATTGAAGAAAACAAACAGACAAACATAAATTAATATTTTCCATTGTTCAGGACTTACTAGAACTTTGAAGAACAATATGTTCCTACCTGCGGCCTCTGCACCCCACTATCATGCTAGGCCGGAAGATATCTCCAGTCTTAAGGACTGTTCAGAGAATCGAAGGTTTAACCTCGCGGCTAATCATGTGATACAAATCCCTCCCTCGCCTCCCAAATCCAACCATGTCTCCAGTATTAGACCAGACCAGGAGAATATTCCAACCTTGTCACCTAAACAGAAGAAAATATTTACCTCCTCGTGTAAAGAAATGCGAGAAGATACAACCGAGGAAGAATCTCGACCAAAAGTAATAAACCTTCTCCGTGCTCGTACAATCCAACCCACCTATGATAATACAAATAACATTCCATCCAGCATTATTAATGATCAAAATAAAGTAAAGAATGAACATGGTCTTCCATCAATTTATACGGAAAATATTTTAAATTGCAAAAAAGTGGATAACGTCCAACAGCTTCCTGATGTCGAACAACAGCTTGCTGATCATGAACAGCTTCTAGATCCTGAACAACAGCATAATAATGTTAAACAGCTTTACAATGTTGAAAAGCGTCCTGATTATGAACAACGGCTTCCTGATGTTAAACAGAAGCTTCTTGATGTTGAAGAGCAGGTTCCGTATGTTGAACATCAGCCTCAAAACGTCAAGCAACAGCTTCCTGGTGTTAATAAACAGCTTAATATTGTCGACAATAAGCTGACTCTTGTTGAAGAAACTCTTCTCAATGATTTAAAACAGCTTCAAGGTCATAGAAATCAAGGTCCTACAACTCAAGTCAATCTCTCAAATCGCAAATTGCAAGACGACATTGTCCCAAACATTGACTCTACAACAGAATCATCTATTAGTGTCGGAGATAAACAGTGGCAAGTTAATGTAAAGAATATTAACCTCTCAGTTGAAGAGCTGAAGAATCTGATTGACGATGAGAATAATTGTGAACGTTTCTACTCCAATGAATTTTTGGACCAATGCCTCCTTAAATGCTGGTTATGTGGGGAAGAGGAACCAAAGCACCAGTTTAGGTAGGGATTATAATTAGACATACAATTTGCATTAAGTTTGAAAATTCTCAGTTTTTTAATGAGTTTTTAAAACCCAAAAACTATCCATAATGGTACTTCTAAGTCCTAATATCTGGTGCTGGGATTTAGTGTAAAAAAACTATAAACTTTTAATTTTAGATCACACCTTAAGACAGTGCACTCTACATGGATTAAAGCATATAAATCATTATTTGGAGGACTAACATACAGTCGAATAGTTTTCCACAAGTAAGATTTTATTTTGTTAACTATTTTCAGATATGTATTATTAGTAAATAGCTATAGTGTCCATCGTTGCCCGTGGAATTTAAAAAAAATCAAATTTTGAAGAAAAAAATTTAGATTTTTGAAAAATGATAAAATTTGATTTAAAAAAACGATTTTTTAGCCTTTGTTACCCCGGGGTACTCTAATAATTTCAGCCCATTCGGTTCAGCCATACATTCGAACAAATATATATATATGAGCGAAGAGCTTTATTATAACAGGCCCCCTATACCCTGAGGCTAACATCTCATTATCTAATGGGGGTGCTGACGGGTCGGGTAACTCGTTTTACTTCTAAGCTCGCTTAGATGACAAATGAGACCCTTCGGTAAAAATGAATATAGATAAAAGGTCCCATATAGACCAGGGTAAGGGAGAGAGCTCACCTCCGTTTTCATTGTATTATAACCTAAAAGTCATGTTATTTTGTCTGTAAGTTGATTTCTAATAATATAATGAAAATGTCTTATATGAAGAAGGTTAGGGGATTTACTTAAAAAGAGTTTATTTTTGTTTGAAACATTTATTGTTAAGAATTTATATATTTGTGATTAGGACATAATGAAAGGTTACACCTGTGGTAATGTGGTATTGTTTAGATATGATCTATGTGGTGAAGATATAAGGAAAGGTTACACATGTGTTATATGGTATTGTTTAGACGTGTGGTGAAGATAGAATTAAAGATTATACATGTAGTAATGTGGTATTTTTTCGATATATCAAAGGTGACGATATAATGTGGTAATTTGGTATATTTTAGATGTGATCTATGTGGTGAAGATATACAGATGGAAAATAAATTTCTCAAAAATCACTTCAGGAACCGTTTGATCAAATAAACATATAATTCAACCAGAGAAACTTCTGTCGGGAATTTCGTAAAGAAACTAAGCACTCGCCACAAACTCGTATTTTTTAATCCTTAAATCTTTGAAACCTGATGTTGTAAACATTTGATATTTCTATCTTTGACTGCTATATCTGTTTGATTTGATAGTTTGAAAAATATAAGAAAAACAACATCATATTGCAAAGATAAAGGGTGTTGGAGATTAGAGTTTGTTGCAAGTGTTCAGTTCCTTTACAGCTTTACAGTTCCAACCCTGATTTCTTGAAGTTGATATTTGATTGTAATTGGTCTCCCAGGTTTCACGGGTTATCCTTCCATGATTACAGAACTAGGTTTCCAGGAGTTCCTGGATATACAGAGGAAGAACAAGCTTCTCAGCTTAAGGATGAACACTCGGTTAACCAGGTAAACGCAAGGGTTGATGTTATTGCCTAAAGGGGTCTAATTTTATCAGAAAAAATATTTCTTCTCCGTCCTCCTTTTTCAAGAAACTTTTTCCCCCACTTTTTTGGGTTGGGGATTGGAAAACACTGATTTAAGGGAAAAAAATGAAATGCTTGGTATCCTGAATCCTGATTCCTGAAAGTGAGAGAAATCAAAATTTCAGTTTTTCCACGCGAATCTTCGTAAGTCAATTTTCTCCGGGTGGGTTCTCAAGTCTTTATTACTTTTAGAATTCCACGATTGAAAGGTCGGAGATGCTACCACATCCTAATTTAGAGGACTCCAACAAAAAGCTAGAGAACGAGGATACAGCTAAGGATCTAGAATCTGTCTGCACCTCAGAGATTGCTCTTATCAAACCCATTTCAAAACTTGAAAATTCCTTGACAAGTCCCCACTCTGATGAAGGCAATGAGGATGAACAATCTAAGACTAGAGAGGACAGAAGGGAGAATAGAAGAATAAAAAAAACCTGCCTGGAAAAAGAAGAATTACCGTTCCACATGTTTAATAAGCATCTTCTAAACAAGCATGACCTGAAACTCCCAGAATATAGACGGCAGCATGGGATTCCCAAATTTGCAGAATGCATGTCAGAAAAGAAACAGGAAAAATGTAATGATGAAATTGCAGAATCGGAAAGAAATGTAGGAAATGAAGATGAAGGATCTACGATTAGAAAGGAGAAAAAGGAGAAGAAAAGAATGAAAACAACCTGCCTTGAATGCAAAGAAGCATTGCCATCCTACAAGCTGAATAAGCATCTTCAAACAAAGCATATGCTTAAACCTAGTGAATATAGACGGAAGCATGGGATTGCAAGCATTTCCCAATTTTCAGAATGTAAGTTAGGAAGGGAAAAGGAAAAATGTAATGAGGAAATCGCAGAAATCGCAGAAATCACAGAATCGGAAAGAAATGTAGAAAATGAAGATGAAGGATCTAAGAGGAGAGAGAATAGAAGAATGAAAATAACCTGCCTGGAATGCAAAGAAGCATTGCCATCCTCCAAGCTGAATAAGCATCTTCAAACAAAGCATATGCTTAAATCTAGAGAATATAGACGGAAGCATGGGATTGCAAGAAAATCAAAATCATCAGTATGCAAGTTAGGAAGGGAAAAGGAAAAATGTAATGAGGAAATCGCAAAAATCGCAGAATCGGAAAGTAATGTAGGAAATGAAGATGAAGGACCTAAGAGGAGAGAGAATAAAAGATTGAAAATAACCTGCCTGGAATACAAAGAAGCATTGCCATCCTCCAAGCTGAATAAACATCTTCAAACAAAGCATAATCTTAAACCTAGAGAATATAGACGGAAGCATGGGATTGCAAGAAAATCAAAATCATCAGTATGCAAGTTAGAAAAAGAATATACGGAACGAAATGAGGAAATCGCACAACTAAAACCAAATAAACTTAAGATTGATCTTAAACGTTTGAAAGTTACAATATCAGAAGACGTGGCACTCGTCAAAGCCCCTGTAGTTGTTCCGATTCTGAAAAGAAGTTCGACATCACCAAATCCCGATCTGATTGAAAATGGTGGCAAAAAGTTTTCTGATATTTTAGCAGACCAGTGCATTTTCCAATGTGAAGTTTGTCATCAGCATATGAATAGGTATATTTTTTTTTAAGTGTTATTAAATTGTAAAAAAAGTTAAAATGTTTAAATTTAAAGACTAGGCTACAAAAAAATGGATTAAACAAATGTCTTCTTTTTCCCAATGCTACATCAGCTAGACAACTACGAACTTTGTTGACCCCTCTCCCTTCATATTTCTTTTTAACCATGAAAGTAGTAAAAAGATAAAATGCGCCAAGGTCTGATTTTCTTGTGCTTAGGATCCATTTAATTTTGATGCGGATCCAGGCCATTTCTTTAAGATTTACTGAACTTTTTAACAAAAAATAATTTTTAAATTTTTTGTTTTATTTTTTTCGCTTGTTTTTATCCTAAAACTTGAGGAAATTTTTATAATCTCTCTTTTTCAGAAGTTCAGAATTGGGTTTTAAGAATAAAAAAGTTTTTTGTTGTTGCAGTTTTTGGTTGGTAATTGACCCCTTAGATCCAGATCCGTGGATCCGCATATTTTACCCCTTGGATCCAGGAAGCCAAATGGATTTTAGAGACCTACAAAGTACACACATCAAGCATTTGAGATAGACTTTGCTGGGTACCTTACATCAAGAAGTAACCTAAATCTTGTCACCTGAAACTAATGTGTAAAGAAAACAAACGCTCAATAAAAATTAAAATTTTGTTTTTCAGGAAGCAGTTAACTAAGCATGTTGTCAAGAAGCACCAAAAGACCTGGCAGAGTTACAAGGATGTATACGGGGATTTTAATCCAATCTCAGATGTTTTCTACAGGTAGGGATTACTGGGGTTTAATCCAATCTCAGATATGTACTTCAGGTAGGGATTACTGGGTTTTAATCAGGGATTACTGGGTTTTAATCCAATCTCAGACGTGTACTGCAGGTAGGGATTACTGGGTTTTAATCAGGGATTACTGGGTTTTAATCCAATCTCAGTTGTGTACTGCAGGTAGGGACTAGTGGATTTTAATCTAATCTCAGATGTGTACTACAGGTAGGGATTCGGGGATTTTAATCCAATCTTAGATGTGTACTGCAGGTAGGGATTAGGGGATTTTAATCCAATTTTAGATTTCTCCGAACTATTTAAGAATCGTGTTCCAAGGCAGAGGAATTTATCTAGAGCTTTTTGTGGCAGGTGAAAAACTATGTGGCAGATTTTATTGACAATTATAATGTTTGTGGCCCAGATTTTCTGCAGATTTTATGTGACTGACTGTACACTCAAATATTAATTATTGTCTTTCGCTTTACAAATCTGTATACTTGCTTTACCGTACAACAGTCTATGCACTAGCTTTACCGACCAACAATCTATGTACTCGCTTTACCGTACTACAATTTATGTAATCGCTTTAAGGTTCAATAATCTATGTACTCGTTTCACCTACAACAGTCTATGTACTCGCTATACCGTACAACAATCTATGTACTCGCTTTACCATACAACAATCAATCTATGTACTCTCTTTACCGTACAACAGTCTTTGTACTCGCTTTACCGTACAACCTTTTATGTACTCATTTTACCGCCAAAAATATGAAAGTACATTTTGTCAAGGTGTAAGTGTTGTCAGGCAGAGATGTTGTTTGTTTATGAGCTTGTACTAATGCACTGCAGAACTGTACATAAGATGAGCTTCCCGGATTACAGGGTAAGTTCATTTAACCCAATTTTAAGCACACGTGAAACATTTTTATTTCTACGGGATTAATCAATTAAACAATAATATTAGAAATAAATTTGAACATAACATACTGAACTAGTCCAGGTGACTGTTACATTAATATCTGTCCTTATGCGCTCATTTTTGAAGGGGCATTGACCTTTATTTCCACGGAATGATGGTTTTATCTTCTATTTATTTATTTATTTATTTATGGGATTATCGAATTACTTGAAAAATAATATGCTTTGATATTGTATAATCCCTATATCTTTGCAACCTGATGGTGTAAACCTGTGATATTTCAAGTTTACATTATATGATTATACAGAATGCAAAGTTTTAAATATCTAAGGCCTATGGCATTGGGTTTCAAATGCTTAGGCCTATGGAATTAGAAAATTAGAGTTAGTGGCAAACACTCGATTCATTTTTCCTGATTCCAATCTAGAAATTACATAAAGGCAACTTTTTGAAAATTTCACAAGTCGTACAATACTTTTTTTATACAATCTTTTTCATTTCTTAACTACTGAAATTCAGAGACAATGTTTTTTTAGGACATCTTGTAGAAAGTTTTATGTGAGTGCCTAAAGTATATTGAAATTTGTAGCAGAAATTCAATAGAATCAAGTGTGGACACTGGACAATGTTTAAAAGGATTTTAATTTAAGGTTTTTAAATACTTCCTCCCCCGATTTAAATAAAATATTATAATTTAAAAAAAATTAAATAAAAAATAAATGTTTAGACGAAATACTCTGCGTTCAGTGAAGATGTATCTCGAGTTTTCTCAAGAAATTGGTCGGATGCTTGCACGTGCCTGTGTCCCTTCTGTAGCAAGGTTAGAATTCACCTACTTAAAGGGACTGTAAGCGTTATTTCAAATGAGCCTCAATCCAAAAATCGTAATGTTCAATTTTCCACGGTACCCTTAAAAGCTTGGTCTGATCAAGTATAAATGAGATAACCATGTTTTTGTTTTTGTAAACTGTGCATTTTCATTTGTTGTTTCTCTGCAAAAGTGACCAGCGCATTTCTTGCTATGAGAAACAATTCCAATAATCTAAATTAAACTCTGACTCTTCCAAATTTTCGATTATGTCAATATCTCAAGGGCACCTTTGCTATCTTTTTCATGTGGGTCACTTGAAATTACGCTTACGCATTCCCTTTAAAGGAAACATAATTTCAAGTGACGTTTTATTTCCAGAGCTCCGATTTACAAAGGTTTCCTTTTAAGCTTGGAATGATCAAGACTAAATGAGAAAGATATCCATGTGGATTGTGGATATCGAGATAAATGCTTGATTATCTGCAGTTGAGTATTTAATACCCAGCACAAAAGTTCTCTGCTCTGAAAATATTTTAACTTTAACTAAAGAAATTTTAATTTAAGGTCTTTCCTCACGGACAACTCCTACATCATACGAAAAGTGTACATAAAAAGCGTCCAGGACCGTATCAATACGTAAAGAAGACTTATTATAGGTATATTTTCTAAAATATTTTTTAAATATTTGGTAGATGTATCAGTTATTTTATTAATATTTCATAGTTCGAGTGGAAGAATAAAAAGCAAATTACAAGAAAGTTAATCAAAATCAATATAACAAATCAAAAAAGAAATAAAAAAAGTTAGACAACACTGGGTTGATCGGAATGTAATGTTCGAACCGGTTCTGTCCACTTGTTGGACTGAGTCCTAGTCACTATTTACTTTTAGTAAATAGTGACTAATCTAACATTTTGATGTTCTCTTTTAAGAAGAAATTTTTATGTTCCTTTTTAGGTGTATAATATGTACCTCAGTTATACAACTTACAAAAAATGATATCCGTGATCATTTACGGACGATCCATGGGCTTACTTTGGAGGAGTACATGAAGTATCCAGGAGCCTTTGAAGGTAAATATTTCTCTACAAAGTTCCATTTTCAATTTAACAAAAAAATCCTCCCATAAAATTTCTGTAAAGTAAAATTAAGTTGTAAAACCCTTAAATTTAGAATTTTATGTGTCTAAGGTGGTTGCCTGGACGATACGGAAATAGGACACGACAGAGATGATATTAAAGAATTAGACAGTCCTGGGGTAGAAGAATCTCAAAAGGATCAAATAGAATCAATTATACAAGATACGGACAATAATTATCTTTGTGATTCAGGAGTTGATATGAAATATTTTGATAAAATATTGTCTGACCTTGGAGCCAAGAACAATGAGAATGATGTTAGGGAGCAAGAAGATTCTGAAGTTGATCATCAGAAAGATAAAAAAGAAAATAACACAACTAATGAACAGATGAATGGTGAACCAAGGAGAAATGAAAATCTGAACGAGAACAAAGAAGAGAACGGTTTAAATAATAAAGATAAAAATGCCAAAGATAGCAAAGTATCTAATGAAAAAGTTGAAAGGATCAATAAAAGTGAAGCTGATATTAAAAATGCTGATGAAGATGATAAAGAAGATGCTAATGATGATGAAAAACCTAGTGAAGTTTATAAAAAACTAAGCACGGATGATCAGAATCAGGAAAACGCAGGAACAAATTCCTTTGTAGAAGTTAAAGAGTTGTTAACAGAACTAGACAATGGAAATAATAGCATTGACGAGAGTGAATCAGAAAGTCAACTTACTGTTATAGAGTCTACAGACATTGAACTTATACAAGTAAGAAATCTTCAAGAATTTGGCCTTAATGTCAATGAGGTAGAGTGTACAGTACAATGTTATGAGGAGGAGGTGATGGATTGTGATCCAGAGAATAATTTTGAAGTAGTGATAGAACATTGTGCATTAGATGAAAAAGTCGTAGATCACGAAGCAGCTGAAGATCACAGAGCAGTGAAAGATCACAATTTAAGTGAAGATTATAAAGCAGTGAAAGATCACGAAACTGTGGAAGCAATGGAAGATCATCAAATAATGGAAGATCGCAAGGCAGTGGAGGATCCCAAGGCAATGGAGGGTCGAGAAGTATTGGGAAACAAAGAAAATTTCATAAAGTTTACTACTTCAGTAGTCCAGAAAGAACCAAACAAGAGAAAGAATGACTTCCACACTAAAATTCAGGCACACATTAAAAAAATAGAAAAAGAAATAAAAAATAGTTTTTTGTTAAATCTATCCCCTAAACAGAACTTACTGGCCGATGTAGAGAGAGAACAATTGCCTGCTTTTTCACAAGAAAAGTTTGTTCCTGACCGGCCAAAACGAAAAAGAAAAGCGCGTTACTACGCTGATTTTGTAGAAATTGGCGAATCCGACACTAATGAGGAAAATTGCATTAAACGAAAACGAAAAACTTCCGTAGTTTTGGAGATTTCACACCCCTCACCACCCATATCTGCTGCGGCAGCCAATATGACCGCTACGAGATATACTCAGCATATTTCTGGGTTAAGGACAGCTGGAGTGACTTCACCCGGCAATGTAGAAATTAACTCTTTAAATCATCTAGTTCCTGATTCGGTGAAGATTGAAACCCAAGAAGATAAAGTACCTAGTACCGAAACTAAAGCTGAGTTATCAGGAGATGTCGTCTTCCTATGCCCGTTCTTACTTGATGGATGCAAGACAGTGACGGATCTAAATGTATGTATTTCGTTCGATCTTATTATAAATTACTTAGCTTGGGACCTTTGCCCGAAAAATTAACCTACTAAAATTAGAAGTTCTAAACCAATCTAAGAACATTCCCCTGGTTCTACAAACTTTCTTGGTAAAAATTTGAGGCAAATCAGTTATGATCGACATAGGAACAAATAAACATGCAATATTCGGGAAATAAAATTTTATTCTTTATAATTTAGTGTTGTACCAACTATCATTGTTAACCTTTGAATATTATTTACAGGGATTACAGAGTGGAACTGCATCCCGCCATTGTATCTCCGTTCACAAAACAGTTCCCTACATGATGGCTAAGAAGAACATTACCTGGAAAAAAGTGGAAAAAACCTCTGTTGATTTTTCAATATTTGTTCCACTATAAAATATGTTAAATTTTTTGTTCAGAATTTTCTCGGAAATTTAAAATTTGTTTCAAACAAATCTAACTTTTCCATTCTATATACAACATACATGAATTTAAGCTGTTACCTTGTTTATAAGTGCCTGATTTGATACCTCATAGAAATCATATCTATATTAATCCATGAAAATTTCATATATATTTTTTAAAGTGTCATTTATATCTTTCTATTTTTTAGAAGAATGGACTTGAAAGAATGTAAGAATGATGGGGGGTTGGAACAGTAGGATGGGTCAGGAACAGGATGAGGTTGGAGGGGAGACTCATCAGGATCAATCCTCTCTTTTCCTTCAGTCGGAGAGGGTTGATCCTTCTAGTCAAAGCAACGAAATATCTGTTCATAAATTTAAAATGCCTGACAACCCAGAAAACGATGAAAATCAGCATAAATTGCTGAATGAAAAAGTTGCTGCTGATGGAATTCCTTTTCAGGAATATTCTAACTATTTGGAGAAGGTTGATGATGCTAAACTAAGTAAAGTGAAAGGTGACAGTAAGAATGCTATTTATGAAGATGAAGTTAAATCTAGTGAGAATGAGTCTAGTGAAGAGGATAGCGGTGTATACTCCAATAATGATGATTCAGACGAAAATCAATTACTTCATAAGTCTGGGTAAGTCGATTCATCTATGTCGGGTTGTGGGTTAAAAAGTATGATCATGTAAAATGATTGGTTTGTTAGTAAATTTATGATTTAGATTAACAGCAGAACTCAACAACATTCGTATGAGCTTAAAGATATTCTGTCTGAAAATGGATTATGTACAATTGTGATTTCTTTGCTAAATTAAATAAGGGATTATTGTACCAGAGATTTTAGGTAATAAAACGACAATATCTTCCTCATTGTTGCTCAGATTAGGGTAGAAAGGGTACCGCTGTGAATCGGGAATGGAACTTTGTGCTTGGAATGTCACTTTATATTAAATTTACAGTCCATTAAAGCATCATTATTTATTTATTTTCCTCGGACATGATGTGCTTTTTTAGTAATCATGAGTTTCTGACAAAGACCAACAATGTTCTTGATGAAGACATCAAAGAAAACATAGCAAAGGAAAAGAAAACCGATGATAATTCTGACTACGCCAATGAAAATGATAGTATGCAGAAAAAAGATAATCCTAAAAATCTGAAAAATTGCCAGCCCTTGGACATTGATGAAAGTAAAATCACAGATGATATTGAGAAGAGACAGAGAATTTTGTGCAAAATATGCAAAAACTTGATTGAAGAGTACAGTATGCACAATCATATCAGGTACCATGGTGTGAGAAGTTATGGAGATTATGAATATGACAATGAGTACTACAACAGGTATGTTGCTACATTTATTTATTACATTTAAGATAGCTCTTAAAAGTATTTCAAATTAATTCCTACAGTTGGAAACTTTTGTTTAGATGCAAGATTTGTGACCATGTGATGACCTTCAGCTATAAACACATTCAGAGTCATGTTTATAATGTTCACGGTGTAACACTGGGGGATTACAAGAATACATACATGAGAGATGCATATACCAACATGGTAAATAAAGGAAACCAAAATCATAAACATGATAACAAGACGGCCATGAAAAGATCAAGAAAGTGTCGAAAGAAAGGAAGCTGCACGGAGGACACAAGGTTTATAACTGATGATATCCGTGATATGAGAAAGGTGAAATGTAAACTTTGTGGAAAAATTGTTCTTCGGTATTTCATGGACGGTCATATACATCACAAACACAATGTCACCCATCAAGAGTATGGTTCCTTTGAATACATCAATAACGTTTCATATTACAGGTCAGTCAGGGAACTATGTATTATACTATTTTAAGAGACTTGCAATTTCAAGTGACCCTTTAAAGAGGGCCATGGTTTATTCACAATGATACCCCCTAAAACATTATCTGATCAAAAGGTGGCAGATAATCTTTTATTTCTTAAAAAGTGTTAATTTTAACAATTTCCTTTATTGTTTCTGTAGCATCTATCTCAAGTCATTCTTTTTAGAGAAACCACAACTAAAATGATAAATTTTATAGACAAAAAACACAAATATCTCATTGATTCTTGATAAGACTAACCTTTTGTGAAATTGAGTCTGTTCAGTTTTCGTTTCAATAATTATGATTATATATTTATTTACTAATCAAAGAATTAGTTCTATAACAACCCCTTTCATTATCAACCATAAACTTTATGTCATTCCTGATTTTGTAAATTCTATGTGGGATTGGTTAGTGGTGGAAGCCTCCATAAATGGGGATGGTCAAGTTGAATTACGTCTACTGTCCCTAAAAGCCTCCATAAATGGGGATGGTCAAGTTGAATTACGTCTACTGTCCCTCAAAGCCTCCATAAATGGGGATGGTCAAGTTGAATTACGTCTACTGTCCCTAAAAGCCTCCATAAATGGGGATGGTCAAGTTGAATTACGTCTACTGTCCCTTAAAGCCTCCATAAATGGGGATGGTCAAGTTGAATTACGTCTACTGTCCCTTAAAAAGTTAATTTATTCGCTGACTTTGCGAACTCAATAGCCCGGCCCAAAAATTTCCCAGATATGCTATACATTTATAAAATCAGAAGAAGCTTTACTGAAAAAAGTAACATAATACAATATTTTTTTAATTAAAAAAGGAACCAGGCATATTTTTCCGAGAATATACTTTTTTGAAAAGATGAGCTTCCCTTAAAGATGATAAAAATATCTGAAGGAAAATTATGGTCTAAAAATAGTTTGCTGAATCTGACTCAATTTAAGGCTTATAGATACTTTTTTTTTAGGTGCAAACTGTGCCCAGCTGTTATTACCTTTGATTTTAGACTCATCGGAATCCATTTACGTTCAAAGCATGATATGAAGCTCTCTGACTACAAGCTTCAACATATGGGATGGAAAGGGAATATGACTTATGATGAAATGGTCTCACATCTGAACAGAATCCAGCCAAGGAAAACGATCCAAAATCAGAAAGATAACATTGAAGATGAAATCAAGGCGATCACGAAAAGATCAAGAAAGAGTGAAAATAACGACGAATGTCCAAATGACAGTGAAGATGAAAACAAGACAGCCATGAAAAGATCAAGAAAACAACGAATGCTCAAATCGCAGTAAAGATGAAAACAAGACAGCCATGAAAAGATCAAGAAAGAGTGAAAATAACGACGAATGCTCAAACGACAGTAAAGATGAAAACAAGACAGCCATGAAAAGATCAAGAAAGAGTGAAAATAATGACGAATGCTCAAATGACAGTGAAGATGGAAACAAGACAGCCATGAAAAAATCAAGGAAGAGTGAAAATAACGACGAATGTCCAAATACTAGTAAAGGTCTTGAAGGAAGCTGCAACGAGGACTCTAGGTTCATATCAGATGATATCCGAGAAATGAGAAAGATCAAATGTAAACTCTGTGGAGAAATTGTTCTCGGGTATTCCTTTGAAGGACATTTAGGGTGGAAACACAAGGTCACCCGTCAAGAATATGGTTCCTTAGATTACATCAATAACGTTTCATATTACAGGTCAGTAAGGGATGGCTTAGAATTAGGAATACTAGTGATAAGAATTAAAACAAACAGAAATTGGAACCAAACATACATTAAAAAAAGCAAGGGGATGATTCCCTTTCTTTAAAGTGTATTTTTAAGATAATCCACCGACATCTAAAGTTGAAAAGGTTTCAAAATGGCGAAGTCTATGTTTAGAATTATATTTTTTTGAAATAAAACTTTTTTAAAAGAGAAGCTTCTCTTCAATATAAAAATATAAAGAAAAATTAAAAATAAATATATTATAATTTGTTGACTAAATTAAGGCTTAAAGGGACTGTAAACGTAATGTTATAGGGACCCCCCCCCCCCATGCTAAGAGGGCAATGCCCAATTTACAACGGTAACCTTTTCATCCAGTGAAAAAGATATGTGTAAATCTGTTAAATAACTGTTGAATCATTCTCAAACCCTGTGTACTCTGCATGTATTGTGAACTCAACAGAGCTAATCTGTTGAAAATATCGCCTTTTCCACGTTAAAACCAGTTTTCAAACATTAGATTGATAAGGATATGACTAACATCCTTGATCAGTCAAAGGTTTAAAAAGTTCCATTGTGAATCGGGCTCCTCTATAAAGGGAAGGTCATTTGAAATTATGCTTGCAGTCCCTTCAAAGATATATTTTTTAGGTGTAAACTGTGCCAAGATGTGATGATCTTTGATTTCAAACACATCAATTACCATGTAGGTAAAGTGCATAGTACCAAGCTCTCTGACTACAAGCTTCAATATATGGGATGGAAGAATAAAATGACTTATGAAGAAATGGTCTCACATCTGAACATAATTAACCCAAGGAAATCTAAAATACAGGAATCTGCACCTAAAGTTGAAAAGGTTATCAAAGCTGTCGAATCCAACGAGCATATCAAAGTATTTAAGAAACCCATACCTCAAAATTCTCCAATCACCTCTAGATTAAATGTTAGTACTAAAATCAGTAAAGGTGTCCTGAATAGTGCCAAAATCAAGCAATCTCATCAAGAAAAAATAACAAAGGGCACCGCCTGTGAAGATATTAGATTTGTTACAGACGACATTAGAGAAATGAGGAAAAGCAAATGTAGTATCTGTGGAGACTTATTTCTTAGCAGTCAAATCAGGCGCCACATAAAAGACAAACATGGGGTCGCCTTGAATAAGTATGGGCCTATTAAAGATACCAACAATGCCTTCTATAGGTGAACTCATCTTGCTTTATTTTTTAGTTTCATTTCAGCCAAATTATATTTACTTGAAAGTTTTAATTATTTAATTTCGTGTGAATGCATTTTTTTCTTTATATAAAAAGTATTTTCTTTGTTTCTTCTATTCCCATCTTATCTTTTTCCAGGGTGCAGCTTTAATGTGCGCCCTGTTGGCAGTCTGGGGGTTCCACTTTGGGTTCCATTTAAGATTTACACTTTATTTGATTTATCGATTGATGACATATCAAAACAAGATGTGGTCTTTGCAGGTGTAAAATCTGTTCTTCAGTTTTTGCCTTTTGCATGGGTAAAATCAGCAAACATGTCCGTAGGGTGCATAGGATAAGAAGTGTAAAGGTATACAAGAAGAAGTACATGGGATGGGATGAGAAAACAACCTATGATCAAATGGTGGAGCAATTGGATAAAGTTAACCCACGAAATCATCAAAATAGCATCACAAGCCATCAACAGATAAAGATTGATATCTCTGACAAAGATGAAAGTGACCATGACAAAGCTATGGAACCCCCTGAAATCCCTGTTATTTCAGAGAAAGCCAGAGTTATCAAGAAAAAGATTAAAGAAGTATTCAAAACCTCAGAACCGATGAAAAAACATGAAGTTAATGAAATAAAGACCGACACTTTCAAGAGGATCTTCTCAGATGATGTTAACAACATGTGTCTAATCAAATGTAACATTTGCCAGATGAGGTTTAGTTCTGACAAGAAATGGCTTCATTTCAAAAATTTCCATAAAGAAACCCTGGAACCATCTTGTACCTTTGTCAGGAAAACTTATTACAGGTAAAAATCTACCCTATTACACAGAAGGCAAATAATTAAAAAAAAACACACGAAAATTTGGAAATGAACTGGCAAGATTTTTAATAATTTTAAGATACTCTATATACTCTATATACTCTATATACTCTATATACTCTATATACAAAATATCTTTTATTTTCCTTATTTCTTATATATGCCATGTTTTGAACATTGATAAAAAGAATCCAATAAACTCTGAGATTTAAGTGCGCTTAAAGATAGAAAAGATATTTTTTCATAACATTTAAATAAATTAATCGAAAAAAAATCTTCATTTTTTAATTTTAGATGTCCTGATTGCGCTGGAGAGTTTCTGTTTTGTAATAGATCTCTTGCTAGTCATGCTGCTGTAAGACATAACACAACCTTAGCAAATTTCAAAGCCAAATATCTCAAGATAAAGCCAGAAAAATTTAACTCTACCCAGAAGATCAAGCGTGAAGAGAAATATTATCCCGACAATGTGTCTAAAGAGAAATATTATCCCGACAATGTGTCTAAAGAGAAATATTATTCCGACAATGTGTCTAAAGAGAAATATTATTCCGACAATGTGTCTAAAGAGAAATATTATTCCGACAATGTGTCTAAAGAGAAATATTATTCCGGCAATGTGTCTAAAGAGAAATACTATTCCGACAATGTGTCTGAACTGTGCAAATATAAATGTTTGTCATGTGGAGAAGAAAACATTGAAGTAAAAAATATTCACACAAAAAATGTTCATCCGGAGATAAAAAGGAAATATAAAGTCATGGAAAAGATTCTTCACAGGTAACTTTATTTAAAGATAAAGTTTAGTTTTTTGATTTTAAATATCTTGTTTGTAATTGTTATGGTTTTCTGAGACATTTGACTTCTGTAATATTTTAAGATGTAAGATCTGCAACACAACAACAATCTTCAATTCAGAAGGAATTAATAAACATTTGAAAAAATGTCATCCTTCATTAAACATGACGTTTAAGAGGTATTGTAAAACATACCTCAGCATGGAACCTCAAGATGATGAGATGCAAATGAACCTCCAGGTGCATGAGGAAAAAACAAATGATAAAATGCCAACGAAGATCAAGCATAAAGAGAAATATTATTCCGACAATGTGTCTAAAGAGAAATATTATTCCGACAATGTGTCTGAACTCTGCCAATACAAATGTTTGTCATGTGGAGAAGAGAATATCGAAGTAAAATCAACTCACACTAACAATGTTCATCCAGAGATAAAAAAGAAATATAAAGTCATGGAAAAGATTCTTCACAGGTAAAATAAGTCTTTATTTAAATTATTGACAAAAACAGAGTCAATGCTTCATTCATTTTACAATGAAATTAGTTTTATAAAATTTCAAAATCTTGATTGTTTGAGATATTTCAGTTAAGTAATAATTTTAGATGCAAGATCTGCAATAAATCAGTAATCTTCAATCCAGTTGGAATTAATGGACATTTGAAGAAATCTCATCCTTCATTAAACATCACGTTTAAGAAGTACTCCAAAACCTACCTGAACCAGGACTCCAAGACGAAAGTGACCAAGAAACATCCTCCTGGTCCAGTCAGGTGTACCTACTGTCCTATTCTTGGTACAAAGGAACAGATTGTATCTCACACTAAACTTCAACATAAAGCAGTCTCAAGTCAAGTTGACGTTGATGAAGATGAACATATGGCTATTGAAGAGGATCATACTGATGCTCCTAAAGAAGTATCTGAATTGACCACTGAAGAGGATGACAATTATGTTGATGAAGATGAATCTGAAAACCCAGCTAAGGAAGGAGAAGGGATGAAAATATTTACAAATAATGTAAATCTCCTCTGTACCAGTAAGTGTCTGCGCTGTAAGAATATTGTCCTTTCATCAAAAAGAAAATGCCATATTAAATATCATCACAAAGATCTCAAGTTTTCTAAGAAATTGTTCAGATCTGTTCGTAAAACGTATCACAGGTAAGATTAATAGTTTTTGTTCATAAGAAATAAACAAAAAAATGATTCTTCATGATTTTAGATGTAAACTGTGCAATCAAGAGCTGTTATTTAGCATGTGCTCTATTGGTGAGCATCTAAGAATTAAGCATAATATTTCAACTGTAACACAATATAGGTGGGAACATTGTGTTCAGCAGAAAGTTAATCAACAGGTAGTTTTTTTCCTTTTGTATACTTTGTTCTCCTTTACTATATTTTAAGATTTCGCACATTTTTCTGTTTTCATTTGTGCATTTTCGAAATTGAAATTTTTCGGAGGCCATATTTTTCTTTCCGACCGTCCATAAACCTTCCTTAGATACTAGCAAACAGACAGAAAGACAAATCAAATATTACATAGAGATAGAAAATGTATCACAGATTTTTACTTTACCTTTAACCTTCTTTCCTTTGGTTAAAAAATCCCTTTTTATTTACTAATTGAAACCTAAAGTTTGACAATGCAGGTGGATAAAATATTGACGAAGACCAATGAGAGAATCAAGACTAAAAATAGCGTAGATAAATCGAATATTGAGAAGAAGAGGAAACATGATGAACAAGACTCCGGTCAAAGTTTTAAATATCAAAGGTAAAGAAAAAGATAAAGGTTTCGTAAATATTCTTATTTATAGCTATACAAATGAGGGTACATTTATACATTTATGTCCTGACAAAGGTTTAAACTTAAAGGGTACCGTTGTAAATCGAAAATGTCTTCCTTTAACTGAAGGTTCACTTGAAATTACGCTCACAGTCCCTTTAATGTTTATGGGGTTAGTTGAATGCTGTCTTTATCTGGAAAACGCTCACAGTCCCTTTAATGTTTATGGGGCTAGTTGAATGCTGTCTTTATCCGGAAAACTTATTTTTCTTGTATTTACATTTTTAGGAATCAAAACAATACTTTGAGAGAATTGGCGGGAAATAAAGATTTTCTATCAGATGAAAGCGATGATGAAGAAGATGAACTAGTTGATAATTGCTACTCCACTGATGTCCACAAGATGTGTTTATCCAGATGTCTTTACTGTCTTAAAATCTTCTCGCTTAATAATATTAGGAAAACCAGCATTTAAAAATAAATTGCCTTGTTTTTGTTTAATTTATCTTGTTATGGATTTAAAAACAAAAGCCTTCACAAACAGTCATGAATCATTCCGCAAAAGTCAGGCCTAAGCCTCCTTCAAAAATTCTTGTCGTGACTATTTTAGTCTTAGAATATATCTCAAGATTTCGTTCCTATTTCCATAGATTTTGTGTTTTTTCAAATATATGATCATTTCCTTAAATTTTGTAAAAATATGCCTGGTCAACAGGCCTCATATCTACAGGAACCACAGTAAATCAACTGGCAACAACGACGAACAGAAGTTTGTTTATGTTCGAAAAACTTACTACAGGTACACATTATAGTTTTACTTTCTTTTTTTAGCATCTTGAGCTAAAGTTTACGGAATTTAATTAATTAATTTATTCTTTATTATGGCATTCCTGTGGTAACTTAAGTATCATATTTTTGAGCTAACTTAGTTGTAAATTATGATATTTCTGTGTTAAATAAAGTTCAAAGTATAGTATTCCTGTGTTAACTAATGTCTGAAGTATTGTATTTCTGTGTCAATCAATATTTAAATTATTGTATTCCATATTCCTGTGTTTACTCAAGTCTTCAGTGTGGTATGATCATGTGTTAGCATATTCCTGTGCAGTGCTTTGTATCTAATTAATTTCCCTCATATTTTTATAAATCGGTATGTGATAAGTTTTCAAAACGAATATTCATGTTGCAGATGCCGAATCTGCGGTAAATCGTTGTTGTTCAGCTTCGATTCTATTTTCCTGCACGTGAAGAATAATCATTACATGAACCTAGCAGAGTACAAGGACAAGTACATGGGGTACAACAAGGACAAATATGTGTACAGGTAAACAATAAACCTTCGTACAGTAAACTACAATTCACTCGAAGTACTAGGCCGACCTATAGGCAACTAGAGCATCTGTACAGTGTACAGTTAACAACAGACTGGAACGAAAAACGGTACAGTGCACTGGATTTATCATTACTGTCTCTAAGTGAGAGAAATGTGCCCCCTCCTCCACCCTTTAGCGCATTAAAAAAAAACCGTTTTTATAGCCTATATTGCGTGAACTTCTGTTTTATAGCGTCGCTTTAATGCCAAATAGATAAAATTTGTGGAAAATAAATACTTTATGGATCAATGTTTCAATGGTTGGAAAAATGGCAGAAATTTATTAAAGATCAACTGTCAATTTATAGGGGTAATTTGAAGTTTTCCCAAATTTTGAATCATTTGAAAACATTGTCATTTTTATCTTTTTAGGCGAAGGCCTGTTTACCAATCTTTATCCATCACACCTGAAATAAAACTGGAGTCCAGTTCACCCAGTATCAAAACTGAACCTGGGTTAGTTCCTGAACCTGAAGAACAAAAGTCATTGTATTTTCTTCAACAAAACTCTTCTGTTCTACCAAAACAAGAACCAGATAGCGAGAAAACTGCTACTGGTACTGATACATTGATTCACAAGCAAGCTTCCACTGAAACCTCTTCTGCTTTGTCCGAAAACAATACCAACCTAAACATAGAAACTTTAAAAACCGGACATGAAGAATCAGACTCCAGGTTAGAGAATTTAGAGAATTTAGAGGAGCAAGCTAATTCTCTCGAAAATCTAAAGAATTCTGAGGATACAGTTGATACTTCTGAAGCACATATTCCTGAAGATCTAGAGAATGGTGTTAAGAAAGAGGAAGATTGCAAACCTGAATTTGTGTTCAAATGTCCTTTTAATCCCTGTCCTGCCTTTACTATAGAAGAGGTAAGTGATTATCTTTTGAAAAATCATTGTTATCTTCATTACAGTGAGTGTGAAAATATCCCACCTTTTCTTGATATTTTATCCGCAGAATGACCAGCCTGCCATTTTTAAAGCCAATTTTTCATATGCGCTCATCTGGAATTATAAGTTTTTGAGCGATCAAAAAACCTAAATAATATAATATTAAAATCTTTATACAACAACGATTTACATACTTATGTTTAAAATATATCCTTCCTAGAATTTGCCAATCTAGAAAAAAGGTTAGGGTTTAAGATATTTAGATTTTTCTTTTGTTAAGTTTTTTTATCAGTTTAAAATTAGTGCATAATAAGGAATCTTTAGTTTGTTTGAACAATATTAAAATGCAGAGGATCTTTAACTTTTTAGAATATTAGTACATAATCACACAAGGACTTACGTTGGCAACATCCAGGCTAGGCTTCTCCTGTTTAGTGGAGTTCCTTGACTAGTTGAATCCTTGATCCGTTTAGAGGTGGATCCCGAATCCTTAGTAGTTGAATCCTTGCTCCTTCGTGTTTAAGTACCGATCAGTAGTTGAATCCTTGCTCCTTCGTGTTTAAATACCGATCAGTAGTTGAATCCTTGCTCCTTCGTGTTTAAATACCGATCAGTACTCATTAACCTGCACAGTTTTTAAAATGTTTAATTTTTGCCTTTTTCGGATTATGCTCAAGTTTTAATGCTCAACTTACGCTATTTTATCAATTTTTATAAAAGTTATTTTTGACCTTTAAGGTTAGAAGAATATCCAAAACTTATGCCGATTGTCCTTGCATAATCACTCTGAAACATTAATACTTCAAATATTTAAGAATAAAATAAGTTTTTACTTTTAGTTTTAAAATTGTGAGTGGTGAATCACAAAAAAGGTTCTTCAAAGTTCCAAGAGCTCATCAGTGTCTGGTTGTTCTAACATGTTTTCCGTTCACTTCACCTTAACATGGGGTTTATTATTTTTACAGTGAGAACTAGACATTTCTAGAATAGGAAGACGACTTTAAAACTCAAGTTATGGCTTTTAATATTCCAACGAACATTAAACACCGAGCAATTTAGGAGTGTAAACGGAACCATTACACTTAGAAGTTATTCTAAAGGTTATTAGTGAATTCATTTGCTTTGTAACAACATCAAATACACTTAATTACATTAATGTCGTCTTCTTATTTTCTGGTTCTCTTCCTATATCAATTCATTTTTTAGATGATTTAGGATTTGGATAAATGAAATTATTTTTTTAAAAGGTTCTGTTCCCTGCAAAGAAAGCTTGAAGAATGATAATCTGGAGAACTAGATTCAGGAACGCTAATAGTTCTTTTTCACTTCAGAAGGGCGCGTACTGCAATTTCTTGGAAGAACGTTAACAAAGGCTAGTGTATCCTTCTTGAATTTTAACTGTAATATATTCAGGGTTTGAAGGATGGTAGAGCTGCCAACCATTGTATCAAGGTGCATAAAGCAAGACCTCGTCATCTTCTTAAACTGAAACTGAACTGGGTTCGGGTCCCGGCCGGTCACACTACCTGGAAAGATTCTGTTTCAAGTTTTTAAAAATTTTATTTTGTTCAGAACACCTTGCTAAAAATAAGAGATGGACATGGATATTACCTAAAATTGTTGAACTGAGGAAGTAGTTATTACTTTTTTGTAAAAACTTTTCTGCAAAATCTTTTTTTTTGTCTAATGAGAAAACTTTTCCCGTTTATCTGTACCTTGAGCAAACAAGTGATGTTTGTTTGTTTGCGGGAAGTTGAAAAATCAGTCTTGTGTCAAGTTGAAAAATCAGTCTTGAGTCAAATTGAAAAATCTGTCCAGTATCAGTTTTTAAAATAATTGTTAAACGAATTTGCATTTCATGATCTCAAATAATCCCGAAAAGAGACTGTTCTTTGTTTTGTTTTTATGTCTCTTTTTTTATTCGTTTTTTTTGATTTGGTAAATTTTTCTTAGTGCTCTCAGTCTTTATCTTTTATGTTAACCGTGGGCACCTTAGCAATTAAACACTGCCAATTACTAGTACATAACTATTATCTTATTTTGTAAAATTTGCACATGATAATTGTAAAAGAAATTCGTTGTTTGTAACCAGTATATCGCTCTAAATTTCAAATATTTAATCAGATTTTTTGGTTCTATATTGATCAATTCTAAGCTTTTTGTTTTTTGTATTTGTTTGTTTTGTTGTTACGTTTTTTGTTTTTTATAAATTTTTTTTTGAATTGGTAATTTATTTTATGTCTTTATTTTTTATATTGGACACCTTAGCAATTAAACACTGCCAACTACTAGTACATAACTAGTATTTTTAATTTTGTAAAATTTGCACATGATAATTGTAAAAGAAATTCGTTGTTTGTAACCAGTTTATTGCTCTAAATTTAAAATATTCAATCAGATTTTTTGGTTCTATATTGATCAATTCTAAGCTTTTGTTATTTGTATTTGTTTGTTTTGTTTAAGTTTTGATGGTTGCAGAATAAAAATGGGGGATTCGGGAGTAACTGAATCATTTCTAGCTGATCTTGAAACTAACGGAAGAATCGTATATAATTCAACAATAGGTAGAATATTTATGTCTAACCTAACCTAACCTAACCTAATCGAATATAATTCAACAATAGGTAGAATATTTATACCTAACCTAACCTAACCTAATCGAATATAATTCAACAATAGGTAGAATATTTATATCAATCGAATGTAATTCAACAATAGGTAGAATATTTATATCAATCGAATATAATTCAACAATAGGTAGAATATTTATATCAACTGCGTTGTTGTCAAAGTTTTTTTTAAAGTTTTCAATTTTGTCAGCATTTCAAAATTCAAAGATTTCTATTCCGTTTGTTTCTAAACTTACCAAAACTTTATTTAGTTTCATATTACTGTTCTCTAAATCGTAGGTTTAGCTGTGGTAATAATTTAAAATGTAGAATAATTTGATATTGATGGAACATTTACAGCCATCCTATTCCTGTCCATTAAAATTTATATATATATTACTATTTTTGAGCTATTTTCTCCAGTCTTGATTAAAGTCTGTCAACAGCAAATCTGGTGTTCTCTAGTTTAAATGGATATCTAAACTTTAGAGTATATAAATTATCTTAAAAACTTTTGTTTTAGGAAGTGTTTGTATATCTAGAATAGAAGATACAGGAGGTGATTTAAACACTTCATCTACACCTACCCAGGTATTAGACTCACCTACACTTCACCCAGCATGTCATAAGATGTATAAGATTATGGATGATATGACTTGATTTAAAAATGAAAATATTTATATTTTGATGATTTTGCAGACGATTATTGATTATTGATGATTCTGAAGATGATAATATTTAGATTATTGATGATTCTGAAGATGATATTATTGCTTCACATTTTCTAGAATCCTACCAGGAAGAGGAGGTTACAAAATATAAATTATCTGTTCAATAAACAGTACAGTACAGCACAGCACAGTACAGTACAGTACAGTACAGTACAGTACAGTACAGTACAGTACAGTACATTACAGTACAGTACAGTACAGTACAGTACAGTACAGTACAGTACAGTACAGTACAACTAATATTGCATTGTATACTATTTGGCAGGAGTCGAGCAGAAAAAGAAAACTGGATTTAGAAGCAGAATCACCAACTAAAAAGTCAAGGTAATTATAATCTACCATCTGCTAGCATTACTTCAAATTTCACATTTTTTCTTTAAACATCTGTGTGTTTGGCTTAAAATGAAATATTTTTAGACGGCCGAAACAAGATCTGGATCCAGAGCGACAAGTTTCAAATAATTTAGGTAGGATATCTTGAACTACCAACAACTATATTAATGTCATACAGTTACAAGATAAATGGTGTGAAAAAATACTTTTTTATATTTTTTTTTATGCTGGATGTCAAGAAGTATTTGTACTTTTAATATTTTAGTGGATTCGTGTACAAGTTCGTGTAATCTGTGTGGAAAGATTGCATCCCACGACTCCATCTTGAAACATATTTCTAATATGCATAAAGCATCTCAGAAGGACAACTACGTCATGCTTACACGATCATATTACAAGTAGGTTAAACACCATTAATTATCAATATGTTAAAGGGACTGTAGACATAAATTCGAGTGACCTTAAACGTTGCCCTTAAAGTATTTGTCTGAACATGGATGAAGGAGACATTCATATTAGTTTATTTAAAAATTGATTATTATGAAAATTCAATATCTCATTTATTCATGGGAAGAATTTTTTTGAGGAGTTCTCTGTGACTAGAAAATGATTTTTATTGCTTTTAAATTACTCTCTACAATCCTTTTAATGTGCACAAGGTTGAATTTGACCTAATATTTCAAAAACAATGTAGATGTCGAATTTGTGACTCGGAAATGGTTTTTTTCATCGGACGAATAAAAGAGCACTTGAAGAGGACTCACAAGATCACGTTGAACGAGTACAAGTTCACCTACAACGAGTTGACGGAGAAGATTAGGTTCGGGAGGAGGGAGAGCACCAAGACCCTTAGCAGGTGTAACTTCTGCAGCGAGATCTTTAACCACGAGGAGACAATAGAACATATACAGAACGTGCATGACGTTTCCTACGAGAATAATTTTGAGATTGTGACGAAACAAGATCTAAAAATTCAAGTGTAAGTATATTTAAATTCGAATTCTTAATTAACTAAACATTTGTTCAATTGGCGAAGTTTGGGGGATGATATGAAAAATGAAAATTAAACCTGGGTCCAAATTTAATGTATTTGAGCTAGGTCACTGAACCGTCGATTCAAACAATTATCCGTAGTTCTGTAGTGTATACATCTCATGTCTTATGTCGTATGGGGCATGGGATAGGATATTCAGAACTTGCCAATGTCCTCTTGATGAAAGCTACACTTAAGAACTTCAGATGACATTTGAATCGACGGTAGGTAGTTCAGCGACCTAGCTCAAATTTATTCAAGTCAATTCCTGAACAGTTATATTTCTAGGGAAGGAACTAAACATTTCCCTCAAACACTAATATTCGAATCCCATTTCTTTCGATTGAAACCTAATGTATAAACCTTTTGTATTTCTAACTTTGGTTATTCGATTTAGCAGAATTTGTAGTTAAATTATCAATTCAATTTAATTCAAGAAGCCAGGGAGTCGAAAGGTTTATGACATCAGGTTTAAAAAAAAAAAAAAAAGTGTTCAGTTCCTTCAAAAAGGTATAACACATTTTTTTGAGGAGTAGAAGTAAAATTTTCGGGATTCATTTGTCTAACTTTATAGAAGTGAGAAGAGGTATGAGTGGGCACAAGAGCAGGCGCAGGAGATTATAGAACTATGGAAACATACCTTGGACGACGGGGTTATGGTCTTTACAGATAATGCAAAGGTACGATTATAGAACTATACATTTTTCGAAATGTGTACTAATAACATATAACAGATAATGCAAAGGTACGATTATAGAACTATGGAAACATACCCTAGACGACGGGGTTATGGTCTTTACAGATAATGCAAAGGTACGATTATAGAACTATGGAAACATACCCTAGACGACGTAGTTATGGTATTTACAGATAATGCAAAGGTACGATTATAGAACTATGGAAACATACCCTAGACGACGTGGTTATGGTCTTTACAGATAATGCAAAGGTACGATTATAGAACTATGGAAACATACCCTAGACGACGGGGTTATGGTCTTAACAGATAATGCAAAGAAACGATTATATAACTATGGAAACATACCCTATTCTTCAAATCATTGTTTTTGAAGATTTTTATCAAAATATTTATTAGGAAAAGTGTTTACGGCAGTGTGAGCTTTGTCAAAAAATTTATTCAGACGATTCATTAAGGTATGTTTTTATTTACGCTTTCCTTCTATTTTCGAAGTTGTCAGAAATTTATTTTAAACTGGTATTATTTTAAGCAATAAAACAATAAATAAAAATTGTAAACAATAACACAAATGATAAACAGACATCTGGTGCATCTAGCGTTAGATGAAGATTCACCGTATACTAACTCATGTTTGTTTACATTATTATTTTTGTTACGCAAAAACTAGTTCTCCAGCAGTCCAAAAACGTCACAGCAAAGTGTACGGAAACCCTAATGCCCCCTCCTTGTATTCAATTCTCCTTGTATATGTATATGTTATATATATGCTTATAAAGGCTAAGAAACGATATTTTTTTCAAAAATTGCAAATTCTCCAAAATTCGTTTTTTATTGCACGGGCAACGTCGGGTACTTCAGCTAGTTTATTAATCAATATTATTATTATTAAAGGAATCATATCCGTTTATGCCACAAAGATGAGGATCGAAGGCATCCTAAAGAACATAAGCTTGTCAAAATCACTTATCATAGGTAATGATTTTATTTCCTTTAAATATTGGAACAATTTAAAAGTCGTCTTTAACCTTAAAGGGATTGTTAGCGCAATATCAAGTGACCCTCCACTCTATGCAAAAAGATATCAATGCCCGATACACAATGGTCTGATCAAGTAATAATTAGATATTCAATTGAGCAATGATATTTTTGCATTGAGGGTCCCTTGAAATTACGCGTACAGTCTCTTATAGCTACTTGTTATTAGGGTTTCCAATCGGAATTCCATTGCGCGGAATTGCGGGTAACTGTTCTTGAATTGCACGGAATTGCGCAGCACAGGGCTCGCAATTGCGCCCAAGTAAATTCCACTTGCGTTGGAAACCTTACCTGTGGTCCAACCAACATTTCGTATTTGATTTAATTTGTTTGATTTGTAATAAATAATTTTAGCTCTCAGCTCTTTTATTCAGATGAATTTTGTATTCGAACGTATCTTTCATTCAGATGTAGGCTGTGTGAGAAACCACTAAGATTCACTTTCAATATTGTCTCAAAACATCTGAAGAAAATGCATAGTCTAAAGTTCAATGAGTACAAGGTAAGAGTTCAAAAGTACATAGAACAAAACGTAGGAGTAGAATAAGATATGCGTAAGTTATGTTTGATAATATAGTTCAATAATAACATTGTTCAAAATTAAAGTACAAGTTATGAGTACCGTTCACTTATTTGGGTAATTTCTTGGTAAACAAATTAGCCTATTAGCTATATTCATTACTTTTCAAACGCAGATCTATTGCCGGAGAAAATGTTGATTTTATTTATTATTATTACCTAAATATTTATTATTCCAGCGGAAAGGTATGATACCTTTGCATAGACACTATTGAAACGTTTTTTCAGTAACAACACTCCAATAAAATCTTAAATTCTCAAATTTTAATGACATCATGTGTCAACCTTTATATAATAAGACATAAAAACTTTTGATTTTAGAATTAGCAAGAAATTAACGTTTTTAGTGTTCAAACATGATTTAACAAATTAACACGTTTTTACAAAGACTTTTTTTTAGACAAAAACGTATCAAACCGTCAAACGTTTTAAATAAGTTGTATTTTGAAAATAGACAATTTTTAAAATAATTTTGACAAAAAATTAAGATATCTACAATCAATTATTAGATACTACAGTTAAATGAAATATTGGAAAATTAAAAAAAATCCATGACTATGACAAAAAGCATCAAATAATGTAAATGCGTATCATATTCGCCCTGGAATTATGAATGATAAATCGACTTTTTTCAGGCCACAGTTGTCTTTGAAAAGTAAGACTAAAACCAATGAATAGCTAATAAGGCTATTTAGTTAACCCTCAAATTACTCAAATAAGTAAACGGTCTCTTTAAGTTATGTGCAGAAGTATGCATAAGACAAGAGTTCAATAATACAGTCAAATTCAAGAGTTGACTAAACCTTTCAGACTTGACATTTTCTCCTCTTTCATTTCATGAATTTTCTATTGTCTTATCAAATTTGATAGAATTTAAGTTAAAGTGTTTTTGATTGCATTTGCTTTCATGGAATTCAATAAAAGTTTCTCGCATCAACATTTTGAAACTAAAACCTTACCTCTTATTGAATTAATTCCCTCTCTTTCCTATTTTCATTCTATCATTTTTAAAACAAAGGGCCTCATTTGTCAGAGTAGGGGGCCTGTTAGGATCGTATACTGGTAAAAACGACCTGGGTAAGGCCTCATGTCGGTTGGGTCGTCATGCAGCCCAGGCTGTTACCCCAGCCCGCCTAGTCCTGCGAGAGGTCCAGGCTGTAATTCAAAAACCCACCTCCTGTCCCCTCGCCTCCTCTGGTTTAATACCCAGGGTTGGTTTATCCAGGTTTAATACCCATGGTTGGTTCATCCAGGTGTAAAACCCAGGGTTAGTTTATCCAGAGCTGGGAACTTTTGAATGGTGGATATCGGGATTAATGCTTAATCCACTCTTTTTCTTAATCTCCAGATTAAATAATGCTTGTTCTCCTCTTGTTGTTAATCTCCAGATTAATAAACCGATCGGGATTAAGGATATCCCATTCTAAAGTTTTCAGCTCAGGTTTAATAACCAGGGTTGGTTCATCCAGGTGTAAAACCCAGGGTTAGTTCATCCAGGTTTAATAACCAGGGTTGGTTTATCCAGGTGAAAACCCAGGGTTAGTTTATCCAGGTTAATAACCAGGGTTGGTTCATCCAGGTGAAAACCCAGGGTTAGTTTATCCAGGTTTAATAACCAGGGTTGGTTCATCCAGGTGTAAAACCCAGGTTTAGTTTATCCAGGTTTAATAACCAGGGTTGGTTTATCCAGGTAAAAACCCAGGGTTAAAATCACATTTTATTAACATATGAAATTAATCTTTTCTAATTCTAGCATGAAATAGTGGCAAATATTTTGATTCAGGAGAGATGCTCTGTTTTCCTTGAGGATGTTGACGAAGAAAGCACTTATCCACCTCAGCTAACCCACTCTTTGCTCCCCCACCTCACTAGTTCCTCCCTCAACCCCCTGATGAACTAGCTTACCTACTCCTTGCTCTCCCACTTGACCAGATCCTCCCTAAACCTCCTGGTGAACTACCAGTCCTACTCCTTGCTTCCTCACCTCACCAGTTCCTCCCTCAACCCCCTGGTGAACTAACTGTCCTACTCCTTTCTCCCTAACCTTACCAGTTCCTCCCTTAACCCCCTGGAGAACTAACTGTCATACTCCTTGCTACCCAACCTGACCAGTTCCTCCCTCTACCCTCTGGAGAACTAGCTAATCTACTCCTTGTCCCTTAACCTGACCAGTTCCTCCCTCAACCCCCTGGTGAACTAGCAGTCCTACTCCTTGCTCCCTAACCTGACCAGTTCCTACCTCAACCCCCTGGTGAACTAGCTGTACTACTCCTTGCTCCCCCACCTGAACAGTTCCTCCCTCAACCCCCTGGTGAACTAGCCGTCCTACTCCTTGCTCCCCCCCCCCCCCGAACAGTTCCTCCCTCAACCCTCTGGTGAACTAGCTAACCTACTCTTTGCTCTTCATGGCGAGTTCCTCTCTCAAAGACCCACACATTAAGTCCCAAAATATTCAAGAATTGTATCAGGGTTCTATTTTTAATAATAATAATTTCAAATCCCCAACTTCCATTTTTATACAAGTTTTGGATGTTATTCTCCTTGATTTATGAACAATAACGTTTATGAGTTTAACATATTTCTTTGCTCTCAGATTTCACTTAATTCTGTTTAATAAGAATCCACATTTTCGAATGAATACCAAAAACTCGTTTGTTTACAAATTTGCATTCTTGTTGCATTTTCGGTAATCTTCATTTATTGCCAAATGTGTTTATCATAGTCTAGTAACGTTTACCAGTGAATTTAGTGGCGTATGCAGTACACTGCACACTGTACAATAGATATGTATTGTACATTTCAGTACAATAGATATGTGTTGGGCCTTAATTGTACAAAGAATTACTAATTTCTGTCTTCTCTCTAATCTTGTTGTTGCTAGTGCCTTCTTGTAAAATTGTACACATTTAAACAATGTTAGAACGTAATGAGATTAATTTTATAAGTGGTAGAGATTTTTATTATTGTACAATTGTAAGATATTAAATTGTCTTCCTTCAATTAATGTAGCATAGTTTCGACTAACTAGAATTTTTAGTACAACAAAAATTGCAGTATTTTTAAATATTTGGAGATTTTGTTCTTCGTGATCCTTATAGCTGGAAACTTTAAAGGGAGAAATTTGATTTAATTAATTCAAAATTTTCTATTTCTGTTTCAGCTGCCAAATTTTCCTGCAGAAATTTTGAGTAGAAGCATTTTTCGAAGTGTCGTCATTAAACACAAGATTAAATATGGTTACTGTTATTTTAACCCTCTCTCTTACATGTAAAATTATTTGTAGAGAGAATGGAAAACGGTGTTACTCCTGAAAGTGCCGGTTCCACTGAAAATGGAGCCATGGAAGAAAATGGAGTTATTGAAAAGACAAAAAGTGAATCTCCAGCTATTTTACCAGAAAAACCTCGGCGCGGTCGTCCCAGAAAAAAAGTTATCGAAAATAATGGATCTGCTGACCAGGGTAAAACCAAGAATGACGAACAGACGAACTGTAACGGGACATCTGCAAGGTCTAGTCTACGAACGGAAAATCAGAAACTGGTCGCGGTGAAAACGGAAATAAAGAAAGAGATTGACGAAGATCAAGAATATTCAGCGGCATTTCTCTGCGATACAAATTTACATGAGACCAATGGAATCAAGGTAAGATTAAAAATATTTGATTTTGTGTCTCTTGTTCTTAAAAAAACCTTTAAACTAAACAAAAATTTTAAATATTAATATTTTTGACACAAATCATTTTTTGAAATTTTTGAAATATCACTTCATTAATTATTATATATTTTTTGCAGGAGGAATTGAATAGTTCCTGGACCGAAGAAGATATCAAGGAGGAACCTTTTGATGACGTATGTTTATTTAGTTCTTAAGGAACTGAACACTTTTCTCAAACTAATACTTATCTTTGCAACCTGATCTCGCAGAACTTTAATATTTATTACAATAAATTATGATAGTAGAAATAGTCAAAGCTTTAAACATCTAATAAGGTTGCAAAGATATAGGGATGAGAAAATAAGAGTTTGAGGACAATTTTCATCTCCAAATTGATTGAAAGCGAAGTACTTTAAAACTAATATCACACCACTGTACATTTTTCAAAATATGTTCATGGTTAATATTTAATTAAAGCAACAACATGTCTTGCAGGAAATAGAATCCTCGAGACGGGGCCGGAAACGTAAGCGAATCAGTTATGCTGAGGACCCTGACGTGGTTTTCGTGAAGAGTAAGCCTGTGGTCAAGAAGGTCAAGGATGTCAGGGACATCAAGGACGAAGAAAAGGAGTTCTCTGATGATGTCAAGGACATGTGTAGGTAGGACAAGTATTGAATTCTGTAATCCACACGACCATTCTAATTACAAATCTAGGTTTTCGTAGTGTTTTTTTTCTAGTTGTTAAAATACAAGATGTCTTAAAGCATTTATTTGCTGATTCATCAATTGGTTTTTGGGTAATACTGGGTTAATACATGAAATAGATCAAAAACTAGAGTCTGACAGAAGAGGGGACAGATGGAGCAAATAAAGTATCCAGATGAAATTCTGTGATCATGAATTTTTAAAATGCATTATGAAACTAAAAAAATGCATATTCCAAAACTTCGAATTTTTCCGACTCTACGTAATACATGTATACGTACACTGACAAAAGAGTTTAAATTGAAAATTCTAAACAAAGACATTAAAAATTTCTTAGAGGCTAAAGTTTTCTATTCTAGTTGTCAGTGTAAGATCTGTGACAAGATATTTGTTCATCATCGAATGATAAAACATATTGAGAGAACTCACAAGCAGGGCAGCAAGGATAAATTTACATTTCTTAAACTGTCGTACTACAGGTAAATTTTTTTTTTCGCAGATACTTTTAGTGGGTCTTGTTTTCTTAAGTTCATTTATGGATTTATTTGCTAGAGATAGCGCTTATCATATTCATATCTCCTATTTATGCGATGTCTTATTTATTTTGTGACTTTTTTGATTAGTTAAATCTTGATTTATCCAAAAGTCAATAAAGCTTTGTTTATTTATTTTAATTAACTCCAATTGTGCGAATTCTTTGCATCAGATTTTGATAATTTTACATTTTGTATCCTTTAATAATTTAAAATAATTTAAAAAATTTAAATAATTTTTCAGATGCAAGATTTGTTTTGTTGAGATCCTGTTTAGTTATTATAATATTAGCCAGCACACTAAACGATGCCACCAGCTCTCCCTTCAGGATTACAAGGACAAGGTTGAAGATGCATTTATAGGTCAGCTTTTTATTCAACGTTACTTAATATATATAATTTGATTTGAAGATGAAGTTCAACTCAGTGCATTGGTTTCGGACCCTGATCCATTGGATTCTAAGCACCAGGATTTGTATCAGGACCCGCAAAAGGCTCAGTTTAAAGTTTCAAAACATCGAAATAAATGAGAATGAAATCAGTTTTTAACATGTTAATTTTGACTTTCAGGTGACATAGTTCTTACAACTGATCCTGAAGATGAATCTGAATGTAAAGAGTACACTGATAATCTAGCAGACATGTGTCAATGCAAATGCAACTATTGTGAGAAGGTAGGTTACACACTTTAATCTCAATGTCTTAGATAATTTGTCATGGCGTTAGAAATTGTGCTTTATCCTGGTTGGACTTTTTTTTTTTTTCCTATTTATTATCTCCCCCCCTCTGTTATGTGAACTTTTCTATAATAACTTTTTTTCTTTCAGACACTAAGATTTTTTCTTTTAATTTTTTCATCCCATCATTTTTTTCCATTTTTCCATTTATCCTTTATTTAAATTATTTAATAATACCTATAATATGGGAGTTCATAATACACATTCGAAATTTTTAAATTTTTAACAATTTTACTTTTTTATTTACTATTTTTTTTCAGGTGTTTTTCTATCATCAGCTGAAGGCTCATGTACTGAAAGACCACAAGGAAATTATTACTCAAATTTCAAAATATAAAAATAATATAAATTGTTCATTGTTTGTATGTCACATTTTTGCGGATTCATAACACTTGTTAATTTCCATCAAATGGTGGTTATTCTTGTCGGTAGCTCAGCTTTGATTTTTATGAAATGATGGTCGACTGCCGTTGTTATTATTATATTGTTTCTTAAAAAAATAGTGTCACTCTAAATTTTCGTTATCAATTATTTTCATCAGTGGTTAATCAATAATGCGTCATCCTTTGCCACAGAGAAAGTTGAAATATGTTGTCAGCCATTTTGAGTCTCCTTTCTCTCCTTTTTATACCTTATCTCTCTCCTTTCTCTCCTTTTTAAAAATTTTATTTTATCCAAATAATTTTTAAATTTGAAATTTTTTTCCAGGAGTCGATAATGCAGCAGTGCAAAATTGAGTTTGTGAAAAGAACATACTACAAGTAAGATTTTATATAAGGAGTAAAAAGTGTGTGACAATTGAAGAATATTTTTATTTTATTTTTACATAAAAAAATTTCTAGGTGCAAGATCTGTGACGAGGGAATGCTGTTCCATTTTGATGCAATTAATCGACATCTTTACACGCATAAAACATCCCTCAAGGCGTACAAAGCAGCGCATCCGGCCTTCACCGGCGAGGAGGTTTACAACCAGAACAGGAAAGCGTGCGAGAAGATAAAGCGGAAAAGGAAATACGAATTTGACGCGGCATGTATTCAGAAATGGAGTTGTACAGTGGGTGGAGCGAGGAAATATTATTCAGATAATATTGATGAAATGTGCCTAAGGTTTGATTTTGAGATATCATGTATTTTTATATTTAAAATTAAAACCTTTAAGAAAGTGTGTTAAATGATAATGGGAATAAATGAAGAAATAAGTATCACTTGTTGAAAATAAGAATTATTTAACGATTCCCTTAAACTCTGAGAACGGAGAAAGGTTAGAGTTCTGAGAACCTTAGAAATCAAGAACAGTTTTAGAGATATCATGTTAAACAAAAAAATCAATTAGGAAATTTTTTTAAAATTCTTTTTTGTGTTACTATAATTCTAAAATTGTGAATGTTTAGGAGATGCAGACTGTGTAGCGAGGTGATGATGCATGATGCGTTAAAGTATCATCTAACCAACGACCATAAAGATTATGATGGAAACGCTACAAATATGGATTTTGTTCGATTAACCTATCATAGGTAAATAAAGTGCAATGTTTTCGTATTTTAAGGGACTGTGGTTTTATTTTCATGTGACCTTCCATTTCGAGAGTGAATTGCCCGATTCACTATGTGCATGTTCCTTTTATAGAGATACACAATACACATGCATGTCTCATTTATTCTTGACCATGTTCTTTTTAAAGGCGCCGTTGTTAATCGAACGTGCTACTTCAAATTTTAACTACATGAACAGGCCCCTTAAGAGGGTGAAATTTTTTAGATGGTTATCCCCTTAAGTTTCAAACCGCTTGACACTTACTAATATGGATTGGTTTGGTTTGGTTTGGATTGGATTGGATTGGATTGGATTGGATTGGATTGGTTTGGTTTGGTTTGGATTGAATTGGATTGGATTGGATTGAATTTGTTAACGTTTATTAATTTCAATAAAAACTTGTATTTGTTTAGGTGTAAAGCGTGCCAAAAAGATATTATCTTCACATACAATTCTGTATCCAAGCACACCAAAAGATGGCACAAACTAAACTTTAAGGCACAAATTATTTCATTAATAAACATTTTATGACAGAAGATATGTAAAATTTTATGTAAGATTGGTCTGCAGAATGATAGTAAAATTATTGCACTAGAACATGTTAGCAATCGTTTAAGAATAATTTGTTGTAGGATTACGAAAAGCAATACAATGCCTTTAACGATTCACTCTGCGATTTGTCCGTACGGGATCCAGAACCGGACACTGTCCAATCCTTTGCCCGATCTATACCTATAGCGAAGAAAAGTGCTCCTAAATCCACTCCAAAAATATTCTTTGAAACGCATCAAGACCTAGTTCCGAAACAGGAAACACTAGATCAGTCCGACCGGTTACATCCTCAACTTCCGCAATACAATCCGGAAGTTTCTAAACACCTGCCCTGGAACCCAGTAGTTCCGGGGAGAGAGTCTGAACAGAGTTCGCTTGATCTGACACTGAAGCATGAGGATAGTAGGCGGGAAGGAGGTTCAGTACCCTCTACAGGGACTAGGGTAGAAACATCAATATCAGCCGCTCATTCTTATGAAGATTTTTCAAAGGTAGAATCTGATTAATTATTTAGCCAATTCATATTTATCTAAGTTCAATATTTGTTAACAGTGGCTTTATTTGAGGGCTTGGATTTATCCGAGCAACGTCGACTCTGCGTCCGAGCCGAATTCTTTTATTTTCTCTTCCAAACCATTTCTTTTCACATATTAAGAATTGTACGTCTTCTTGTGTTAAAATGATGATTTAAACTTGAAGCATATAAGATTAATATAACTTTTTGGAGACATGGGGTTCGGACGCCTTTGCCCTCCCTCATAACCTTGATTTGTATCTAGATTGGACTGGGTGTACCTGATCCTGGCTGGTTTGATAGAAACACGTTTCAATGTCTTCAATGTGGATTTATGTCCCGGTCACTTGAACTGTTTGATGCCCACGTCAAGGGATATCACAGTGTCTCCCTCAACGAGTTCTCTCCGTACATAGCGAAGACCAACGTGATGTACCGTTGCCTGTGCTGTTTGCAGGAGTTGTATCACGAGAAGTCCGTGATCATGAATCATCTTAGCTTCCATAATCTTGATCTAGAGTCGTATGCCCATATATACCTCAGACAAAGAACTATGTATTAGTTACTCATCAACCTTAATTTAATGATTTGTTTGTATCCGGCTAGAAGACAATTTTTAGTGTACTCCTGCTTTTATTGAGTTATTTTTATGTCTCTTAGCATAGAGAAAGGAACTGACTACTCGCCTCAAACTGAAATGTCATAATCCTTATATCTTAGCAACCTGATGTCGTGAACTTTTAAATTATATATTTGTCTGGATAAAATAGTGAAAATCAAAGGTTTACATTTCAGGTTGCAAAGATGTGTGATTTGAAGATTATAGTTTGTGGTGAGTAATCAGTTCTAAAATGGTTGTACAATGTACATTTCAAAGTGTAAGGAACTATAAAGTCGTGTTAATTACCCTTTTTTGGGTATCACTGTATATATATTGTTGCTTATTCAATCGGACTGAATTTGATTAAAGTTTCTGGCAAAGAAGAACTTTAATGCGGAACTAAAACTTAATTGTAATGAATGTATTATAACATTCTTGGAATATTTTATATCTTACCGACATNCCCCCACCCATCCTTATCCATATTGTCCGAACAACTTTACTTGAAACAAACTTTTGTTAAATATTTTTGTTTGCCAGTGGATGCAAACTTGGATATTATAGGTATTATTGGAGACATGAGGCAGAGGACAGTAGAAAATTCACAAAAGACAGCAGACAATTTACAATTGACAGCAGACAATTTACAAAAGACAGCAGACAATTTACAATTAACATAAAGCAATTCACAAATCACAGTAGAAATTCATAAATTTACAGCTGACCGCAAAAAATTCACAATTGACAGTATACAATTCACAATTGATAGTATACAATTCACAATTGGCAGTATACAATTCACAATTGGCAGTATACAATTCACAGGTGGCAGTATACAATTCACAATTGGCAGTATACAATTCACAATTGGCAGTATACAATTCACAGGTGGCAGTATACATTTCACAATTGACGGTATATAATTCACAATTGACAGTATATAATTCACAATTGACAGTATACAATTCACAATTGACAGTATACAATTCACAATTGACAGTATACCATTCACAAATTACAGTATACAATTCACAATTGACATAAACAATTCACAATTGACAGTGAACAAATGACAAAAATAGTACACATAACGAATACAACGAAACTAAAGACAGCTTAACAAATCTAAAGTATATAAAATTTTGCTGATCCAGAGGGTTTTCTCCTTCAGCTTTCTCATCTTTTATTTGTAATTGGACCTTGTTGTTCATCTTAAGATTAGTAGTGGCTCTCTAGATCATTTAACAAGATATTGGTGGAAATATTATTTTAATCCCGATACTCTAGTGCATTCATAAGGCACTTGTTCCAAACCTGTAGGACGTCATCAGTTCTCAAATAGTTGATTCGTAAATCGAAAATATTTTAATGAATTTTTAATATTAAATCCCCCCCCCCCTACCCTTTCATTATCACTTTTTTTAATTTTCCAAAAAAAATTTTTATGAAATGGCGTAAGAGCTGAAGCTTTGTATTGGGCTGAAATTATTTTCAAATTTTATTACAATGTTAATTAGATGCAATGTGGTTCTTCTAATATAGTTATTAGTTTATGCTTGTTATTTTTAAGCATATATATTTAGTACGTAATTTTTTTATTCTTTTAAACGCATTTGTATATGAATAAGTTTTTGTATCGACTGCTAGTACCACTTGCTAACCTTTTATTTAACTAATTTTGCATATTTATTTATTATGTATTTTTGTGTACAACCCTTGTACAATGTATAGTGTTTGTATTAACTTTAGTTACAAGATAATTTAGTCATTTCTATTGTATGTATACAGTACAGTGTACACTGTACAAAGATATTATGATGTAATATGTGGAAAAGTTAGAAACACAGCGGAGATAAACTTAATTTAAAAGTAGTGTTTGCTAAAAATGAAAGGGGGTATAGGCTTACGGCTAAAAAGAATCGCTTTTGATCGATACTAGTCTTACTTCTATCTGTTGCGTCTATAAGGAGAAAATTGTTAAAAACGACTTATGCTGAAATTGTAGCGTCCATACAACTTCAGAAAGTTGCAATATGCCACTCGTTTTGAAAAATAATCAATTTAATTTCAAACAAATTATTCAGATATTACACATTCGTATATATTCAATATTTCTTAATATATGTTATTTGTTTTATATACAATGCACTTAAAACAACATCTGGCGGCCAACTATTTCGGCGTTTTAAGTGCATTGTATACAAAGCGAATAAAAAATATCATGAAAAATTTTTAACTATATATGAATGCGTCGAAAAATAATCGATGACTATATGTAGTTATATCTTAATGATTTGTTTGAGATTAAATTAATTTTTTTACGATGCAAGTCTTATATTGCAATTTTCTGAATTTGTATGTCGTTTTTAACAATTTTCTCCTTATAGTCGCAAGAGATAAAAGTAAGATTAGTAGAGATCAAAAGCGATTATTTTACACCGAAAGCCTAAACCCCATTTAATTTTTCGAGAACACTCCCTTTAACTTAACATATAAGACGAGAAATAATAGATATATGCTATTTTAGAGGATTGGGTGCAAGAGTGTTATGATGCACAAAATGTAAACATGTACAGCCAATTTTTCCCGTACAATCTTCTCAACCTCAGGCCTGAACTCTTCCTTCAGGCACAGGAGGTAAGCTATTTTATCTAAAAAGAGCTGGGAACTTATGCGTAGATATCTATTATTTTCCAATTTTGATTGATTAACTCAAAATATACAGTTACATGCAGCTGACTGTTAAGTAAATCTCTTTCAAGGTAGATAGGCAGGGCGGTCCGCGTCAATGATCCTTACTATCTCTACCTGTACGTTCTGCGGTCTGATTACACTTTTCTTATCATTCGATTATTTAATGTCATAACTTTAGTCTAAAAGTCGTCTTCGTATTCCAGAGTTTTCTGGTTCTCACTGTCGTTAAGTTTCTTTAAACTCAATAACATACAGCAGACCACAACATTGTTCTTCTTATTTTTGTTTATTAAATATGTGAAAGGGTCAGTCCATTTGAATTCAGCCACTTTAATTACCCCCAGGAGGGATGATAGTTCTCTACCTATGTGCTCAGTTAGCTGTACTGTACATCTACAACTGTTTACTAATATTGATATACTATAGGTATAGGCCAGAATCAACTTATTATAAACAAATATGCAGTACGCTCTCGGTATAGTTTATGCCCTATAAAATTAGTAAAGGATTAGGGTACATTATCACTCTATACACTAAAACCTCGTTGATGCGCCCCTATGGACTGTTATATTTTACAAAAAATAAAGCCCTATTTATTTTCTGTAAGTTAGCAATAAAATCAAGTCAATATCTTTATAAACAACAACGCTATGACTGTTTGAATAGAGAACCCTTCATGGCGAGGCCACATCATCTTGACCTTGGTACTCCATACCATGAGGTCACATGGGGTAACAAATGTCGGATTATGTCATGTCTTCTATAGGTCTATTCCTGTATTTAGTTTGTAAAAAATTGGAGATGGTGCCTACGATGGGGTGGCTGATTTTACAGGGACTGACCCGATAAATAAAAAATATATGACTTGTTGAATGTCCAGGCTGGATTGAGGAGTGGGCTGGTGGGGGACCTCAACGACAACACGGCAGAGGAGGAGGAGGAGGAAGAGGAGGAGATTGATGATGATGTAAGATTAGAATCATTATTAGATAATTCTTAATTGTTCCCCTATTTGAGATACGCAGACCATAATTTTTAAACTCAAGACCACTGTTAACCTATCTTAATGCTAAAAATTGTTTAACACTCTTATGTCAAACAGTCATTCAGGAAAAAGGTTTTCATGAAACTTTGCGTTTTTCAAATATTTTTCGTACATTAATTTGTCCTGATATGAAAATGTGTATTGTGTATTTCAAATATGTTAAAAAATTCCGTTTTACCTCGGAAAATAAGTTATAAATGTTTCCGGAAAGTGTTAAGTTCTCTTTTTTTCCTTTTCTAAGTTAAAAAAGCAATGCAAATTTTAATTTTATTACGAAACCACAATTAAAAAAATGTGTTATCAAAGAAAACAACGTGGATTTCTCAAATTCTCATTCAATCTTTATCAGACTAAGCTTTTATGATTACCATTTTACAAACATAAAGTACAAATCGTAAGACCTCACTTCATTATTGATTTAGTATAGTCACTTCAATTTTGGTGTGTGGGTGTATTCCCTAAAAGCATGATTTGATTTGATTTATTCTCTTAAAATTATACCCACAGTTCCTTAAACGGTTGGTGTTTTTATTAAAAACATTTTAGGAGACTGGTGTGGAGGCCCCGGAGGAAGATCCTGAGGCATTGGAGGCTGACCTCAACACCTCGGAGGCCGGTGTCGAAGCCCCGGAGGCCAGTCCCCGACGTGTAAGGATCAGTGACGTCAGCAAGAAACCAAAACTGTACACAGACAATCTTAACGAAATGTGTCTAGTCAAGGAATAAGAGAGAAAGTTTTTGAAAAAAAACGAAAAATATTATAAAAAGTTTTTGAAAATTTAAAGATTTTTTGAGGATTTCTATTAAAAAAAAACTTTAACTTTTCTAGTGTAAAATCTGCGAAAGAACCCTTTCCCATGGCTCTTTGCGAGATCATTTGCTGAGAGCGCATAATAAGAAAAGACAAGAGTTTGTTACTTATGAATATGCAAAGCTCACTTACTACAGGTATGCAAGCTTCATCATAATAATGATAATAGTGATAAAAATAATAATTATAATGATGAAAATAGTGATAATAATGATGATAATAATAGTAGTGAAATTATTGATAATAATGATAATAATGATAATAATGATAATAATGATAAAATGATAAAAATGTTAAAAATGATAATAATGACAATGACAATGATGATGACAATAACAATGACATTACAATGACAATGATAAAGATATAAGACCTGCAATGGTCAAAGATATAGATTAGAATAATGACATTAAGAATGTGAATGACAATGACAATGCCAATGACAATGACAATATTAATCTAGATGTAAGACCTTTAATGCTCAAGGATAAGGATGAGAATAATGACAATGACAATTACAATATTGCTCTAGATGTAAGATCTGTAATGCTGAGACCCTATTCACCCACGCTGCTGTAAGTCAACATGTCAGAGTCTACCATAACCTAACCTTCTCCCAGTACAAGATCAATTTTAACGGGTTCACCGGGGAGATTGATAAACCCAGTAAATGTTTAGCTGATGCCAAGGAATGTTCTTCTTGAACAAATATTTTCATATATTTCCCATCCTTAAAGGGACTGTGGTGGTAATTTTAAGTAACCCTTTATTTAAACCATACGTTATCTTAATCTGATCAATAATGATGAAGATATCATCCTTTTCTTTGCTGAAAAAGTGTTTTATTCTTATAATTCTTCAATTGTTGTTGCGCCTTGTGTAAGTCACAATAAAAAACAACCAGTTTTCAAACAGAAAAACTTGAATATTTAACTTATACTAAATCTAACAAGCTTTGTGAATCGAACGACAGATTTGTTTCTCTTTAAATGCAGGGTTACTAAAAGTTACGTCTACAGTCCCTTTAAAGAGATGTCTTTAATTCTCTCGAAATAATTTGATTATTTTCCCTTATCTCAAAAAGTCTTTTTTGCTAATGATGTTTTAATCATTTGATAATTTTCACATTTGATGGTTGATTTTGTACTATTATTATTTCTAGAATTATCACCATCAAATTGAAAGATATTAAGATTTGAACATTTGATTTTGAGGAGAGAGTTCTCTTCTTTTATAAATTGAGTCAAAAAATAAACTAGTGTTTTTTTAAGAACATATTGTATCAGGTTCCTACAGTGCATTCGTCCAATAATTCCGTCGTTAAAGAGATCTCGTTCGATAACTCGTTACTAGCTGAGCACTCCTTAGATACCTTTCTTCCTAAATCCAACTCATTACTCGAGCATTTACTTAGGAATATACCAATACAAGAATATAGATTTTAAGGATCAGGAAAGCAAAAAATTAACCTTTATAAAACAAAATATCAACCTTGAAACAAATTTTTAATAATTTAATCAATTTAAAACATTTAAATTTTTTTACATATTTTAAAACCTTTTCTCTTTTAGTCTTAACTTACATTTTGGGAAAATGGCTCTAGGGCAATTGTAATTGTACATTTGTGAAGCTACCATTTGGAAAAATGTTCTCAAGAAATTATTTGATTGGTAACATATGTAGACTTAAAAAAATGGAGAGCACTGCCAGTGATCCCGCCAGTATAGAAGGAGAGGAGGAGGAGGAGGTAGAAGAAGAGGGAGAGGAGGAACAAGAAGATATCTCTCCGATAGAGTTATGTGATGCTAACCTGACTGATGATAACCTAAGGTCTAGAACTGGCGAGGGAGGGGAACGAGGAGATGATGAAGATGGATATAGTGATATTGATTGTGATCCGAACATGTTCTGTGAAATGTCAATGGCGGAATCAAATGAAGAGGTAAGATCCTAGGGAACTGATTTCAGTTATATCTTTTTTCGGTCTTTTTATGCCAATATTTCCTTTCAGGGTCAAAATTTGACATTACAAGAGTAGCAAATTTTCTTAAGTTGTCGTCTTTGCAAGATTTAGGGGCATTACGTTCACAATAACCCTGAGACAGAAGTCCGGTTCAAGCTATGATTTATCTGCGACTTCCTAGCTTTGCTACGATTTTCTATTCGTTTGTCCAAAATCAGAGCAAGATCGAAGCTTAGGTTAGATCTGAAATCGGACCTAAATCATAGCTAAATCACAGCAAATGGGAACATACTATTTCCTATTTTTAGGTATTCACATGGTTTTGGGTACAAATAAGCAGACATTAAAACTACTAAAATTGCAAAACATGAAAATAGAGACCAGAAATAATATGCAATGATGCATAGTTTAGAAAAATGAAAATATTTCTACGATTTAAAAAAAAACTTTTTTAACTTTTAAACAAATAAATTAAAAAAAAAATTCTAAAAAATTCTTTATAGATAAAAAATCTAAATTTTCTTGAAAATATTTGTTTTTATTTTTGAATACTAAAAAAAAAATTTTTTATAACAAAAAATAAACCTTTTTATCATATATTTCCTTTTATAGATTTTTTTATTTCTGTTATTCTCTTTTTATTTTTCATCTTTTATCTCTATCTATCTATCTATCTATGTTTTTATTAGTCTATCCATTTATTTTATTTATCAATCATTTTACAATTTTAAGGCCAAAAATCAAAGACGACTTTTTAAAGGAGTCGAGAAAGAGCAGCTTAGATTGACTTCATAAAACAGATTACTTGTACTTTGACTAGATCTGAAATCATACTAAATTCAACCTCAAAATTTTGACTTATGAATTTTGACATATGACATTTGACGTATGACATTTGACTTATGAATTTTGACTATGATCTGAAATCTAACCTTGTAGCTATGATCTCAAATCATAGTCAGAGTCAAAGCAAGTTACAGCTTGATTAACGAATCGAGCTAGAGCTCTGTCTTTTAATTCAACGTGAAATGCGCGTAACTCCTTTGGGCTTCTGCCTCAGGGTTATTTTAAATGAAAACCCCTTAAATTTTGAAAAAGACGACATCTATTGTTCTATCTGTACTGTTGTTAATCTATGATGAAAACCTTAAAATAGAATGTGCTAAGTAACTTTTTATATGAAGGGATTCATGGAGGATGAAGAGGATTTAGGAAACAATTCTGGAGATTCAAACAGCCTTTCAATCCTCCCTGTTATTCCTTCAGTACAGGTACTGCACGTTTTAAGTCATAATATGAGTTTAAAGTTTATGGATATTAAAAGATTCGCATTTGAAAAAAAGATCTCAAAAACGATGTATTCATAAAAATCTATTAATAAATAAGGTTCAGAGTCCATAAAGAACCACGTTCTGAGCCTCATAATCTTTTAAAATACCGAAAAACTAACTAGAACGCCTGTAATTGACGGCCAATCTAGATACCCATATTAAACTTTTCTTCTACTACGGGATATTTCAATGTATTTTTCCCTAAAGTCAAATTCGTCTTTACTAAAATAAACTTTTCAGAAAGTTTTGGTCTCTGACATTTAACAATTTAAGATGATTTTGTATTCTCTTGTTTTTATCCAGGATGAGAGAGAGGATGGAGAAGTACGGATTGTGACGGATAATCTCAATGAAATGTGTGAATTTGAATGTCTTCTCTGTGGTTTTACTTTGGTTGAGAGTACTCTTTCTAAGCACCTCAAGGAACTAAGCATTTCATTATTTTCTGCAAATAGATTATCAAGTACAATAAGTTGGAACAGAAAAATGGATCAGTTATACATGACGTCATAAGTGTCAAATATAACAAGGAAATCGAAATTTTCTTAAGTCAGTTGACATATTTTCCAAGATTAAATAAAAGTGTAAGAACAGAAACTAAAGAACATATAAATTGCACTTATTTCACTGTAAGAATTTGGTATTTTTTGGCTCAAGGGGGGTTGGGGGGAGTATTTCCAGCTTGAAATACTCTAGCAAGAGTTATGCCTAAAGTTTTAAGATATTTTGGAATAATTTTGTTCTAAATTAGTTTGTATGTAACCAGCCGATTTATAGTGTCAATATAATGGGTTTAACCTTATTATCACATTTTACTTAATGTATTAAAAAAGAGTTATTCAAAATTCTACCTTTGGCGGTTATTTTTGAAGCAGGCTCAACCTTTTTTTCCCTGGAATGATGGTTGACTGGTTATAATTATTATGAACAATAAATGGACAATTATCTTTGTAACACGATTATTTTGTTTTGACCGAATATTAATGCTAAAATGAAGGAGGTTCACCAGGAGAGTAGAAGGGAAGGAATAACTCACAAGTATAAAAGATTAACCTATTACAAGTAAGTTGAACCTATTACAAGTAAGTTGAACCTATAACAATAAGGTAAAACCATTACAACTAAGTTAAACCTATTACATGAAGTTAAACCTATTACAAGTAAGTTAAAACCATTACAAGTAAGTTAAACCTATTACATGAAGTTAAACCTATTACATGAAGTTAAACCTATTACATGAAGGTAAACCTATTACAAGTAAGTTGAACCTATAACAAGTAAGCTAAATCTGTTACAAGTAATTTAAATCTATTACAAGTAAGTTGAATTTATTACAAGTAATTTAAACCTATTACAAGGAAGTGTAACATATTCTGAATAAACTAAACCTATTACAAGTAAGGTAAACCTATTAGAAGTAGGTAAAACCTATTACAAGTATGTTAAACCTGCAAAATTAAGTTAAATCTATTACAAGTAGTTTAAACCTTTTACAAGGCAGTTTAACTTATTCTGAATGAACTAAACCTATTACAAGTAAGGTAAACCTATTAGAAGTAAGTAAAACCTATTACAAATAAGTTAAACCGGCTAAATTAAGTTAAATCTATTAGAAGTAATTTAAACCTATTACTAGGAAGTGTAACATATTCTAAGTAAATTAAACCTATGACAAGTAAGGTAAATTTAACTTAATATAACGAGTTTCTTGATATATTTCCCCCCAACAAAACTAAAAAATAATTTTTCCTTTTTTATCTTTTTGTTATTTTAATTTTATTATTTCAGGTGCAAAATCTGTTCTAAAGAGATTACTTTCTACTTTGCCGCGCTACGGGAACACATGGTGACGCGGCATAATATGAAAATGCCGGAATATCGTGCAAGGAAAACAAACAATGATATTTTCACTTTTTTATCATTATTTTATTTTCAAAATTTGCAAATTAGATTTTTTTTGTTAAATATTTGTCAATTATCTGTTATTCGAAATTGTAGAGTGTAGATTTTACAATCTTGATTTAGATGATCAGTCGAATAACCCGATTTTTGGGGTGGTTGGGGGCTTAAATATTTGAGTTGTTAATATTGAATAATGTAATGGGCAATTTTTGCGGCACTTTATGTTCTAGAATATTACCTTAGTTAAATTTATAATAGTGATATTATTGCAAGTTTGTTTCTTCAGGTTTAAAGCATTCAGCAATCAACATATTGTAACGGATAATATTAATGAGATGTGTCTATGCAGGAACCGTTTATAATAGTGATACATGAAAAATAATTATCATACAGTGATAACCAGAAAACTCTGGAATAGGAAATCGCCTTTTAAACTCGAGTTTAGACTTTAAATGATCTACACAGAAATTGTGCAATGTATCCAGACCCATTTCACTTAATAAGTGGTTTAATAACTTACTAGTAAATCTATTTGCTTTGTAGCAACATCAAATTCACCTCAGTATTGCACTAATGTCGTTTTCCTATTCTACAGTTTTCTGGTTTTTACTGTATTAGAATAAGTTTGTTGGCTGATATTAGAGGTCACAGGCATACTATCTAATTAACTATCTAACTTATGTAACCAAGGACCAAATTTTTAAAATAGGGAGAAGAAGTACGCCTGGTTGAAGCTGAAAAAGAAGTGGTTAATTTCATTTTACCAGTTCAACTACTCCTAACATTTATTAAATCTGGGACCAAGTCTGTTTCTTCATTAACAGCTGGTTAAAATTTTTAATATTTAAAAAACACGGCAACAAATTAATTCAAAACTTGAGATTTTCATCTCTCCTGAGTAATATATAAACTGAATAAACGGTATTGTAGATGTAATATTTGTGAGCAGACGTTTCTGCATCACAAGGTGAAGAAACACATGAAGTACAAGCATAACACCAACATGAAGAACCTCTACACCTTCATCAGGCAAACCTACTACAGGTCAGAGTCCCCACTGTTTGTGTTCTTTGTTAGGGCTTTAAGCCAGTTTGTTTCCGACTTGCGTTACATTTCTTTGCTCAGAAAGGAAATATTGACGCCACATTTTATAAGATACCGTGTCCGTTGGGCATGTCTGATTCACAACGATATCATATTTACCTTTATCTAGGTAAAATTGACAGTTCTCCCTTATTTAGAATTTTTTTTCAATTTTGGTTTATTCTTTATTTGCTTCTTGCAGATTTATGTTATCGGAAATAAAGAATTTTCTCCAAAATCAACACATTTCTTGTAAAAAGCAAAACAATATCTTTCTCACTGTTTCTCAAATAGAAGTGAGAAGGGTACCATTGTGAATTGAGCATTCAACTCTTTAATTGAGTGTTTACTTAGAATAGATCGACAGTCCGGTCCCTTCTAAAGCGATAACTTTGGACAGCTTTTATTTCTTATGATTTAATTTGATTTAATTGGACAGCTCATGAACATTGTGCATTAAACATTACATACATACCTGTTTTTTGCATACAAATGTTTACGACTATTTGCAAAATAGTAAAGAGTGAACAGCCTTAGAAGTCTGATTTGATATAATTTGATTGCTGGAGTGTTTCAGAAACGTTTAAAATCAATAATATAAAAATTAATTTAATCAAATTATGATAATTGAAAATATTTATGGTGTCGTTCTCTATTTTTGCCCTCCACCTCCAAACATCCAACTGATTTATTTTTAGGTGCAAGATATGTTTGTCAGAAGTCCTATTTAGTCTGGACAGCATCAGAAATCATCTTTGGAACCATCATACTCTCTCCATGCAGGATTATAAGAACTCATGTCAGGCTTTCACAGGTGGGACCATTAAGCGGTTTATAAAAAATAAGAGTATGTTAATATAGTGTGTAGATGATTTTATATTACTGGACTTTTCTAGCAAGAATTTTAGCTATTTAATGTTGCTTTTAAGCCGTTTTTTCCTTCGCACATCAAACAACTGAAACATTCCGCTTTTTTGTGGTTTAGAAAATCTTATACAAATTTTCAAAAATCGTAAAAAAATCCGGGCCAAAATTTTTGTCATTTTCATTTTCCCAACATTTCATTAATTTATTTTCCAACTCAAAAAATATTTATTTTGAGTGGAGTGCTTAAACATTTCCCATGCTCGTTAACTTAATTTAAAATAACTAATTATACTAACCTACCCTGTTTTTTTTATTGCTTTTTCATTCTTTGAAGTCGATTAACTTATTTAAAATGTTTTCTCAATGAGTTAAAAGTACTCCCCTCCAGTCCCCACACACACATGCACGCACACAAAAAATTTAAAAATGGTGTGTTACATAAAAAACACAAACAATAAGTTAAATCTAGGTTGTGAGGTAGAGGAGAATAGTTCTAACACCAGTGAAACTCCTTCCAATAATTCCTCCGCCAGTAGTTCCGCCCCTGCCTCCGCCTCATCCACCCTCAACAATGCTCTAGACATGTCCAGGTTCGCACATTTCGAATATCTTCCATTTTTTTTACTTTTTCATACCCATTTGTTCTTTTTTTTAGCATTTTCACTAAATTTTTAAATATTTGAATGTAAACTTTCGCTTATCTTGGTTTTTCCTTTTCTCAAATTAATTAATAATATCACCCCAACTTCATCTTATTTCTAAATTAGTCAATAATTTAATTTAATTTTTAACTTAATATTGTCTAACTAGATATGCAACTTTAGCTCCCATTTATCGTTATTTCCGACCTCGGGTCCCGCACTATCATTTTGTGCACGCAGAAAATCCAAAATTCTATAATAATTCTTCGCGTATATTGAGCGTTAAAGCTTGGAGGTAACCCAATATGCTCTGAAAGTAACCATTTATTGTTTAGGGTTCTGCCTCCCCTGCCCAGGTTAAAGAATTTTTCCCACCTGGTGAACCATGAGAACCAGTTCCTGCCCTTTATACCTGGCTACCCCGGTTCCCTAAACCCGGCGCTCAACACCTTCAACATTAGTAAAGAACAGATAGCGTATTTTCTCATGGCAAACTCAAAAACATTCTCAGATAAACTCAGGTTAGGGATATTTGCTTATTGAATGATTACGCATTGATTTTAACCACTAAGATCAAGCCAATGGAATCCAATATTTTACTCTGTCCAATATAACTGTCAATTGTCTAATAACCAACAAGGACCTTAGGACAGCCATGTCTTGCCTAATGGTTGTTTAGACGTTCAGATTAAAGAATAAAAAACGAATGTGGTAAAAGCGCAAAATGAATTTAAATGCCCCCCCGTGTTACTATTTTTTGTTAAGTCGTCTTAGAATCCTGAAAAAATTGATGCTTTTATTACAAGTTTCTCGAGAATTTTTGCAACAGTTTCGAAAAACTATCACTTTATACTACCCCATGAATGTCTTTTACTACAGTAACTACAGTACTTGACATATGAACAAACATCTTGTTGCACATTTTATCTCGTGTTATGCTTATATTTTCTCCTTTTTAAGATTTATTTCATTTAGTGAGATGAGCTTGTGTAAATGCAAGATTTGTGATGAGGAAGTATTGCATCATCTTCTGAAGAAACACATGAAGAGCAAGCATAGTTGTAATCTAACCAAGTCCCAGTATGAATACGTTCGGGAAACTTATTACAGGTAATACATGTAACATTAGCTGATGTGCCCGGCGTTGCCTTGGAATTTTAAAAAGCCTTTGTGACCGCCAGGGTGAGGGAGGTAACCCCCGGACGCTATGAGCCTCCGCTAGGCAGACACGAGCATCCCAGATTTGCTAGGCAGACCGAGCCTTCACTATGCAGACCAAGCTTCCGCTATGCAGTAAACGAGCACAGCTTTTTTAAAATCTTAGTTTTTGTGTGTAATGAAAAATTTAACAATTTTTTTTGACGTAGTGGCATAAAATTTTTACTCAAGATTAAAGTTATTTATTTATTGTCATGATTAGAAACATTGCCTACCCAACTTGTCAACTTGTATAGAAATGGTGGTGGAAACCTACCCTTACCCGGGATGGGGTTCGTAATATGTAAATGTACAATTTACATGTAGAAAAGTTAGATTTTAGTCGGGAAAGAATTTTTTTTTGAAAATCTATTAACAAAATATTTTTAGTGAATTTTAATTTTGTTTTGATAAGTTTGATTCATTTCGTTTCTATATTCTATTTAATACCTGATTAATTCATTTAGATAAATTTTTAAATATTCACGATTCATGAAATTTGAAAAGGGCTACAAATGATAATTGGTTAAGAGATGGCAAATTTTACCCCCTTTTATAAAGATTTTTACCTAAAATTCAAATTATTTCACATATTTTCCATTTTTGTAAAGAGAAATTTATCAAGGGAAAATAGATGAAAATGAAATGCCAAGAAAACATACAACCCCGAATTCGTATAATCATTTCTGCTAAAATTTGGATAAATTTAAAATTTATTTTAAACTGTTGTTAATTCAGATGTAAGATTTGTGACTCAGCACTTTTGTTCAGTTTTGAGAGTATCCGCCGTCATGTTTACCAGGTATTATAAATAGTTTAAAAAAAAGATTTTATTCAAACGTTTTTAGAAAACGTATTAACGGATTTCGAAAAATGTGAGTGGTGCGCGGCATTCTTAGATAGTTGCGCAAGCGACAAGAGAAATAATCAAATTCAAAACATATTAAAAAATATTATAAAATATAAACTATATACAAATGTGCCGAAAGATAATCGATGACTATAGGTTGTAATATCTAAATGATTTGTTTGAAATTAAATTGATTTTTTACGGTCTAAGTCCTATGTTGCAATTTTCTCAATTTGTATGGGCTCTAAGTAATTCTGTATGAGACGTCTTTAACAATTTTCTCCTTATAGACGCAACAAATAGAAGTAAGACTAGTAGCGATCAAAAAGCGCTTTTTTTCGCATTAAGCCTATACCCCCTTTCATTTTTCGCGAACAGTCCCTTTAAAGGGATTGTTTACTTATTTACAATGCTTGGAAGTTTTCCAACAAAAGTCAATGTATTCATATTTACATTTTTTAGACCAAGCGTAAAGTATTTTTTTTGGTACTATATATTTAAATATACATATACATTTATTACATATGTAATATATATATAAATAATAACAGACAGACAGACAAGCCAAATTTATATATAGATATTGATAGATGGATACACATGAGATACCAATTTTTGGACCTAAAAAATTCGCTCAGAGCCACACTCATTAATCATTGATGTTTCTCTTTAAATAACCGCGGGGTTTTGGTTTAAAACACCTTTTGTGATTTTTTTTATTATTTTTCTTATTTTTATTTTGAAAATCAAATAGTGAAAATTAAACCTATTGGAGGTAAACATACTCATTAGCTCTTGAGTTTAAAGGAGTATAGAGCTAAACATGCTAGATATTAATCTACTTTAGTTTAATGTGATCTAGGCACATAAGCTGAGTTTGAAGGAGTAAACATGCTGCTTTTGAGGAGGAAACTTCTCCTGAAGGGATTCCGGAACAAGAGAAAATATTCTCAGATGATCCAAAGGTAATCCTATGACAATGATCCAAAGGTAATTCTATGATCCAAAGGTAATTCTATGATCCAAAGGTAAATCTATGATCCAAAAGTAATCCTATGATCTAAAGGTAATTCCATGATCCAAAGGTAATTCTATGATCCAAAGGTAATCCTTTGATCCAAAGGTAATTCTATGATCCAAAGGTAATTCTATGATCCAAAGGTAATCCTATGATCCAAAGGTAATTCTATGATCCAAAGGTAATTCAATGATCCAAAGGTAATTCTATGATCCAAAGGTAATTCTATGATCAAAAGGTAATTCTATGATCCTAAGGTAATTCTATTATCCAGAGGTAATTCTATGATCCAAAGGTAATTCTATGATCCAAAGGTAATTCTATGATCCAGAGGTAATTTTGGAAACATAAAGGAACTGAAGAATCAAATTCAAATGAAAATCCCTTAGTAGAGTATCATATCTGTTTCAAAACGGTTCCTATTCAACCTTTTTCTGATGAGTAAGATATCCCTATTGTGCTAGCTGAAATTTTATTATATTTATCCGTGGTTACACTTGTGAATTAGTTAAGGCATTCGATAATGTTTTTGTGGTAGTAGGCCATCCCTGAAAGTCTGATTTGATTTGATTTATGTTGTTAAGACAATGAAGAAAAAAGAACATTGATAGACAACGATATTACTCAGATAGTGGTTTAAAGTGGACGTTGTGAATCGAACATGAAACTATGTCTAGTGGCAGTCCTTGCAAAATCCAAATGTCGTTTCTTGGTATTTGTGTAGCACTGATTTTTGTATTTGTTTTTATTAATTCTCAATTGATTTCAAAATGCGTATTCTGTTATAAATTCCGATCCTAATTCCGTTCTTAATCCCGATCCTAATCCCGTTCTTAATTCTGATCCTAATCCCGTTCTTAATTCTGATCCTAATCCCGTTCTTAATTCTGATCCTAATCCCGTTCTTAATTCTAATCTTGAAATTGATCACAATAAATGCATAATCAAAATCATTATCATAACCATGTTCCTCATTCAGATCACTACCTTAACCCTGATCCTTCTATGTTTATTATTAAGTAAAATGACTTTGTACAGGATATGTGTATATGCGCGTGTAAGGTGTGTGGAGATGAACATCTTCATCATCTTATCATGAAACACATCAGGAAGAAGCATGGTGTCAGCAGCAAGGATAATTACCAGTTCACTAAACTTATATATTACAAGTAAGGATAAAAGTTCATTCAACTAATATATATATGTATTATGTATGCACAGATATAAAGATGTATAAACAGATTGAAAGAAGTATAAACATATTAACAGATTGAAAGGTGTATAAACAGATTAAATGACGTATAAACAGATATTAAGAAGTATAATCAGATATAAATATGTATAAACAGATTGACAGATGTATTAACAGATGGCACTGAACCCCCCCCCCCCTTGAAAATCATAGTCCAGGGAGAGGGTAGCCTCCATATTCCTCCTGTATACGCGCCTGGATTTTAAAGATATATTTTTATATCGTTACTGTTAAGGTGTAAAGTTTGCGAGACTGATTTCCCGTTTTCAATGTTAAACATTAGCAATCATCTCATTCAAAACCATAAACTTACCATGACGGAGTATAAGAGACAATATCCAGCTTTCTCAGGTACAGTCCCTTTAATAGATAAATATATAATATCCAGCTTTCTCAGGTACAGTCCCTTTAATAGATAAATATATAATATCCAGCTTTCTCAGGTTCAGTCCCTTTAATAGATAAATATATAATATCCAGCTTTCTCAGGTACAGTCCCTTTAATAGATAAATATATAATATCCAGCTTTCTCAGGTACAGTCCCTTTAATAGATAAATATATAATATCAGCTTTCTCAGGTTCAAATATCCAGCTTTCTCAGGTACAGTCCCTTCAATAGATAAATATATAACATCCAGCTTTCTCAGGTTCAGTCCCTTTAATAGATAAATATATAATATCCAGCTTTCTCAGGTTCAGTCCCTTTAATAGATAAATATATAATATACAGCTTTCTCAGGTACAGTCCCTTTAATAGATAAATATGTAATAGCCAGCTTTCTCAGGTTCAGTCCCTTTAATAGATAAACATATAATATCCAGCTTTCTCAGGTTCAGTCCCTTTAATAGATAAATATAAAATATCCAGCTTTCTCAGGTTCAGTCCCTTTTATAGATAAATATAAAATATCCAGCTTTCTCAGGTTCAGTCACTTTAATGGATAAATATATAATATCCAGCTTTCTCAGGTTCAGTCCCTTTAATAGATAAATATATAATATCCAGCTTTCTCAGGTTCAGTCCCTTTAATAGATAATATCCAGCTTTCTCAGGTTCAGTCCCTTTAATAGATAAATATATAATATCCAGCTTTCTCAGGTTCAGTCCCTTTAATAGATAAATATATAACATCCGGCTTTCTCAGGTACATTCCCTTTAATAGATAAATATATAATATCCAGCTTTCTCGGGTACAGTCCCTTTAATAGATAAATATATGATATCCAGCTTTCAAAGGTTCAGTCCCTTTAATAGATAAATATATAATATCCAGCTTTCTCAGGTACAGTCCCTTTAATAGATAAATATATAATATCCAGCTTTCTCAGGTTCAATCCCTTTAATAGATAAATATATAATATCCAGCTTTTTCAGGTTCAGTCCCTTTAATAGATAAATATAAAATATCCAGCTTTCTCAGGTTCAGTCCCTTTATAATAAATTTTTCAATTTAAATGTTGGACTTGTATACTCTATATATTTGACATTTATGATCTGTTTTTAGAATTATAATTATTAATTCCGTTTACTTCTGAGGGGGACAAATCACTTTATTATCTGTGTAAGCATTGGCATTATTCTTTTCAATATTTGGTATCTCTCACATTACTTGATTAATGAAACAATCCCTTTAATCCTGTTTTTCAAGGTGTAGAAATGCTGCCCCCGCCCCCCAAGGAGGAGGAAAGAGAGAAAATTTTCACTGATAATCTTGATGAAAGATGCATCTGCAGGTTAATTAGAAATTTATGTTAATACTTCTCCTCAGTAGAAATTCTTTACTCTTTGTTAATTCTACTCTGTATTAGAAATTCTTAATTCTATGTTAAGTCTTCCCTACATTGGAAATTCTTTTCTCTTTATTAATTCTACTCTACTTTACAAATTCTCAATTCTATGTTAATTCTGCCCTACATTGGAATTTCTTTACTCTTTGTTAATTCCGCTCTACATTAGAAATTCTTAATTCTATGTTAATTCTTCCCTACATTGGAAATTCATTCCCTTTGTTAATTCTACTCTACATTAGAAATTCTTAATTCTATGTTAATTCTTCCCTACATTGGAATTTCTTTACTCTTTGTTAATTCCGCTCTACATTAGAAATTCTTAATTCTATGTTAATTCTTCCCTACATTGGAAATTCTTTACCCTTTGTTAATTCTACTCTACATTAGAAATGCTTAATTTTATGTTAATTCTGTACTAGACTCTACTTGTTACGCTATGAATGGAGATGTACATTGAATTTTGTTTACAGTCCCTTTAATCTGTCTGAAATCAGGTGTAATGTATGCGGGAAGGAGATGTATCAGGATAGATTAGGAAAACACTCAGAGTTGAATCACAAGTCTAAACCTGGGAGTGGAGGAAGGAATGAGTTTGTGCTCAAGACCTATCACAGGTATATACATTATTTTATTAAAGAACATATCAACATGAGAATATGTTAAATATATCTTTTTTTTTAAAGAAGAAATTAACTAACGGTTGTTATATACACATATCCCTACTAACCCGAAAACCTAAAAAATACCAAAGTGTATGTGTGAATCTGAACTACTGTCTAATATAAAAATATTGTTCAGGTGCCGGGTGTGTGAATCTGAACTATTGTTAAATATAAAAATATTGTTCAGGTGCCGGGTGTGTGAATCTGAACTATTGTTTAATATAAAAATATTGTTCAGGTGCCGGGTGTGTGAATCTGAACTACTGTTTAACCTGCAGGGTATACGAAAACATGTCCGTAGAGCACACAATATGTCCATGGACGAATACAAGGTTACATATTCACCCTTCACTGGGGGGAAGGGGATCAGGAAGGGTCGCCCCTCTAAGAAGAAGACCCTGAAGGAGTTGAAGTTGAAGAAGAAGAGGAAGGCGGAGGAGGGGGAGAGGTATATGTTCCATGCTATGGATGATAATGAGCTAGAGAACAAGGCAGGGGTATATATTTTTTATGATAAATCACTCCTCCCCTCCACCCTTACTCGAATGAGTATTAAATAACGAAAAAGATGTACAAACTTGCCTGTTATTGTTTTCCCCCAGAGTATTGAAAATTAGTTTAACAAACAAACAGACAGACAAGCCAAGTTTATATATAGATCAAGATCGGTCTGACCAATTGAGAGTTATATTCATCCCCAACATTTTTTGATATTATAGATCCGATTTACTGTTCAGCTTGGTTCAGTTGAACATAAAAATAACACAGTTAACAGTTACCAATTCAGGGTTCGCGGATTTTTAAGTGGTACCATGGGAGTTTTTAAAAAAATTTAAACAATATTCCAAAATATTTCTAAAAATTCCATGCATAATACATGCATTGGAAAAAATAATTGTTTTGATAAAGATTACTCTAATCACACTTTTTAACTCACCCAGGCCTGTATATCGGTGGCTGGGAAAAAAACGTAAAAAAGTTATAAAATTTCTCCAAAAAAAAAATTGTATTAAAATGAAGATAAAATTTGCATATCGAAACTTTATAAATTTAGTTTATTTATTTTAGAATTTATGGTTAACACCAGTAACCCCGTTAAAAATTTACAAAATTTCAGTCTTGCAATAAATATCCCAGTGCAATGTGCTTATGCACACATCTTCCTCGTTTGATTAAATGTAATTATTTGAACCGTCCCTTATACTGGTTTGTTTGAAATTGTACATTGCTTTAGAATTATATTCCACACACTTTTCACCCCATTGATTACTTTGATGGGACTGTTCACGTGATTTAAATTGACTCTCCATTTGTCGAATTACAGTTGTACCCTTTAAACATTTTCTGCTTTTCGACAACTGGGTTATCCCTTTTTCTCTCTGAAACACGAGTGCATGAGAACTGTGGGATGTACAGGATTACCCATCAAAGGATGATACTGTAAAGACGACAGTAAACTCTTAAAATGTGACGATTCCAAGGTTAAATTAAGTATTCTGCCTTAGATAAAATAATTTAATGGCTTATATAAATATTTGGCAAAGAAGCATACAAGTTTACAGTAGCAGGGAATCCTGAATATAAGGAAACAGACAGTATAAATCCGTACAATCGTATCTGAAGTCTCATTCTTTGTGGGTAACCCTGTTTGATGTATACACTCTTCCCAGCACTCTATTTTCATTTTATAAAAAGTCAGCTTATATCAGCCGTCTATGATCAAGCAAAAGGTACCATTATTTTTGTTCCGACAAATGGCAGGGCCCTTAAAATAAGTCTTTACTCCCTATATTAAATCCTTAACTGCACCACTAATTTCAATGAAGTCCTCAATATTGAAGTTAACAACAGTTATTTTTTTAATCAAGTCAAAAATACTTACGTTAACTGCAGGAATACTTCAATTAAGTCTTAATGACTGACTTTAATTGCTGCACTTACTTTAATAAGGTCTTTAATATTGAAGTTATTACTTGAATGAAGTCCTCGATGATAAATTTAACCCCAGTTACTTCTATAAGGTTGGATAAACTAAGCTTAATAGATTTGAATAAAGATTGTATCATATTGTTTCTAATCGTTTGGTTCACCAAAGAATTCAGGGATTTTGAACACCCTTAATCCAACTCAAATCCATATGTGATTTACAACCAAGTAAACTTGTCAACCATTGTAGTCAAAGAATTTTAACAAAATTTTTAGTTTTTTCAATTTCAAGTCGTAGATAAATTTACACAATTAATATCAATCTACAGTTTCTCCATTTATACAAGATTCACAACAGTACTCGCATAACCTTTTCTAATCAATAGTTTGGAAGCTTTTGTAGGTTGTTCACTGTGTGCAGTTTGATTCCAACCATTTTTCCTTAAAAAAACCACAGTTGAAAATAATCAATTTTTCCAAGTACTAATAATAGTTATCTCAACTCTTGATTAGACAAAGCAGTTCAGAGCCCGCGATTTAAAAAATTCGGGAAATACGGCTCGGGTATAAGCTGTCGTTGGACCTTATTTACGGCTTGAGCTTTCAAATTAAAGCTGCTCATATTTTCAACAGAGTTGAATTCAAAAAACCGGTTTATTTGGTGGATTTTCATGGTAGGAATTGGCGCATTGCCAGTTTTCATGAGAACAAGACGCAACATTTAGCCTTATTCTCCACTAATATAAAACCAATCAAGGTCGGTTTTATTTTCATTGGGCCGAATATCTTGCAGCTGTCAATCACGTGACACAAGCTGTCGTTAGAGTTGGGTCGAAGATTGGGTCTTAAAGTTGGGTTTAAGGAATTACGACTCGAGTCGAAGCTTTTAAATCGCGGGCTCAGGGAACCGTTGCGAATCGTGAATGCCACCCTATAAATAAAGAGTCCGCAGTCCCTTCTAAATTTTTGATTTAACTCCACAGGAGACTTTATTTTAAATCATTAATCTGTACAGAGATCAATATTACAAGAGGGCTTTTTTATATTTTAAGTTGAACAAAATAGATTACTATAAGTACAATAGGTGGCAACAGAGAAATGGACCAATTATACACGATGTCACAAGTGATAATCTTGTTTCGGCTGGAGGGGGGGGGGGGTCCCTGGGATCCCTCCTGACGTTTTTGAAGATAACTCGATAAGTATTAGTCTGAGGCTGTTTAAATATTTTTACTTTTCTAACTATCACATGTCCCTCACTTCAGACTTGAAGTGGGGCTTTTATACCAACCAACTGCCTGAATGCCTAACTTTTCCTTTATTCGACTGAATCTATATTTGAACCCACTTCCTGTCATTGGATTTCGACTTTGTATAGCTCTTCGGAATGTTTGGAGAGCCTTGAACGAAGGGAAGCAGATTGGACAATTTTGCATAGATTTTGCACAGATGCCTTTAAAGAGAATTTGCACATTTTCAGTTTTTCTTGAATACAAATTTAGTTTTAAAAATTTTGCAAATATTTTTGCATATTTGAGTTCGCCGTGGCAAGGTCTCATCAAAAATTTATAATTTACCATATTTCGCGCACTTTTTTCTTCTTCACATGATTTGCTCAACAACTTGATATTGCATTAAATATTTGAAATTTTTTAAGTTTGCAAATTTTTTTAGTAGATTATTTAAGTAGAGCTCAAGGGCTTTCCAAAAATGTATTAATTTTTGTAGATTTGTATCACATTTAAAGAAATAAAGGGGGACCCCCCCCCCCCCCCCCCCCCNTGAGAGTGTACAAATTTTGCGTTGCCATCTATTGTACTAGAATCTATTTAAATTGTACTATTGTTGTACTTAGGAAGACTGTTTTTGTAATTTTAATTTTAGTGTTTTTAAATTGTGTTCAAATTATTTTCAAATGTAATGTAACCATTTTTTACTCAATGGTGAAATATGTAAGCTTCCAGAAAAGATTTTATTTAATATTGTTTAATTTTAACGAATAACAGGGTTTTTTTGATTTTAAGATGTGTTTTTCCTTTGATAAAGGGAAAGAAATGAGATAAAACTATTTAAAAAAGAATTTACCAACCAAGTACTTCGAACGAATTAAAAGTAAATTTGTATTGCAAAAAATCTTGTAAATTGTAAATATAGATTTAACTATAATTAGAACTTTTAATAATTAATTTTACCCCAACTTTAATTTCTTCAAAATTTTATGCATGTACTCCTTAAATCTAGCTGTACTGCTGTATATAATAGAGCACTGTTAGTTGTACCATGGTTATACTCAGTACACTTTAATATGTACAAAATACATTGCGCACTTTTTGCTGTACAGTGTATATTATACATATATGTACAAGAAAAATCCCTTTAAATTATGTACAGATGTTGCACACATGCATTTTAGTACACTCATGTTAATGATTATAATAATAAATCAATTGTAATTAAGATATTCTAATTAATTACTTGTTAATGATTAATAATAAATTTTCAGATAAAATGTTAGAAGAGATATGCCTGAAATAGTAAACTGCAGGAAAAGTATGTAATACTAAACAAGTTATCATTAGGGTGCTCCTAAAAAATGTATTCTCTATTTTTCCCGTTCGTACGTCCTCTGAACTTTTATATAGCAATAAATCAGATGTATATTTTAGCTTTATGCAAGAACTGTAAAATAAAAATAACGTGATGTTTGGATTTCACCCCATGTTTCCGTCAAATTTTCAAGAAACACTGCCCGCTAATTTCCCTGTTCCAGGGGAACTATAAATTGGTAAATTTTTTCCCCTAAACTGAAACTTCCCAAATACCTGAATTGTACCTTTAAAATATGGCCAATAATGCTTTTTTTTAAGATTTAGATATTTATTTATGTATCGAGGTTATATTACAAAATTTGTTTATATGGATTTCCCCTAAACTAATATTTTTATTTATTATAATATATTCTAATATATGAAAATACATAAAATAAGCTAAAAGAAAGTTAAACATTTTCTAAAGGGTTTCATTTTATGAGCAAATATCAAGATAGAGTTAACAGCTTCAGGGCAAAAGAAATCTGCGGCCTGAGTTAAAGAATACATCAAGACTTCCGTCAAGCATTTATGGAAACGGAATGAGAGTTAGAGAGTATTTTAAAAATCCAGTAACTTGAGGGTTTTGAAGATTGAATTATCCTTGTTCGTTTAGCTCTTGTATCAAAATCTTTATAAATTCAAATATTATTTATTTGAAAATAATTTTGATTGTGTAAAAAAATATTATTTTTTATTCTTGAGAATTTTTTTTAATTAGAATTTTTTTCTCAGCCCGCACAAATGACATTTTAATATTGTTAAAAATAACTTTTAATCAAAACCCATTTCTTTTCTATTTAAAAAAGGGGTTAGTTTATTTTTAGGTCCGGGCAGTATGTATGTATGTTACAAAATACCGGGCATGTGTCGGTATTGAGGAACGGAGCACTTGTTAGTCAGGTGGGGACTAAAATCACACAACCACGTAAAGTAGTCTTGGATATGAAGATTTCAAAGGTTAGAACTCTTTTCTTGCCAAAATCCTGATTGGTTTTTGCGTTTTAGTTCAGAGGGATTTTTTATATAAACTTTGAAAAAAAGTTTCTGTTTAGGAAGAAATTCTGCGACCGAACATTTTTCGGAAGTAAAGTATTTTAACTCCTTAAAGGGACTATTGTCGTAATTTTAGGTGATCTTTCATTCATAGCGGTCCAGTTCAGATTCACAACGGTACCCATTAAACATTTTCCTGATAAATATGGAAGATATTGTCGTTTTCCTAGGTTAGAAAAATGATAGTTAATTCATATGTTTATGTTTTCCTGCAGTAAAAATGCGCTAGTCACTTCTGTAGAGAAACTACAATTGCAAATAATCAGTTTTTAAAGTTTTAACATTGATATCTAATTCATACTTTATCAGTCTAAGTACATAATATAGTTCTGAATCGGAAATTAACATTTTTCTTAAAGGGTCACTTACAGTCGATCCCTTTAAATATCGAAATGTACATTTTGATCTTCTGCAGCATTGTATAATCTAAAATGTATTGATATCGAAAAAAGTAGGTTAAAAAGTCAACAAAGCATGAGCGCAGAGATGAGATTTTAAAAGCTTAAACTTGAGTAAAACCCGGTCTTTTCGTCTGCTTAGACCCAAGTAAAGCTCAAGTCAAGACCCGGGTTTTGAATGGCCTTGAGTTTAGTAAAAACCAACCATCTTGGGTTTTTTTCTTTTCAAGGCTCGAGTCTTCAGCAGCTGATGATCGTAAATTTCGTTAAATCTTTTATATTTGTACATTTAATATGTAGGGAATTATTTGTGGTATCAAATTTTATTAAATATATAAAATAAACATGCTATGAAAATAATGCATCTACGTAAAGTTCAAATTTTCGAAATTTACATCTCCTTGTCACAGTTGATCTGACGGCATTCTGTCTGCTACAGAGAGAAAGCATGCTTAACAATCTCTCTTTGGTCGAATCAGAACCAATCTTGACTTGGGTTCTATCTAAGCCCGAGTTTGGGTTTTTACTCAGGTTTAAGCTTTTAAAATTTCATCTCTGTTGTCATCTCTAGAGTTTCATCATTTGTGTGTAACCACGTTAAACTAAGAAATTCCACGTAAGATTGAAAACGTTTAAGATGTTTTTTATCAGAACTCCTCTTATTGAAGATCTTTTGAGGAGATCAAAAATGTTTTGAGTTCATAATATGTTACCGAGTAAATTTGCTTTTCTTACAGTTTTTCGTAAGTCAGAACTAGAGGAACAACGGGGTCACAAAGTCCTAACAATGATGTCAATTGAATTTACCTTTTCCTCCTGGTTGGTTTGCAGTATAACCCTGAACTTGAAATATTTGCACAAATACTGGCAATGACAGATTTTACTGCGGGGAATGAAGTCTAAATCTCCATTCAAACATCCTTAAATTTCTAGCGCTTCTCACACATTTTGCACAAAAAAAATCTTATATGACGTCAGGAGTATTCAGAGTTGTTAAAAATATCTTATATGACGTCAGGAGTATTCAGAGTTGTTAAAAAATATCTTATATGACGTCAGGAGTATTCAAAGTTGTTAAAAAAAACTGTCTCCTAAAAATGTTCA